AATCCAGTATTTTATTCCAAAGCTGCTGTGCCGTCTGTGTGGGTAGTACAGAAGCTGTTCCTGTTCCTTGGTTGTGGTTAACAGTTCTTTTGCAGGAGATTTGAGATGGAAGCTTCTGCCTCCTTGGCCTGGCAGTGTCCTGAGGTGTAAATTGAGGTGCACAAGGGACAGCCCCTGTGAAGTGCAGAATGACCTGTGATGCTCACCACTGAGCCAGGCAGGTGGAAAGCTAAGCAGGCCATGAGATGATGCAGAATTGATCAGGATTTCTCTCATGCATAGCCAAGGAATATTAATTTCTTGTAAAATGCAGAAGCTGTTCATGGAACAGAAATCAGTTCTTCCTTTCCTGTGCAAGTGCCTGTCACTGGAATCAAATTATGCTCCCATTTTCTCTTTTTTTATGGCAAGTGGATCTTGAATTGCTGTTTAGACATTATCCAAGGGTGATGTCAGTAACAACTGCCACTGTCTGAAAGAGGTGAACTCCTGGTGGTTGAGGGAGAATTTGAATCCTTTCTAGGAGGGAGGGGAAAGTTACCCTTGGATGTTGTGCTTCTGGCTGGTGCTGTAACCATCAGGCAGCTGGAGCTGTGAGCAGCCTTGCAACACACGGTAACATCTTTTTGCTGTAGATTGCAGAGGTTGTGGGAAAGCAGTGCCCATGGCCTTTTTGGTTTTTGTTTTGTTTTGAGAGTGAGAGCAAAGCTCTTCACCCATTAATGGAGGAATGTCTCATTTCTAGATCTCAGCTGGTCTTAGGTAGTGAGGTACTAAAATGACCAGATTTTTGGACCTAATATTTTTTTGGTACCTAACATGATGAAATAGAACCAAGGACTGCAATTCAGATGGATGTTTTCAGTGCCTATCCAAAGTTGTGCTTTAGATGCCTAAAGCCTCTCTGGGATGTGGCATTTTTTGGTATTTCAGTTCATAGCATTAAGGTATCAGCTGTCAATGGAAGGTGAAGCCCTTCACCTCTGAAGACAGTTGAATAATCTGTTTTGTGCAGAACCTATACAGTGTGGGAACCATAAATCAGACAAAAGGATTTGTTCCCTTCATAAGGTGGTGATGCCAAATCTTTGGGATTTTCCTTGAGAAGGAAGCATGTGTGACAACACCACTAACCATGTAGGGAGGAGGTTGAAAGTGTCCAAAATGTGCATGCAAAGGATGTAGAGTGTATTATTGACACTTTTTGGTGTAGTTTAATTTGCTAAATTCAGTAGTTGCTAAAGTTGCTGACAGCTCTGTGTAGATCTGGTATATAAATGTTCACACAACTCAGTGCAAAATTAATTAATTCTTTGTTTGCAAATACTACTTTTTGGTGATGAAGACTACATTTTATCCTAAGGTATCAGATGATTTAGCCATATAATAAATGGGACTGTCAATAATATGGAAATGGAAATTGTTTACAGAAATATTCACAACTTATTCTGTGACATTCTTTTGAAGGGAAAAACTGTATATTTTAAAGACTTTTGCAATGATATTGCTTTATGCTGTATTTTTAATCTATTCACAATGAATAAATAAAAATCTGTATTTTTTAAAAATGTGAAAATAAATCTTAGGCTCAGCCTGCCAGAACTTACCTGGGTTCAGTGTTTCCAGATGTCAGTGGGAATATTGCTTGGGTAAGGACAGTGAGATGGAAGACTTTGTATGTTAGACCAGCAAATACTGCTTGCCTGCATCACTTAGTCCTCTCATTCACTTTGTCTGGGTTCATTCTGGCTAGTCAATAAAATTGTTCTTTTTGTCACTTTTCTCAGTAGAGTTTTACTCATTGCTTATGGGCATTTGCTTTTGCTGGTTTTCTTTTCTTTATAATTTTTTTTTCTTTATAAATTTCTCCTAAATTCAATCCTACTATTGAAGCTTCCAGAAATCATCTCTGTTGTTTGTATTATTCCATTCCCAATTTCATTCCCTTTCAACAGTCAGAAGTAACTAACTGGGAGGAAATGATTAGATGTGTAACAACAAAATCTGTTTTCCTCCAGAAAACAAAATGGTTGATGTGCTCTCTGATATGCATTTGATTACACATGTGTCTGTAATTGAGGATAAAATATAAGGACAGGAAGGCTCATTTGCAGGGTGCTACAGGGGCCTCCCTGTGCCTTTAGCATTTGTTTAGTCCTGAAAATGGGCTGGAAATTCCTGGGCTCTGTGATTTGAGGTGGGATGCAACATTTAATGATACACTGTCATTTTGCTATGATTTATTTCCCTTTTTGTGCCAGAATAATCTGTTTGATACAGGCCCTTTCAAATTGTTAAAAAGGGAACTCTTAGTGTTGCCTTTTTATTGCTTTATTCAGACAGGTGGAACTTCTTATACCTGTGTAGTTTGAACAATGTGAAATTATCCTCTAGCAAAGGCACTGTGAAATAGCTGAATTTCCAAACAAAAAAGCACCATGTGGGCCTCTGCACTGTAGAATCACTAAGATGAAAAATGGTGAAATTTGGCTCTGCTCTAGCTTTATAGCCTTTGGAGGGTTTAGATATAGCTGCTGTCACAGAGATGGAGTGTTTGCAAGTGGAACAAAGTAAGAATAGCATTCTTCAGAAACCATGGAGACAGCAAACTCTTATAGCTTGTAAAGTGTAAAGAAGTATATTGCCTGCTTCTTAATTACTGGTCTGTGGGACTGATTTGAATCTCATTCTCTTCCCCACAGGTGTAATTTGACTCAGAGTAGAATGAGTGCTGACAGAGCCAGTGTAGTTACCATGGGTCAAGTCAGGACTTCTCATCTGAATTTGGACAGGCAGAATTTCATTTGAACCTCTCAGGATGGATGCAGGGCAGAGCTGCCAGGGGTGAGTCAGGTATTTTCAGGTTGAAGTTCAGGGATATCTCTCGGTTGCTCCTGCTGATAGACCCAACTCCTGCATGGGGACAGCTCAGGGCTTTGTAGCCATTGGGCCTGGCCCTTAGTGGGGGAGTATTTGTTGGGTCCTTGCTGTTCTCTGGCTATGCTGTGCCAGGAAAACAATTTAATAAGCCTAGTAGCTTGTGGTTTGCTGGAGTTCCCCTCTGTTAATTATTTTTTAATTTGGAGAAGGTCCTGCCATTGTAACTGATGTTGCACAGGTGAAATGAAAAAACTGGTGACCCAACTGCCACCCCCAAGGGACAGCCTGTGCTCTTGTCCCCTGTCCGTGTCACACATGGCTGAGGTGAATAATCTTGGGTACACAGGCTTCCTTTGGTGCTCAGGAGAAATGTCTGTGGCCAGGCACAGAAACATTTCAGGGACAGAGGCTGAGCTCAGCTTTGACAGGGCAGAAAAGCAATTTTCAGGAGGGTGTTAGTACTTTGCACTGCTTGGGCAAAAGGACCTGTGGGACTGAGCAGCCCACTCAGTAAGGAGCAGTTTGTAATGAGTGTTCCATGCACAGCCTCCTGCACACACACACACACACACACACACACACACACACACACACACATATTTGCTTGGAGACTGTTAAAAGTGACTTTTCTGCCTGGGCAGGTTATGGGTGATTTGCTGTGTGAAGCCTATTCAGGTCTGCCTACCTTCTCTCCTCCCTGAACCTCTCCTGCTGCTTTGCAGTCAGCTCCCTCTGTTCTTGAAAAACCCCACATCCTGAAAAGGCACTGAACTGAGGGTGTGAAACTAGAGCAGCACTAGAGGAATTTATTCATGTTTACATGTGTGTGCTGTTATTCCTCAGTACTTGTAGGCAGTGAATGAAATTTTTAGCAAGACTGTGCAGTGCTGCAGCCTCTGAGAGTGAGAGGGCTGAAATGCTGGCACAGGTTGCCCTGGGAGGTGGTGGATGCCTTATCCCTGTGAGCATTCCAGGTCCGTTTGGAAAGGGCTCTAAGCTATCTAATCTGGTTGAAGATGTCTCTGCTCACTGCAGGGGGTTGGACTCTCAGACGTTTTTTGGACACTTCCAACCCCAACCAAATCATTGCTTGCTTCCATTTCAGCAGCTCCCTGGAAAGAGAGCTGGCACCTCCGGGTCCTGCAGGGACAGGCTGTGGGAGGTGCCAGGGGAAAGGGTTGAATGATGCTGTCAGCAGGGCTCCAGCAGGTTTATTTTCTTTATCCTATTTAAATGAACTGCCACAAGGACAGAATTAAATCAAGCTGCATTAAGGCTATGTGACCTTACCCTAGAGAAGCTGGAATTTTTCTCAAAATACAACCCTTCAGTTGTAGTTAAGTGGTGAAAATAACATTAATTCTTTAAGAAAACTCACCAGCCTTTCAGCCAAATGCGGCCAGAGACTCCCAGAGGCAGATTCATGGAGAACACACACTGAGGTGTGCTACCACCTGTTTGCACAAGTGTATCGAGTACTGCCGTGCTGGTCCCTGTGCTATACGCAAAAAAACACCAGCCCCCAGCCATAACTGCTGACTTTTGACTTTGCAAATTCAGTGAGCTGTGGCTTCGCAACACAAAATTAGAATTTAGAGCTTTTTTTAGGCTTTCAGAGGGGATGCCCGGGCGGTGCCACCCGTACCGCACAGGGGCTGTGCTGCTCCGTGGCATCCACGTGGCAGCGGGCGCGGCTCGCAGGGCTCGGGCACAGCTGCTCCCGCCCGTCCGTCCCTGGGTGCATCGTGCTGCTCCAGGTGCCGCCGCTTGGGAACGGGCTGAAAAGGATCCCTCGCATTGTATTTTTCGGGTAGAAGGGGTGTGTGGGCAGAGCGGCTGCTGGGGAGGGAGAGGAATGAAAGAGATGGGAAAAAACTGGTATAGAGTAAAAGTGTTGCCAGAAAAGAACGCAATCGCGGTGGTAGCGTGGCCGAGCGGTCTAAGGCGCTGGATTAAGGCTCCAGTCTCTTCGGGGGCGTGGGTTCGAATCCCACCGCTGCCAGTACTTTTTTTTTTTTTTTTGCGCCGCGGGCCGGCGCCATTGCCCCCTAGCGGCGGCGGCGGCCGGGAGAGCATTGTGGGTAGGAGGAGGCGCCGCGTCCCCACGTGCCGGCCCGGGGGCCACCAACATGGCGGCTGCCTGACCGCTGCCCCGCCGCCACCGACACGGGGAGCGGGGGAGCGGCGCCGCCGCCGCCCGCCCGGCCCGCACACAGGTACGCCGGGCCGCGCTGTTTTTGCGCCTCTCGGGGCGCCCCGGCGCAGGGGACCCTGCGGGCGGTGGCGGGGGAGGAGCGCGGCCTGGGCTGGGGTGGGCTCTGCACGTCCCGGGGGGACGGCGGAGCCGAGACTGCGAGAACTCGGCACGGCGGGGGCAGCGGGGGCGCGGGGCAGCAGCGCCCTGACAGGACCCGTCACGGGCCGGGGTGCGTGGAGACCGGGCCGGGTCCGGCCGCAGCCGCGGCCCCCCGGCTCCCGCAGCAGCCCCGGGGGGTGCCGGCCGCTCCTCCGGGGGCTGTGAGCGGCGGCCCCGCCGGTGCTATCGGGGCCCGCAGCCCCGCGCCTTCCCCCCGGGGAGGACTCGGCGCACCCGCCCCGAAGTGCAGCGGCTGCCCCTGCGTGGCACCGGCTCTGCGGGGCCGCAGCCCAGCCCAGCCGTCCCGCCCCGGTGGGATTCGCCTCGTCCCCGCGGTCGGGGCGGCTCGGGCGGTTCGCTGTGGCCTCTCCGGGGCCTTTCCCCCAGCCCAGCGCTGCCGGGCTGCTGGGTCAGGCCAGGGCGGGCGCCAGGGGCGCGGAGCCGCGTCCGGCGGGAGCGCTGCCCGCGGGGAGCACGGGACGGGCACCGCGACCTGCCCCGGCGGTGTCACACAGCGCCGGCAGTGACCCCTGCCCCTGGCGGCACGGCCTGTGCTGCACGCGGGGTGAGGTGGGAAAGAAAGGTTCGTGCTTGGTGCATAACCTGGTAAAACCCCAAAGGTGTGCTGCGGTGACATCACCTCCAGAGAGAGGTCCTGCTGCAGAGGAGCCCTCTTGGGTTCACTGCCAGAAGATGACTGTGCAAAGCTGCTTGCAGGCGAGGAGAAAATGAAGCAAGTAATTGGGTCAGAATGGTAATTGCCATAAATGTATGGAAGGTGCTTTAGCTTCTTCTGGCAGGTTCCATTTTACTGTGTGCTGTGGGCCACCCTGAGCTAGAGGGCTGCTCTGAGCCCCTTCTAGAGGAGCCCGGTGCCAGAGGTAGTTGTGTAGTGATTCAGGAGATGGCACTCCTCCCACGGTGCTGTTTTAGCATTTATACTTTCAGGCACTGATCCAGCAGGAATTCTTGGCCTTTCTTTGGCTTTGCATGATTATATGAAGAATATTTCAGGTTTCAGTGTTACCACTTTGGGGTCCATTATTACTGACAAATTTAAGTAAAAATGAAATACTGGAGCATTTCTTACAGGCCTGACTAAAAGTCCGTGTGTCAAATGATGTGCAAATTTGCAATCATAAATATATCTTACAGATATATTTAAGTCTTTGGCAGTAAAATAAAATTAAATCTCTAATACTCAAATGCCTTTCTAAGCTCAGAGTGAGATGCAGGATTCAGTTGCTTCATCCCTGATTTTTACAGTTTTTTAACCACAAGATTTTTCTTCATTGGTTCTACATTGATGGTGTTATGGGCAGCTAATGAGCAGTTTCATGGATTGGCCCTTGCATTGGTCACTTTGCAGGAGAAATGGGAAAATTTATATCTCTTGCCCTCCTGTGAACTGATAACTCACATTATACTTTGATTTGCACCTTAGAGGAAAGTCCTTAAAACAAAAAGTTTCTACCAAAAGAAGTTTGAACCTGCTGACCATATTGACCATACTTGCTGTTTCTTAATGTTTGGTTCCATTCTGTAACTCTTGTGGTATCATAAATATATGTATATGAGAAGTGTGGAAATTAGCACTATGTATGCATATATCAGACATAGGATTGTGTCTGCATGCCTTCCTTCTGATTCAGAGGATTTCTTCCAGTTGCATGAGTATTATAAGTTGTGCTGGGACACACTGCTTCCTATTTATAGATGTGTCAGTCTCACTTTCCAGTAAAAGGATCTGTAGTCATGCTTTGTCTTTAGAGGACTAAGAGAAAAATGTAGTGTCTGTAATACAGCATTTCCCCTGAGTAGTGGCAGGTGGATTCACAAAGAGATTTTGTGTATAATTGCATAGGCAGTGTTCAGTGAGGGGCCAGAGACCAGGCCCTTCAGGCTGAGTTTCTCTGTCCCTCCTTAGCCCAGGGAATCTTGATTTCTCTTGTCAAAACTGCAGTAACTTTCTCAGAAGAGAGAGAACAAGCCTAGCAGATGTTTGGCATGCAGGCTGTCAGGAAGGGAAGGGTGGTTCCCAGTTCTCTCAGGGGTGTGAGGAAGGAGGGTTTGGACCCAGGTGTTCCACCTTTTTTGAGTGTTTCCACACATCCTCACACACCTTGGGCATCCTCCCACCATCAGCTCTGTGCTGAGTGCAAACTGCAGTTGTTCCATGTCTGCAGAGCTCTCAGGTGTTGGGCACCCGGGGACGTGAGCAGGGAAAGAAAAAATGGAACTGACAAACCTCATTTCTTTAAAACATATTAGTGTGTGTTTCTGGGAGGAGCTGGGTGCCTGATCACAGAAAACACTGATATCAGTCAGATATCACATACTCAGGGTTTTGCTCACAGCCCAGCCTGTGGTTAAGGTACTGGCTTTTTGCTGTGAAGGTGTTCTGCATTTCTGCAAAATAACTTCAGATAGGAATCTGAAATACTGAGGCATAAATTTTCAAATACAAATCTATGGTGCAAAGACCCTGGGACATGCTGATGCATAAAGAAATGGAGAATGCCAGCTCAGTACTGGGAGGGGCATTTTTTTGGTAGCAGAGAGTCTGTAACTGAAAAATATGGAATTATATTTCTAGGTGGAATGGCAGAAACATTGTAAGCCTGAATGGATATTAATAACACTTGTATGCAGAATGTCTAGCCTCTCTGAAAGGTTTCTTAGATACCTCTGTGTACATGAGTGTGATATTTGAGAAACCTGTATGTCAGCTGAAATATACTGAGCTGCCTAAATTGTGTGGTGGCTTGAGTATTTGAAGAAAATGCCATTGTTCCAGATGTAAAATGGATGCTGGGTTCCTTCTTTCCCAGCTGCTCCGTTCCCAGCTGCTCCTGGATTCTGCTTGTTTCTCCTCCTCTTCCTCCATAGGAGATCCAGCAAAGAAGTAAGCTGTCCTCAAGGAGTGAGGACAGTAAGGGAGAGTTCTTGAACACAGATCTTGTTTCTTTGCCTGATGATCTGTGTTGCTAAAACTTTCCTTGGTCAGTTTGTGAGAGGTCTTATTTTGTTATGCCTATCTTGACCAGTACTGGCTGATTAACATAACATTGTTGCAGTGCATCCTGAATAATTTGTAAATCCTTTTGTTTGATTTCAGCAGGGAAAAACTATTGTTGATTTAGCTGAGAGATCATTTCTTATTCAGAGGTCTGAACCAGGCACGACACTGACTCCAGCACTGGATTGAACATAATGAACTTTTGTTCCAGAGTATCCAGTCCTCAGTTAATATCAGAGTCTTATTTTCATTGGGGTTGGTGTAGTTATGAAGAAAAATCTGCTGGTTTTGGAGGACTCCAGGAAAGGCTGAGCAGAGTGTTCTGGAGCTCTCATTTAGCAGTGCAGTCTGAAGAGTGGCAGGTCAGGAGACAAGGCTGCAGCTTGTCCGGGAGGTGAAATCAAAGCCAGGGTATTCCCAGTCTGGAGTATCTGAGACAGGGACCCTGCAGGGCCAGTTGTGGCTGGAAAACAGCTGCTCCCTGTGTGTTACAGTTACACAGTGTAAAACAGATACACTTTATGCAGCTGCAAGGGGCTGTCTTTCCCTCTTAGGGCTCTGGTGCAGGGCTTTCTTAGTAACTGCAGCTTGCACAGAAGTTATAGCAGATTACCTATTTTTGAGACATTTGCTTGTCTCTAGAATTTTGTGGCCTTCAGTCAAGATTGTGGAGTATCAGGGACCTGTTCATGCAAACACATACAGTCCTTCAAAATAGGGAATAAACAGATTATCACTGAAAGGAACCAAGTTAACTTGAACAATAATCTAGGCTGCATGTGGTATGTGACACAGATGAAATGATTCATATGACATTCCTGTTTTCTTTCAGGTTGTGCCAAGGAATAAGCCAAGAAAAAGCTTTGTTTTATCCTAGCATGGCAAATGAAGAAGATGATCCAATTATACAAGAGGTAAAAGTGCATTGTAGCAACAATGATTGTACATGAGAATTTTTTATTATTTTTATTACTACAATTCCCAGTATTCCTACACTGCTGAAACAATGTGTCATCAACATTAGTGATTGTCTTATAACCAATGGCTGGGGCTGTACAAAGAATTATGTTGTGTGGACCATGGTATCTGTTTTGTCAGAATATCTTGTCCATGTTGGCAGATGCAGCTCAGGTTTTTCACCCTTTGTAATCTGTCCATGGCAGAAGAGAAGGTGGGGAATTTGCTTCTACCATTGTGTGCTTCCAGTGAACTCCATTGCATGTCTCTGGGAGCTGAAAAAAACTGGAATGACTTTGATGATCTGTTAAACATGAATCTACAGTGTTCATGCCTCTGCTGAAGTAAGGAGTTGTGTTCTGAGTCTGGACTTCTTTAAAGGACTGCTGTGTCCCAAGAAATAGCCACAGTGTCTTGTCATTTGATATATGAGTTTACACACCAGAAGCACAAGGAAGGGCAAATCCTTAGAAGGTGAAAAGCCATGAGAAAAGGAGTGGCAATTGTCAGGAGTGTATCTGAAATGGCAGCTCCATATGTCTTACTCATGAAACATCTGTGCATTTTCAGTTCTGATGGCCAAATGCAAGTGTTGAACCAGCTTGAGGACGTGGGTGTCCCTTGTCTAATTTAGAAAGATTTTATAAAATACCAGTAAGGAACTTACCTTTCAGTTATGCTGCCAAACTGAGAACTTCCTCCTCTTTCTATAATTGTGATAACAGATTTGCTTCAGATCCTTGGAGGAAAAAAATTCCTCTTTCACATTTGTTTGCCAAGTTTCCTTAGAGAGGAAAAACAGCTAGAGCCACTAGAGAGAAAAAACAGCTAGAGCCACTGTCTGCTGCCTCTTTGCATTGGGATTTTTAGATTTAGTTTTTAAAAAGGCCAAATGTAGAATTTCATGTCAAAGTCAGCAGAGAGGAAACTTTTGACAGGAGAGTCACGAATCTATTTTATGTTAGAGTTCATAATGAAAAGCAAATGTTGTCAGTATTTGAGCTCTAAGGGTTATACTTTTATTACAGTTGGCATCTGATGAAAGTTATTTGTTTTGCTTTTTAGATTGACGTGTTCCTGGCCAGAAGTCTACTGGAGAAGCTCTATCTATTTCAGGTATTTCAGTTAACTTTTATGCAGTGATAGTTTGTTTAAAATAAATGCAAAGAGCATAACTTAATGCTTTAGTCTGCCAAGATCTGAGATACAGAGAACCTGTTTGGGTGTGGGTTTGGAGGCAGGAGTGAGGCTGGTTGTGCTGGGGTCTGTGGGTGTGCAGGAGACCTGGCAGCCTTGGCAGGATGGGAGATCTCACTGGGATAGCACAGTGTCCTCTCAGCATTCCCAGAGGTCAGGAGAGAGACCCATGTGGCTAAACCTGGCTCTGCTCTCCTGATCAGCAACATGTGGCCTGTTCTTTCTAAACTAACATTTACTTGTACACCCACAGATATTTTACTTCTAATAACTCTACAGAGAGGTAATGCTGAGGGATAAGGTTTTCTTTTTCTGCTGGACTAATGTGTTACAGGTTATTGTTGTGTGTGAGAGGCAGGAAGGGGGCTGTGAAGGGACAAAAGCAGAGGGCTGGGAGGAAAACAACAGATTTTCTAGGTCATGTTCCCAAATCCCCTGATGACTCACAAATCAGTCAGTTAATGTTTTTTCTGGGTGTCTTGTCTCTGAGATCTGGCAAGTGGATCTGCATGTGAGGGGACAGGGGAAATTGAGTTGATTTCTGTGAAATTCTTTGATCTTTAAGAGAAGAGGGGTGTATGAAATGATCTGTTTTGCAGTATCCCATTCGCCCAGCTTCCATGACCTACGATGATGTTACACATTTGTCAGCGAAGATAAAACCAAAGCAGCAAAAGGTTGGTCATCATTTGAGTCCAGTCTGTAAAAGATTTTCTATGATGTGCAGAATGTACTTGAGAAAAGCACATTATGCTGTTGAGCTGTTCTAACCATGCAGTTACTTGCAGGATCAGATCTCTGTGCTTGAAGGTATGAAGAGTCTTTTACTCTGTCTGTAAGGTAGAATTTAGAATAAAAGTTTATAAATCATGGTGGGAAAGCCATTATTTTAACAGAAAACAGAATCACTCAGGGAAACGTAGTTACTAATGATAATTCAGTCTGTGGATGCTTGTGTGAAAAGAGCTTGAATGAAAGGGTCTGTACAGTATTCAGAGAAGGGTTCAAGAAGCATTGGGCCTTGGAGCCATCCTCTGTTTCAGTGTCAGTGCAAGTCTTGATTTCTCTCTTGCCTGGCAGTGAATCATCAGGAGTCCTTTTGAAATCACTGGGGCAGTACAGGTAAAGTATAGCCAAAGCCACAATCATTGCACTTGCTTGCAAATGTGTCCCAGAAATCTGGCTAATATTTTCCAATATCTTATTTTAAAACTGCAGCATAGATGTCTGTGTTACTTGAATTAGGTTCTGGGAAATGGTTAAGGGAAGTGCTTTGGTGAACTTTGCAGTTAGAATGCATGTTGTGTTCATGAAGTCTTTTATTACATTCAGCAAACATTTGCACTGTAAGCCCTGTACAAACCTTTGTAAATATGCTGTCTCATCCAGAGACTTGAAACTAGTTCAGTTTGTGAATAACATAAAGGGAAAGAAAAAATAAGATGGTAGCTGTGATACACAAATTTATAAGGGCTTTGACACACCCTGAAAAAGAGTATGTTCTGTATTGTCATAGTATATAAATAGAATTATTATGCAGGAGGATGCTTATTTTTGGACATTGGTCTGAAATTCAAGGTTGAAGTGGGGGGGAATAGTTCTTGTAACTAAAGATTTGGAGCTTGTTCCAGTGCTCTGACAAGGGAAAGTCAGGAGTAACTGAAGTCAGTGCTGAGTGCTGCAGTCTCAAATTAGCAGAATGGAGGCCTTTGCTTCTGAAGAGGACAGAGTTATTTTGTAGTCTTGGTATACCAAACTAGAAGGAGATCCATCTTAGGAGGGATTCTGAATGGTTCCTCAGTGATGGGGAAGCTTGAATGAGGTTGCTTGTGCACCTGATCTGTACTGATAAGTAAATTAAACTGATTGTGTCGTGGAAGGAATCCAGCAAAGGGAATGTGTATTTCAGGGCTGCCTAAAGAACTCTGCTTTTTCTGATCCTGTTTGTGTACATGGGAGTTTATGTATCTCCAGCTTGTTGTTAAAATGACCTCACTGTCCCAAACCCATCTACCTGCTGTTCAGCTCTGTGTGAGATTGGCCCTGGGGATTTGAATGATGCTGCTTATGTACTTAAATTTGCTGTAAACCTGTGAAAATATTAGAAAGTGTGGGGTGGGTTTTAGTGGATCTGTTTGGGGTTGTGCCATGGTAATTAGTTGTCTTTCCCTGATATTCTTTAGGTTGAACTGGAAATGGCCATCGATACTTTGAATCCGAACTATTGTCGCAGCAAGGGAGAGCAGATTGCTCTCAATGTGGATGGCACCTGTACAGATGAAACAAGCACCTATTCCTCGTAGGTATCCTCTTTGCCTTCCTTTCCTTTCTGGGTGTGTCCACCAGTGGCTGCTTTGGACACTGTTCTGTAGCAAGTGCTCTTGAGAGTAACCTACATTTTAGGGATGCGTCATGAATTCAGATTTGCAGGTAGAAGTGATGGATATTTGTCTGGTGTGGTTGTTGAGAGTCCATTTTGGGAACTGGTGCTTTCAGACCTCTGGCACCTGCATGCCACATTGCCTGTGGAATGCCATCTCACTGCCCTCCTCTGTCTGCAGGAAGCTGATGGACAAGCAAACTTTCTGCTCTTCCCAAGCTGCCAGTAACGTTTCCCGCTATGCAGCTGCTGTTTATAAAAAAGGTACGTTTATTTTGCTTAACCCTCCCATCAGGAAGACATACTCATTTCAGTGTTAAGATAAGACCTATTTGATCTTTTTTTTGGCCTCAGTTTTAATTGACTGATGGGTCTTTAAAGAAAGGAAAATTTTCCCTTATCAATGTCCCAAGAGTCCTTGAGTAGGTCTAGCAAAACTGTAAATATCATGTAAGGACACCCTGGGTTTGTAGATGCCTCCAGAATCTTAAGAGTTCATGGTGGCCTGAAATAATATGCACTTGTAGCATGAAATCATCATTATTATTTATATTGATTTCTTAATCTAATTATGTCTGTTTCATTTTCCTGTTGTGCACTTTTTGTCCCTCTCTTGACCAATTACAGAGTTTTGGTCTGGTGGTCATTTGAGATGACAATATGTAGATTGTTTTCAGTGATGACTATTTTACTAGGGGTCTTCTGGACTATGGGTCAGGCCTGTGCCAGAATGTGACTCTCTACAAGATCTGGTTTCAACACAAAAGGCAAAATTACAGAAACAAGTCTTGATCTTTCATATTCCCTTGAAATCATGAGCACTGGATGAATTTTTCACTTCAATCCTTTTTTACGTTTTGCTTTATTAAATATTTATGCTCAATTGAAGCTGTGGCTTTACAGAGACAGGGAGATAATGAAAAGTTGTGTCCTTGTGCAGTGGAAAAAATCAATTTTAACCAACATTAATTTTCTTTTTCAGGTGAACTTCACTTGACTCCACTACATGGAATTCTTCAGCTGAGGCCAAGCTTCACCTACTTGGACAAGGCTGATGCAAAACACCGAGAAAGAGAAGCTGCTAATGAAGGTAAATTCTCCACAATGGTGTTTTCTGAGGGGAGGTGAGATACAAGTACTCTATAATGTGGTTGATAAGAGTCATTCTGTTCTGAAGGTGTTCATTCTAACAACACAGTCATTATTAGGCCATTTCTTAGATTGTTTCTCTGATTCGGCTTTTTTACCTAAATGCTTTTATGGGCACAGTGTGAGGGATTGGCAGAGGGATGCGAGGTGCTGGGTAGTGACAAAGGATGATGGTGGTGTCCCCAGTGCCACTGGGAAGGCCATGGCAGCAGGATATCCTATCACAGGAGCAGTGTGGTGCTGTCATACATGGCACAGTTTGGCAGGCTGGGATTGAACCCATGCCTGTGGAGTTCTCAGTGTGCTTTCTTCCTGCATGGGCCCCCAGACTTTGGCTCTTTCACTGCAGCAGTGTGTTTACCTTTGTGTTTTCTGGCAGGTGGTGATTCATCCCAGGATGAAGCTGAAGATGATGTTAAGCAAATTACTGTATGTCCACATTTTCCTTTTTATGCTGGTTCAGGCAACAGTTCACAAGAAAGTTTGACAGTTCAGAGTGAAAGGAAAGGACAGCAAACCTCAGCTGGTCCTGCTGACCTGGGCTGGGGTGGGGGAGGCCAGGTGGGCTCACCCTTGTTGCACAAGCATAAAGATGGCCCTGAGAGCAAGGGGTGATTCACTGGAGCTGGGGCCCTTAGCTTGGTACTGATACACCAAATCAGTAATGCAGATGGGTTTTTTCCAAGGGTTTTAGGGCTGTTTTGAATGATGCCCAAATCTCCTAGGTCCGATTCTCCCGCCCTGAGACCGAACAAGCTCGGCAGCGACGTGTTCAGTCCTATGAGTTCCTGCAGAAGAGACAGGCAGAAGAGCACTGGGTTCACCTGCATTATTATGGCTTGAGGGTAGGTGTGTGCTGGCTCTTGAGGAGGCTGCCTGGGCCTGAAGGCTCTCCCAAGTCCAGAACCATTTTAAATCTGGGCCCATGGGAATCAGGGAATCATCAAAAGAATGGAGAGGAGCTCTGTAGGCTGGAACAGACCTGAAGGGCTCTGTATCTCCTGCTGGATGATGCTTTGGAGTCTCCACACTTCAAAACTGAGAGCTGAACAAATATAAAGGGGGGAGGGGGTCTGAGTGTAAGAATCACTTGGGTCTTGGATTATAAACTGGACTTTGTGAAAGACTTGGGAAACACATTCAGTCAGGTGTGAGAAATCCTGTTTGGCTGACTTGGGCATGTCTGTCAGGAGATTTCAGAGGCATAGCAAGGGAAATGTTCCCACATCACATGAGCATCATACAAGGAAGTGAAAGCAGAACATCAGGTGGAGCACTTGAGTGGTGGAATGATGACAGGGTGGTCATAGTTTGGAATGAGAAGTCAGCTCTCTGGCATTTTGTGTATTTTCAGGATGTGATAATGGCTCTTGTTTTTTCCCTGTTTCCAGGATAGCCGTTCTGAGCACGAGCGCCAGTATTTATTTAGCCAAGGTCATGGCCTTGCTGAAAACACAGAATTAATTAAATCTCCCAGGTAATGGTTTGGTGGTTTCCTACAGAAATGGCATTAATTGGTTGGGATTGTTTTCAGAGTAATAAGCAGGTATATTCTTTAAAAATCTGCTCTTTGAAAATCCTGTTTGTGACAAAAGTTGAATTGTTCAAAAAAACACAGAAACAAACTAGCTTTCATCTTACTGAGGTTGCTTTCTTTGTTTCCCTATACCCTTGAGATTAAAACCTCTTGTTTTTACTCAGGGTTGTAGCTTCTTGTACGTTATCACAGCCCTACATTATTTGGACTGTGAATACTGCAAAGGAAAATTAAAACAAAAGCTTCTTCTGGATAATATAAATTAATACTCCAAAGCCAATAACTTCCATTGTTAGCAAATGTTATAAAACTTCCCTTTGTGATTACTGGGGACAGCTGAAACTACTTGAAAGGTGTTTGTGTCTGTTTCTTGGTGACTGCAGCTCTACAGGAGCCTTCCATTATGCAGTCAGTGCTTCCCTGTCACCTGGGACACCCATGGCCCAAGTAGTAGTGAAGAGGCAGAGTCTGGTCCTGGTGATGGTGCTGGCATAGTTTTCTTGTAAATCAGTAAATCAGTGATAGCTGTTCTGAAGAGTCTTTTGGATCTGATTTTTTCTCACAGACGCTGGTAATTGCATGGGCGGGACAGAAATTTTGCTTTTTGCTGGGCTGATTCTCTCTGTCTGTGGGGTTTCACATGACCCTGCTGATGGCTGTCAGAGCACCTGTGTTTAATATATTTCCTTGTGCAGATCCTCTGTTTGGACACCTCTGCTGTACCAAAGAGCTGGGATTCTGACTCACATTTACTTCATACTCTCACTTTGGGTTCATGAATGCCAGTAACTTTTACTGGTTCTGAGGAGGTGGAAGTGGAAGAGAGAGCTCTTTTCAGGCTGATGTTTGTTTTGTAGATTTACACAAGCAGGTTTACTCTAAGTGAGAAATTACTGTACTTAAACCAGGCAAGTCTCAAGACAAGCATTTTAAACAACGTGTTTCCTTTTCTTCTAGTGAATATTTAATGATGCTGATGCCTCCAAGCATAGAGGAAGAGAAGTAAGTATTTGTACATAGTGTTCAAAGTCCACATTGGCTGGATTCTCCTTTTCATGGGCTGCAAATCTGTTTATCTGCAGTGAGAAACCAATGGCTCCAAGCAATGTGCTTTCTATGGCCCAGCTGAGGACTTTACCCCTTGCTGATCAGATCAAGATCCTGATGAAGAATGGTTTGTAGCTTTTGTAATCCATTTGCACTTCACTTTGTGACTTCTAGTTGCCTCAGATAAGGTGCTTTCCCCAGTATTACCAGTTCTGTCACCCCATCAGACAGACTGTCTGGCTCTCTGATTCTCTGAAGAATCTAAATCCCAAGCCTTTCCCTAAAAAGAGCAGAGACAGCTGATCTGACTGTTGATACACTTGCCATCAATTTACTCTTAGAAAAACTTCTAATTTGATGATAGCTTCCTGGATACACATCCAGCAAGTATCTCCTGGAATGTGGGGGTCTGAGCATGTACAGCCTGCACTTTGGAATTTTCTAATATTGTTTTATTAATGGTACACACTTAATGAGTATCACCTAGGAATTTGTTTTGTCTCTTTAGGGTTACTCTCTGATGAGAGCAAATCCTGAGGATTTTGCCTCAGGAGTGGCCTGCCTTGTGAGGTATCTCTGCTTACAGATATTGCCAAAGATATAGGTTGAGGTTTTTTTAATTATTGTTTTATTAATATGTTAATTTGTGACCAGTTCAGCCAGTCAACTCTGCTGTAACACTAGCAGCTACTTTAAGAATATATGATGCTACAGCACAGGAAGTAAAACTAAGGCTTTATTTCTTTCCCCGAGATAAGTCTTTGCCCGTGCACACGCTGAATCCCCGTTCCTGGCTGTGTGAGTGCTGTTGGTGACTCTGTGTTTGCCTTGCAGTGAAGGTGATGCCGTTCGCCAACCTGCTGGGTCTGCTGGGCTCGGGCACCGACCCCACGGCCGTGCTGCGCTGCGTGCAGCAGGTGGCGCTGCTGGTCCAGGGAAACTGGGTGGTGAAGAGGTACGGCCCGGCCCGCCTTTGTCCCCGGCATCGCCCCGGCACCGCGCCGGGACCGCCCCAGTTCTGCCCGGGCATCCCTCCATCCCTCCGGGACCGCCCCAGCATTGCCCTGGGACCGCGCCGGGACTGCCCCAGTTCTGCCCCGGCACTGCGCCCGGACTCCCCGGCATCGCCCCGGGACTGCCCTGGCATCCCTCCATCCCTCCGGGACCGCCCCGGCACCGCCCTGGGACTCCCCGGCATCGCCCCGGCACCGCCCCAGTTCTGCCCTGGCATCCCTCCATCCCTCCGGGACTGCCCCAGCACCGCCCTGGGACTCCCCAGCATCGCCCCGGCACCGCCCCAGTTCTGCCCTGGCATCCCTCCATCCCTCCGGGCCCCCGGGCTTTGTGTCCCCCACCCGCGCTCCCACTCGCAGATTAAACCTTTGGTTTGGTATTGTCTGCGTCTCGGTGCAGCTATTCCGTATCCAAAGGGTTGCTGTGAATGGATAATGCCTTAGTACCGGTCCCAAGTGGGATTGTGGCTGAGCTGTGATGTAATCTGGGTTTGCATCTGACTTGTGACAGGTTTCTGTTGTCTGCACTCGTGTTCTTTTGTGAGAGAGCTGTTCTGAGTTCTTCCAGAGATTAGCATTAAATAGAAACACAGAAAATGAAACCAATGTCAGCTATAGTGTCTCTTAGCAGAATTCAGTCCTGTAAGGATCTCTGGGCAGTCCTGTTGCTGTTCATCAGTGGATGCTGCTCTTCTCAGCTGAAAACTACCCTCAGTAAATCAAGCATGGATGTACTGAGTGTACCACATGAATTGGAGTCTGTATCATCCTGTTTATTAGGATAGAGCATCCTATTGGGAATTGAAATCTAAAATGCAGTATGATTTTTTTTTTTACCTGGGTGGAGCCCTGCATGCAGAGATTTACAGTCTCTGGAATAGCTGTGTTAAGATGAATGGCATCAGCTGCCAGTCCAAGTATGCCAGCAGGATGTTTCAGCTATTGTGGTGCAGACCTGTATTAGCAATGTGACCAGCTTTTACAGCAACCCTGCTGTCCCTCCAGCTGGTACAGGAGGGAGCTGGGAGCAGCTTAAAAGACAGGATGTTAGCATTCAGATTGTTCTTAGGTTAGAGCTGATTCTTTGCTGCTAGTCTGAGGAGGATGTGAGGATCTGTAGTGGATGGGGTGTTTGAGCACAGAGCAGCACACATCAGAGCTTTGAACAGAGTGGGGACCCATTTCTTTGGCCTGGGTAGGATCAAGATCATGAACCTGAGGTGCTGTGGGGCTTTGGAGAGCCTGGTAACATCAGCTGGCCCTGCAAGCAGACAAGGACACAGACACAGAGTAATGTTGGTCTCGGGGCTGTTGATTTGAGTATGGCATTTTGTAATATTGTTCTGTTAAACCCCTGATTGCTGGGAAGGAAATAAAAAACTGTCTTGCCCGTACATCAGCATTTTGGCTAAATGCTGCCTTCAAGGCTGCATACCAGGTTAGCCTAAGCACTTCTTAGGATCATTCTGGTCTTGTTTACATGGATCCAAGGGAGGGTAGGCTTTGCAAGAACAAAGCAGAGCTTGTAGCTGTGTTGCACACACCTGCTTGCCACAAGGCTGTGCTTTGCTGGTCTAAGCCTTTCTGTACTAGTGTAATTGCAATGGAGTAATTACACCAATGTTAATGCCTTTAATGAAAACCACGCTTTGCATAAAGGTGTAATTTAACTGCAGAACAGGGAGGGCATGTTTGTTATGTTAGTCTTCACTAATGCCATTTTTCTGGAGTACCTACTAACTAATTTCTCTTCCTTTTTAATTAACAGTGATGTTCTCTACCCGAAAGATACTTCTAGTCCTCATAGTGGAGTTCCTGCAGAAGTGCTCTGTAGAGGGAGAGATTTTGTTGTAAGTATAAAAGTGTTTGTTGCTTTTAATGAAAACACAGGTGAAGCTTGCCTGGGAGGCCACAGCATTGCAAAACTCTTCTGCTGTTCTGCAGCGAGGTGTCTCCTCCAAGGAAGTTGTTTGTGCTTTAATCCTGAAGGTGTTGTTACAAGTCTGCTGTGGGAATGTTGGTGTAGGCTCACTTTGTGTCTGCCTGGCAGGTTCAGACCATCTGTCATTAGCAGCATTCATCCCTTTCTAGCACATGCTGCAGAGCACTATCACATTGCCCTCACAATTCAGTGTGGGGCTTGCAGAACAGCCAGGACTGGATAATGAAGTGCTTGTTTCTCCAGCTCTATTTCCAAGGGCTCAGGACTGAGGGCTCAGGAGGGCAGTGTGGGTAAGCCTTGTGCTCCCTGAGCATGCACTGTTGATCTTTAAAAAGGACTTTATTCCCTAGGGCTGCTAATCAGTGAAAGGACTTTGTTCCCAGGCACCTTTTGTGAGCAGTAGCTGCACATGGAAGTTGAAATGAATATGGGTCTTGTAAACACACACATAACCACAGCAAAAAGGAACAACCTCTGCATTGTGTTTATTTTCACTAACCATGGAAAGAATTAAGGTCCTAAGTGGTTCCTAAGTTCATAATCAGTTTATGGCTTCCTCCCCACCAGAGCAGGTCTGAGTGCACAGCTCTCATTTGTTTCAGTTAGGCCTGAGTGTTACTGCAGAATTTGTGCATGAGGTTTAGCTCTGAACAGGAGAGTGCTGTGCAAGAGACGTTAAGGGTATTACAGCACTACTGTGAGATCAAACTGATGGTGATTGAAACTGACTTTTCCTTGTCTCTTGATGTCTGCCCAAGACACTGCCAGATGGAGACCTGGATTCAGGTGTGACCCAGTGACAGAAGTGTTTAGGACACAGCAGATTAGGTGACACATCTTGTGTAAAGTTCAGGGACCAGAATTATTGTGCTCAGTTAAGTAAGGAATACTGTTTTAATATTTAGGATGAAAAGATGCATTATTTTCATTTGGATTATGTCAAATATATTTTCCATGAGAAATGGATCTGTGTTGATCTTAAAGGCAAATAATTTGCTAATTAATACTACCAGAAGGAAAAAGTTTAAATGTTAGAATATAGAAAGGATCAATATTTCTGGCTTTCAGACAAAGAGGAATGTGTGGTTTTAAGACTCAGAAATAGTACTTAATGCTGTATGGCATCTGTGGAGAAAATGTGTTCTAGCTTAAAAAGTGAACTTTATTTCTCTATATTTGTGCAAAGTAATGAATAAGTTTAAGAAACATTTATGGACTTCTTGTGCTTTAAAACAGAAATGCCCTGTGTCCTAAAGTGAATGGATTGGGTTTGTGTGTTTGTGGGCAGAGAGAAGCTGAATGGGAGAGAAGGAGGCATGGATGATGTAGGCCAGGAAGGAATTGTCAGTAATGAGATTTTGGATTCTTAACAACATTATTAATACACACAGACTGAAAGAGCCTGTAGCTTATTTAATGGAGACAGGAAGAAATGAAAGGTCGTGTTCAGTGTTCTGCCCAAGTCCTGTCAGCCTGCCCTCAGCAGCTGCTGTGCAGAGCACCTGGCTGTGCCCTACCTGGGGAGGTGTGGGAGTGACAGGACATCTTGGCATTGCCTGTGCCAATGGGGGTGGAAGAAGGGCACAGGCACTTGGTAGGGGCTCTGTGCTGCTGAAGGGCAGCAGCCATCAGCCTGCACAGGCCCCTGTGTAAGAGTGCATGGAGAGTCTCTCTAGGCTGATGATGAGTATGTGAGAATGTGAGAATTGACTTCTGGGGTCCCAGCATCACTGCAGTGGTTTTGGTGGGGTTTTTTTTGTTTGTTTGTTTTGAAACTGAATGGAGTTTGAGTTCAAGAGATTCCTCGTAGCTTTTGTAGTCATAGGTTTGCCAAGGCACACCATGGACTCTCAAAGCTTTTGGGCCTGTGTTCATGGCCCTTGGAGAACAAAAGGAGCCAAAAGATGTTTTTCCTCTAGCTGGCTGAGAATCACTTCTACATTCTTGAAAGGAATGGGCTTCTATTTTTGTGGTAACATCGTTGAACAGAGTCATTGCTACAACTTCAGTAAAGCTACTGCTACATGCAGTTATTAGGTTTTCCTCTTTTGTTCCCTTCTAGATGTGGAAGTTCACCCAGGACCGCTGGGTGGTGAGAAAGGAAGTAGCAGCAGTTACAAAAGTGAGTGGATTCCTTTTCTTCCTAAATCCAAAGGTGGTGATAAGTTGGCCAAATGTTGCTGGGCATTGTGTGGGTGTAGATAGTGGGTGCTGCTGTGAGCCTTTCCTCTCCCAGTGCTCTCATCTGGAACAGGTACACATAATACTCTTTCTAGAGAAAAACATTCTGAGCAGCTCCCACGATTTTCCACAACGCCAGCCTGGCCTTGTAGCTGAGCCACTGGAATGCATCCTGTCCTCTGCTGTGTTTCAGTGGAAAGCTGGGCACAGTTTGAATTGAGCTGACTGAAGGTGCTTACACAGCCCACAGAAGCTGCTCTGCTTTGGGTGTCTTAAGAGCAACTCTTCTGTTGGCATTTGCCAGTTACAATACTGAGTAAAAACTTTAAAGCAACTCAGGCACCTGAACATTCTGGTAAAAGTAGCAAATGAATGAGAAACATTAAGTCAAAAGGACAAACCCCAAATTCTTTAAATGCACTAAAATGATGAAACATGAGTCAGTTTATGCACAGACCATCTATTTTTGGAATGTAAGAACCAGTGCTGCATAAAAGCTGGGCATGTGTAGGTGCAACATGTCTGGCCTGCAGCTCTAAAATAAGATTAACATTGTAGAATATGCTTCTCTTCCCCATAGAGCCTTTTCATCTCAGTTTGGAAACTCCCTTTTCTTTGCAAAACATGCCATGAGCTATTTGACTCCGGGGTGATTAATCACCACGGCTCTCTGAAGTCCTGGCCTTTTAACAGTGTGTGAAAGTGTCGTGCTGCAGAGCAGGATGAGCATCTCTGACTTAGCTGCGTGTGTGCCCATGGAGCTGCTCCATGCACACCAGATCAGCCCAGCTCTCCTGTCCCATGCACAATGCTCACATCTGTCCTGGGTAAACTGACTTCCATGCTGTTTATGCTTTTTCTTTTTCTTTTAGCTTTGCCCAGAAGATGTGAAAGACTTCCTAGAGCACATGTCTGTGGCAAGAATAAACAAAGGTTGGGAGTTCATGCTCCCTTACGATGAAGATTTTGTTAAGAAGCATCCAGATATAGTTCAGAGGCAACAGATGCTGTGGATGGGCATTCAGGCCAAGTAAATATTTTACTGTATTTTGGGGAATAAGCTAAAAGCAAAGAACTGTTTAATACAAGGGTTCTGTAGACACTGATCTGTAGTGCCTCCAAGTTTCTCCCTCACAGTGCCCAGGCAGTGGTGTGGTGGGAGGTGTTACTGCATCCTTCAAGTCATTCCTGGTTCCTGGAGAGATGGAATGTTCTAGCTAATGGCTAAAGCTGGCATGGCTGCATGCAGACATAACAACTGAACCTGTCCTGGAATATTGTCTCTTTGTCTTTCAGATTAGAAAAGGTCTATAATCTCTTAAAGGAGCACTTGACACCAAAGAAACAAGAGGCACAATCAGGTAAATGGAATTGTGCTTGGATCATGCTGAAGCACTTGCATGTATTCATCTGCCCATCCATATTCCTGAGTGGTGTTTTGGAGTTCCTCTCTGATTTTGAATGTGGTGGAGACTGGTTTTGTTGAATGTGTTTTCTTTCTTACTGTTTTCTTCCGGAATATTTAAGACATATCTTGATCTGTGCTAATGTCACTGAGGTTGGGGTGACACCAGCTACTGTGGCATCCTTGTAGTACAGGCAGGAGCAGTGTTTGGCCCTGGGGACTCACTGTTTGACACTGTAAAATCAGCTGGTTCTCTTACCCACTTGCTCATTTAAGGCAGCTTGTGGGGTGTAACCAGCTCCTGAAGGGAGGACAGACAGAGCCAGTGCACAAATAATTCTCACCTCTCAATTTCATGTTAATGCAACTTAATGTGAATGAGGTGATCTTTTACTTCCCTGATTTGCAGGAGCTCTCTGGTGTGGTTGAGGGCCAAGCAATTATTGGAGAATGTAATGGCAGGAGGCTGTAAGAGGTGTGAAGCTGTCTGCTTTTGACACCCTTCCCCACTATGGATGCCAGTGGGGGTATTAAAGTAGCTGCTCCAAAATTCTTAAAGATTGTGAAAACTTGAGATTCCATAGTTTTAACTGGACATTTGGCTTGGTGCCAGACACTGGAACAATGGAGGAGTGTAAGCAGAACTGACAAAGGAGCATATGAATCCATTTCAATACCCTGTGTGTGATCTGCTCAGAAGGATTAGGTGGTGGGTTATTTGGAGAGGATTAGTGAGCCTAACAGCAGAGAAGGTAACAGCATGGGTGCTGGGCACGCCTTTGCCTCAGACCCTGCACCCCTTGCTTTGGCAGGGGCTGGGCTCCTCTGCTGCCAGCACACCCCTTCCTTTCACCTTTGGATGGCTGGGTGTGGAGAGGGGAAGAAGGGCAGGATTCCATGGGAGAGAACTCCCTCCTGTCCCTTTCACCCCATTACTGGGTACTAACCCTAAGCAGAGGGTCTGAGCCTCTGGTGCCCTGCAGCCTCATTCTTCAGGGCTGTTCAGGGTCACTGATAACCCTGCCATACTCCTCCCTGTACCTGCTGACATCCTGCTGCTGCCTCTGGCAGGGGCTGCACCAGCCCCCACCAGCCACTAGAGAATCTAAAAGACAAAAAGAAGAGTTGTTGGACAAAGAAGTATTTGGGTCACAAGCAGAGATGTGTAAGCAGTTTGTATCCTGGTTTCCTGAAATGTGGAAAAGGCCCTGGTGATTGAACAAACACACTTTGCTTTGGATTCCTTGACTGGAATACCCTTCCCAAACACCTGACTTTAGAAAAACAAGCACACACTGCCCTCAAAAATCCAGCAAAACTCCCCAAAACTAATGTAAAGTCTAATCAACAGTCTGGGTTTATGCCTTAGATTTCATAAGCAGATGATGTTTCCTGGTTTCATTGAGCCCTGCTGAGATTTATGGTACCTTTTGTTTCTTACCAGCTCATCCCTTGCTGGTTTCTGGGGAGCAAAGGGTCAACATGGCTAAAGCAAAAGTCAAGCAGAACTTTGGGCAGCTGGAGAAGGAGTTCCAGAGGCAGAAGGCAGAGATGAAATCCAACGACAGCTCGGCCAAGCCGGATGTTGCCAATATCCGCATCAAGGAGGAGCCTGTGAGCGTGGAGGAGCCCATGGACACCTCAGCCCACGAGGGCCTGAACAATGGCCTGGTGAACGGCCTGCACCCAGCCCAGGGCCCCTTGGACCCTGTCAATGGCCACCTGCCTGGGGGCTGCATCGACAGGGTCGCCCAGGAACTGAAGGCCTTTGTGTCCTCCACGTTTAAGAAACAGTTTGTGCTCACCCTGAGTGAGCTGAAACGGTTATTTAACCTCCACTTAGCCAGTCTGCCTCCAGGACATACCTTGTTCAGTGGCATTTCAGACAAAATGTTACAGGACATGGTGTTGGACACTGGCTGCAAACAGATTTTGGTGCCTGTAAGTATGGTTTTCCCTTGGTATGCTTTAGGGGAGGGATGAGGGCAGGGGGGGCAGTTAAACGTGTGAGATGTGAAATATTTGTGTCCTGTGCTGATGGACCAGAAGGACAGAGTGCTCAGAGTACCTGTCCAGTGCTGTATTGTTGGAGCTGCTGGAATTCTGCCTGGGGTCCTGCTTGTGGCAGGCTCTGCACTCTGCCCTTGGGACTCTGTTTCCACATCCAGGGTGTTGGGCCATGGTGATTTGCTGTCCCAGCTTGCTCCTGTTAACATGGGCAGTCCCAGATTCCCATCAGCTCTCCTGGAATTGCACAAGCTCCTTCCCTGGGGGACAGGGACCCAGCTGGGAGGGGAAAGGTGACATTGACTGCCTGGGAGCAGCAGGGCACACCCAGCAGAGCCTCTGGGAAGCGACAAAGCCCATGTGCAGCAGGTTTCCTTGGCCTCTCTGCTTCCTCTGGGCTGTGCAGAGGTGTCTGTGTCTTTGTCTGTATGGAAACAATGTGGGTGATTGCGTGAGACAGAGCAGGGCTGGGAGACTGCATTGCTTAGGAGAGCAAAGGCAATCTGGCATCATGGGAAAGAGCCTAAAAGGAAATTAATTTTACAAGACATCTGGCACTGCTGATTGGGTTACAACCAGAAGGAGCTTGGGAGCAGCTGCCTTTGGGGAGAGAGGAGAAGGAACATGTGAACTGCTCAAAAGAGCAGGAAGCAGGAGGGCTGGGAGAGCCTGGAGCATGGGAGCTGCTGGGGGCAGCAGGAACGTGTTCAGTCGTGTGCAAAGTACACATTGTGGCACCTGGGAACTGAGCAACAGCCTGGAAATGTCACTGGGAGAGCACCAATTGTGGTGCTTGCTGCTTCCTCCCCTGGCAGTTTCCAGGTCCTGGGGTGGTGCTTGCCTGGAGCTGTCTCAGTGCTGGCCAGGCTCTCCCCTCACCTGCTGTGATGTGTGCCTCTGCCATGCTGAGGGTAAACAGCTGAGGTCATTCCTGCTCTGCTCCTTGGGACTGGGGCTTGTTTGCTTTGGAAAGTTGAGGATTTTAGAAATCCACACAAGAAGTGAAAGTGAGGTCGTTTCTCTTTTCAAAAAGCAAAATAAAATCCTGCTGAAGAGAGGTGGCCAGGAGCTGCCTTCTGTGTGGAAAACCCTGTCACAGGAGACCTGTGCAGAAGAGGTGCAGAGTGGTCCCTGGAATGTCTCTCAAGGAGACTGTGGCAAGTTTTACTTCTGCTGACTCAGAATTCACTGCAGCTCTCGTGTATGAGCCTGTAGTGCTGGCAGCAATGTAAATCATTGCCCCTGAGCCTGCCCTGATGCTCTGTGCAGATGGCAGAGGTGCTGGGGCTGGGTTTACTCTTTGCATGGGCTCAGACACTTTGGTGTTTCTTGATTGTTCCCTTGGACAATTTTGTCAGAACCCAACAAGAGCCTGAGCTCAGGGGAAGCCTGGAGGGTTGTTCAGTGTGGGATTTCATAGTTACTCATTAGTTTTCTGTAATTGGAAGTGCTTGGTGATAAAAATCAATGATCTGAGGTAATTAAAATGATGTTCTTTGGCGGGTGAAGGCACTCTTGGCTTGACTATTATAGAAAATGTGTGGCTGAAAACAGCAATTGAGACCTTACCAGGGGAATGCAGGATCTGTTACAGAGCTGACCAACAGCACCCAGGGTGTGAGATAAACTCACCCCAACAGGGTGTGAGATAAACAGCATTTGTGGGGAGCCAGAGAGGCCACTCAGCTGCAGTGGGGCTGTGGGGATCCTGCAGGGTGCTGTGCTTGCTGTCCCTCATCAAGTGTGGGGGGAAAGCACAGGGCAGGAAAGAGCAAATCCTGAGCTGGTGCTGCTCTGGGAGAGGGTGAGGAGAGGGGACAGACAGAGGAGAGGAGCCCTGGGACAGACAGAGGAGAGGAGCCCTGGGCAGGCAGGACTCGGTGCCTGTGCCCTGAGCCCCTCTCCCCCCATGGAGGTGCCTGTGCAGGACTCTGGCTCCTGAGCACCCACACCCATTTCCTGCAGACTGGGGCTGGCTGCTCCTGCCACGGCTCCCTTCCCATGGCCTCTGCAGTGGCAAGGTTCTGCCCAGGGATATTGAGGATATTTTTGAAGCCTCAGGAAATGATGTAACTGTTGTGTGTGTCCTGCCTGGCTGGGCTGAAGGAGGGGAGGGCAGCCCTGCACTCACAGAGAGCCCTGCAGGCTGTGCCAGTGAGGGCTCCCTGAGAGGTGAGATCAACAGTTTTACCTTTAGGATTTCTCCAGCTGATGAAGTTTTTTTCTGGCACTCTCAGCCCCCTCCATCTGGTGTAGCTGTAACTGAGGCTGCCTGGCAGTGGCTCAGTGCTTGACTGAGAACTTCCCAGAGCCCAGGGCTCCTCCCTGAGAGGTTCCACTTGAACGTGGCAGCCCTGGGACAGTGTGGAGTTCATCTCCCAAGAGCCTGCACTTGCTCCAGGAGCTCAGAGCAGGAAGGGGCACGGGGCAAATATTTTAAAAAAGATTTTCAGGTAGCAGAGAACTGTTATCAAGGTGAGGCTGGGGAGATCAAGGTGACATAAACCAGCAAAGGGCCAGCAGATGGCAAGGCAGTGAACTGTTTGTGCTGTGTCTCTCTGAGGAATCCCTGGTGGCATTTCCCACTCCAGGCTGTGTGACAGGAGCAAGCAAGCAGGGAGCTGTTGGCTTGCAGCAGTTTGCAGAGGGGGGCTGGCTGGGAGGAGGAGATTCTGTGCGTTTTTCTTCCCACGTATTGTGTTTGTTTGGAAGCCGTTTCCTCCCAGAATGGCTGCATAAACACAGCTGTGGCTGGGGCAGGAGGGGTTTGCACTCCAGGCTGGGCTGGCTCACTTGACGAGCCCAGCAGGTTGTGCCTGGGTGCTCCCAGTGCCCTGCTGCACTTTGCCATTCCTGCTGTGGTGTGTGGAGGGAAGCTGAGGATTTGATTTTATCTCTGCTGAAAACCTACAAGAGAGATTATTCCTCAAAAGCAAGTGTCCTTATGGGAGGAGAATTATGTCAGGTGCTGTGAGCCTAGTCAGCCTGAACCCTGGCTCCAAACCAAGTGTAAAACCTTGTTATATCCCAGCCATTTGGACTAACCTGCAAGTCAAAGCTGTTAATCCCACTAGGCAGCTCCCACTGGACAAAACCCTTCCCCTTTGCAATAAGATCAGAGGCAGAGCATGAAAGGAATGCTGATCTTTTCACTCTGTGATGCACAAGTCTTGGCTGGTGAGGGAGGCTGGGAAGAAAGGTTTGGTTTGTACCAGCAGCCAGGACTGAGGGATGCAGGAACAATTGGGACTGGCTTGTTAGCTTTTCATAGATGATTGATTTAGGTCATCTGGGTGGTTAGCAAGGAATAAATCGTTAGTGACAGACAGGAAGAGACATGTCAGGAGTGAAGGCATATTCCAGAGTGCTCATTAATCACTGCTCCAAGGGGAAATGTTAAGGCAAATGAATGGTATTTTATTTTTTTAGGGGGAGAGGCAATTGTGCTCCTTCCTGTCTGCAGGGGTGTGAGGCTTCTGCCTCAGAAAAATGAAAGTGTTAGCCTAGCTTGGCACATGGGGGGAAAACAAAACATGCAAAACCACTGTCACTTCTGGAGCCTGAAATGAGCAAATAGCTGGTTCAGTGTCCCTCAGTGCTCAGTCTTCTGATGCTGTAGTCTGCCCAAAGCAGAGATGGCCATACAGCAGCAGCACCTGCTTGTCAGTAATGCTCCTTTGGGATTAGTGAAGCAGATAACTGCAGGATGGAGTCTGAATCTGTAAAACCTGACACTGTAAAGGTAAAAACTGCCAGAAGGACCCTGCAATGCACTTGGTGCTCTCAGCTGTTCCAGATGGTCTGGAAGCAAACACTACAGACAGGAGAAATCTACAGCTACCTTGCCATGGGGATACCATCAAGGTCCAAGCCCTGGGATTGTTCTGGTACATGGTGGTCAACTCTCCACCAGTGGGAAACTGTCCCCATGCACAGTTCATGGGATTCCAGTATGTCCAGCAGTTCACTTGAAAGCCCAGCTGTGGTTGGTGTGTGACAGATGTGGCACCAGTGCCATGTGCAGGGTGTCCCACCCTGAGCAGAGCCAGCAGTCAAACCTGGGCACATTGAGACATCTCAGGGTGCCATTCCCTGGCCACAGCTGTGACACAGAGCATGTTCCTGCTCTGGCACTGGGGCTATGAGAAGGTGCTGAGCAGGCACAGGGCAGCCAGAGCCAAGGCACCTCTGCCAGTGTGGGGTGGGACAGCAATTGGGTTTCTTCAGCAGTTATTATTCCATGGCAGCCAGAGGTTTGATTCAGTAATGGGTGTCCAGGGATACAGTATCATGGAATCATTAAGCAGAACTCATTAAATAGCTGGTTATTTTTAACAGCCTCTTGTTCTCAGTTTCCTCCACAGACTGCTGCCTCACCAGATGAACTAAAGGTCTATGCACTTTGGGAAGCTGGTGACACTTATGATCAGGTAAAAAGAAAATAATTGACATTCCCCCACTATATTTTTATTGAGTGTTTAGCATTGTTAGCATCCATGTTTCTGGAACTGGTACACCAGATAGTTTTCCTCTTTCTCTATTGGTATTTTCAACACCAACCTGTTTCTAGCTGAAATGAAGCTCATAACATGTTGGTAATCATGTCAGTATCTCAGTGGCTATTTCTGAACCTGTGAGAGGAAAGGATTCTCCAGTGCAGGCCTCAGACCAGGATCCAGTGCAAGGTTTTTTTCCCTTTTGATGGTAATGCAACATTAACCAGCGATTACCAGGTGTATCTGTTGTATCTGTTTCTATTTAAGAGTAGGAAATATTTGCAGCCTCTGTGAGCATCTGCTGAGTTCTGACTCTGTCAGAGTAAACAAGGTGAAAGGGCAGGTGCCTGGTGACCTGTGCATGGGCAGTGCATTCCCAGCTCCATGAACTGAGTACATTTCTCTAGGAAAAAGGCAAGAACTAGAAACCTTTGCCTGGAGTGATGTGCACTCCCATGCAAGCATTTGAGAGGAATACATTGCAATGCCTTCCTCAGTGTGTTTTTATACCTTTGGGGTGCCCCAGGTCACAGAACAGGAGCAGGTGTGGCCACAGGGTCAGGAGGGACCCCTGCAGAGCCCTTGGAGGATAAGGCACTGCTGGAGAGCAGCAATATATGGGATGGTTTCAGGATTATGAAGCAAGAATGCTCTGATGTAGTTCAGGGAATGCTTTGTACAGACTGAGGCGTGTGCAGTTGTGATAAAAGTCAGGAATAATTGTTCTCTGTGGACTTACTGTACATTTTCTTTTAAAGCATCGCCAAGTTTTGCTTGAAATCTTTTCGAAGAACTACCGAGTGCGCAGGAATGTCATCCAGAGCCAGCTGAGTCAGGAGTGTGGGGAGGATCTCAACAAGCAGGAGGTGGATAGAGTGTTAAAGGTGAGCTTCTGTTCACTTTGGGTTTGAGCCAATTAATGCATCAGTTTTAATGCTTGATTTGAGCAAAGGATTATATTTTACCTTGAACTGACAAATGATAAGGATGATAGAACAGTTGTTGTTGGAATGTGGACAAAGCCTGTGTTTTAGCTTCTTTTCTTAAAAATGCACTTGTCTCACTGTCTCCTTTCCCTCCAAGGAAAAGAGGCTCACACATTATTTTGTCTTATTGCAACAAATCTCTGTCATCTTGGAGCAGCAGAGAATAGAGTCTAGTAAATGTGATACTTGAGTTCTTTTTAAAAATGCAGAATTAAACATTAAGGAGGTGGGAGGGCTCTGCCCAGTGCTCTGAGTTACCAACTGACTGCTGCTGGTTAGTGCTGAAGAGCACGAGTGCCACATGTTCAGGAGGAAGTGGATTTTATTCTCTAGCAGGATGTGCAGCTTTGCACAGAGCAAAACCCTGGCCAAAACCAGCAGGCAGAGTAGTAGTTAACACATCTCATTGTAAATGTTTATTTAAATCCTTTCATCTCTCTTTGAAGATGCACCATTTACTTGCTCAAGAAATTGAAGGTATAAAGTACAGACCACACAGGCCATGACTTTAAAAGAGATGCAGGATGGCCAAGCAGAAAGTTGCCAACTAATGTAATACTTTAATCATTGTGGCTGGGCCTTTGCTCACTGTCACCCACTTCAATAAGACAAGTGCTTAAGTACTTTATTACATTGTGATCTGCAAATGAATAATAGCATCTTTGAAGAACTACAGATCTGTTGCTGTGATAATAAGCAAACTGGTCTTGCTTGAATGAACCTGGTCGTCTTAGCAGTAAAATAAGCTCAGACATTTCTGCCTGCTAGACAATATTTCCTTTGGCTCCCTGTGCTGGGGGATTTGTCAGTGACTACATGAGCTCAAGTATCAGCCCTCCTGGAACATCTAGACAATGTACTGGCATTAGTTTTTCATGATGCTGTTGCTAGAGATAACCTATTTCTAGAAAAAATACTTTCCCCTAAGTCATCAGGCACTGTTTTTACGTAAGTCAGTGGGTGACCAGCCTTGTGTTGTGGCAGGCTTTATTGCCTTGAATACATTTGTCACAGGACTAGAGAAAATTACCTTTGTTTCTGAAATAAAATTTAGAAGCATGATTTAATGAAATGGGAAGATTCTCTGGCTTCTTTAAGCCACAAGAGATTGGATTCCACTTGAAGTGAAATTGGTTTTGTTGACTCCTATTTCCCCATCTGCCTGTGCTCGTTTTTATACACAGAGGAACAGACTGACAGGGTTTGTATTTTTGCATTTATAGATCAGTCTGCAAACCCTCTTTCTAACCTCTGGGTTTGTTTTTGTTATGGATGAGCCCTGAGACTTCAGAAACAAAGATACATTCAAGTTCCACAGCCTCCGTTCTGCATTACTACTTGAGCCTGTGCTGAATTACCTAAGAGGGAGGTTGGAGCAAAAGAAAGGGAAGCTGTTAGCTCAGAACTCCAGAGACTTTGTGCTCACCTAATAGAAACAAGGAAATGAGCCCCAAGACAGCCCAATTCCTGTGCTCCTTTGCTGAGGCACACGTGTGGTCACAGCAAGGCTGATGTTTGACACTTCATTATCATAGAAAGGGTTTCTTAAAAGGCTTCATAGCCAGTGACTGCCCTCACTCTCCTGCTGTCCTGCTGCTCCCTCAGCCTCTTTCCCCTCTTTCCCCCTCTCTGCCCTGCTCCTCCTGCCCTCACACATCCTTCCCTCCCTCAGCTGCCTTCTGCACGAGCCCCAGGTTCTCCCCCAGGAGCCAGTGCTGTTCCTCACTGTCTGGGCATCATTTGTCCCTTTGTGGCTCTCAGCCTTCCTCCCTTGTGTGTCCCCTTCACTGAAGCCCTGTGTCCTTCAGGGTGGGGACACCCTGTGCCCTGGGGTCATGCTCTCTCTGTGCACTGGAGAAGGGCTTGTCACTGATCATGATCATTGTCCCAGAGCCAGCCAGTCATTCCCAAGGCTTTATGGACTTTAGAATCATAGAATCTTCAAGTTGGAAGAGACCTTTGAGATCATCCAGTCCAACCATCGATGCAGCAGTAGCACAGTAACCAGGAGCCCTCACCCAGCCCCAGATGCACACACCCCTTACACCCCTAGGGACGGTGCAGCCCCTCCCAAGGGCTGAGCAGCCTAACAGAGCCTTCCTTTCCCCTCTCCCCAGGACTGCTGCGTGAGCTACGGAGGAATGTGGTATCTTAAGGGCACGGTGCAGTCCTGACAGCGGGGCAGAGGTGTCGGGTGACCCCGGGGACACAGGAGGAGCCCCAGCGGGTGGCACAGGCGGAGCAGCGCCGTGGCCTCGGCAGCCAGGGCGGGATCTGGGCTGCCCTGGGCCCGCGGGCAGCCCCTGCCAGCCCCAGACTCAGAGTTTGCATGGCCTCCGAGGCGCAGAGCTGCCGCGAAGGCACCGTGGGACCCTGTCTGCAGCTTGATTAATCTGGGATTTCTAATGTATTGCAATTCTCCTTCTGTTTCGTTATGACAAAATAAAACCATATAGTGACACAGACATGATGGAAAATCATGGTCTAAAACTTTATTTTGTAAGTAATGCCAATAAATTAAATTTGTTTACAAACATCCCAGTTTTTGTTAAATCCCTGGATGCTCATACTTTAGTGTGAGCATTGTCATAGCCCTTGCAGCCCTCTTCATAGAGAGCAGGTAGTCGTGTTCATGGGAATGTCAGGCCTGGGAGGGGGGAACAAAATCACTGTCTGTGAACTCTGTACTACATAACCATTGTTCTCACCTGTTGTCTGTGAAATGAGTTCTTTGGAGAAGTACCTACATCTGAGACATGGGGAACAGCTACTGGATTTCTTCTGCTGGTGTGGGGATGGTTTGAGGGACCTTGTGCATTACTGTATGTGACAGAGCAAGGTAAGTAACCGAGAGCACCCTTTGGAAGGCATCCAGCTCTAGTTACCACACAGCAACCATGTAAAACCTCTATTTTGTGTAATTTTTAAATAAAATTTTATCTCAAAGGTTAATTCTACCCCACCTTGTATTTGTCCAAGAAGAAATAGAAGCTGCACCTGCTCCTTTTACATCCTGAAGGCTCGAGAAGGAAGGATGGAGGCAGAAAGCCAAGTGAGTGCAGTCCCTGAGCTCCCTGGGGAGCCCAGCAGCAGGGACAGGGACCCAGCCCTGGTGGCTCATCCTGAACTGGCCTCACCTGCAGTGCCAGCAGGAGGATCTGCTGTGGGCACTGCACAGCACGGGCACTGCTGCCCCTGTGCTCTGCTGCAGGCTCCCAGCACATGAGCAGGTAAAGGGGATTCCATTGATTTCAGCTACTTATGCTCAGAAAAGGCTGAGCTGAGTTGTTGACCAAAATAAGAAGATTAAAATAGTTAATCCAGATAAGATTGGCTAAGAATATTGTCCCCATACTTACAGCATTTCACGGGCACACTTGGGCACACTCATTCACACTCACACACACCCTCACACACTACTCACACTCGCTCACACTGGCACTGCTTCTGCCCAGCAGGTGTGCTTTGCCCCATCCCTGAAGTGGTGAGGAACACTGGCAGTGAACCACTTTGTGTCTTTCTCAGGGTGCTGCTTTCCAGTCTCCGAACTGGGGCGAGACGGGTGCAGGTGGCAGGGCCACAGTGACAGGACAGAAACCTCATGGCACAGCAGCTTTTCTGCTTTCCCCACCCTTGGCTTTTTTTTGAACAGCACTAACAAAAACCACAAGAATGAGGAACAACTACTTACTTCCACCTGGATTTCTGTCCTAGACAGGTCTGTTCTTTTCCATGTAGCATAACTCTTCTAAAATACAAATTTTGTGGGAACTCCATCTGAGCTCTGTAGGAAAGATGGCAGGACTAGATAATGCAGGTGCCAGCTGAACCAAGTTCAGTTTCCTGATTGGCACAGATGGATATAATTACTACTTACACATGCAGCTTGACTGGATTATTTATTTGCTTAGAAAAATATTCAGAAGATTCAGATTCCCATTTTTAAATAATTTTCAGACTGCAATACATGTTTTAGAGAAACTCCCACAACCTGAAGTGTTAATACTGCACCTGAAGGATGAGCAGAACAGAGAAGAGTGTAAGGCAGCAGAGCTGCAGCAGCTGGACTAAAGGTGAGAAACTGTCAACATTCTGGGTCAAGGGTTTGGTACCTTGCAGCAAGTCAGCAGGAAGCTGCTTCCCAAAAACTGCTGCCAACATTATGCTATGAGACCCTTTACAAGGAGAAGGATGTCACCTTTTATTGTGCCTTTCTTCCTTCCTCCTAATTTCTCTGTGGTCTGAAGAACAACCTTCTCCATGTTCATTGTTTTTCAGAAATTAAGTATTGTATCAATTACTATTAGGGAATGGAAAAGGAGAGGGAGAACAAGAGTATGGTCCCGTTTTCAGTAGGATTTGTGCTGGCAACCCCCAGGCAGCATGGAATAGATTAAGAGAGGCCAACACTGGAAGCAAGAGACAAAACAATGTAAGGTTTTACCTGGCCTGTCTCCTCAAGCACTTAGAGTTTGTGGTATGCAACATTAAAAGCTACTCCACTATGTCAATGCTACTTCTAAAGTTAAATAGCTAAATAACAACTCTAACTCACCAAATACACATAAAAATGAACTTTGCAGACATTCCACCAGAGAACCGTAGGTCCCAAGTAACACATAGAGTCAATTCACAGTATCTTGCCTCAAGACAAAGTGCCCTACAAAGGAAACCGTATCTAAAAAGCCACACAAACTTTACATCAAATCCTTTCTTAGTAGAAAGACATTTATGCTAATCTGTGGGAGAGCTTAGTGATTGTGAAAACGTGGTATTAGCTTAAAGCAAGCACAGCTTTCCACCACCCTGCCAAAGCAAGATCAGCTGGACTGCTCCCCTCCTGGAGCTGAGGAAATGCTGCCCTTGGGACTGGTCGGGGCTTTGCTTTTGTTCATTTTCTCCATCAGTGTATCACAGGGCTAGATCATCCCTGTGAACCAAAGGAGAGCTTGAGTCTGGTTCTTGTGAGACATTCAGAGATCTTAGCTCTAGTATTTCTGAAGTGGACTAAGGAAACAAGTTCCAGTCACTGCTCTGGCCAGAGATGAAGTGTAATATGAAGTAGTAGTGTAGCATAAAGCTATGATGTTTGTTTGCTTTACAACCACTGGTTTGTGTGACAGTGCTAAACATGAAATCTACTGCTACACAGGAACGGGGAATCTAGCTGATAACTAACTAGCTTGTTAACTACAGGGCTACCAGCCTATCCAAAACATTCATTTTGAGTGCTTAAGAAACACATCAGTTTAAGGGGTCTTCTGACATTCATATGAAGTGTTTTCTTGACTAATAGATAAGGTTACGGCTGAGAGGAGAGACTCTTGTACTTTGCTCTATGTTCATCTATTTCTTCTTTTGTTTTTCTGATACAGCTAAAAATCTCCTTGAATAGTGCTTTGTATTCAGGGGGAGCATTTGTGGAAGAGTCACTTAGCTCAGCAATTGTGAATTCTTGATTGCTAGCTGAAAGATCATACTGGGTGTTCCCCACGTTTAGGTCTTTGGAATACTGCTTCAGTGTTTGTACAGCCTTGTGTTTCAAAGAATCTTCATCCATCTGACACTTCTTCAAAAGTTCCTCATACTTCACTTTCAAAGCATTGTACTGAGCATCAACTTCATTGAGTACAGAGATCCCTCGCTGCTTCACAGCTTCAGCTCTCCTGATGCAGGTTTCTTCATGGCCCCTGAGGATGTCTGCCCCGGCCGCGCTGCTCAGGAGGCTCTCGCTGCTGCTCCGTTTCAGTGCCTTCTTCTCAAGCTCTGATACTGTCACAAGTCCATCATCTGCCAGGCTCTGACCAAGCTCCCTGTCTAGAGATTCCTTGAATGAAATGAAAAAGGATTCTGGCACCAATTTCTCTGCGTTATGGAGCGTGTTTTCAGACTGAAGGATCTGTCGCATTTCAGCTACTTCTGCTTCCAGCTCCTCCGCCCGAGCCCGGTACACGTCTGTGTCGACCAGCCTGCGCTCCAGCTCGCAGTTCTCTTTCACCATGAGACTGTATTCCTCTTCCATGCTCACCCTCTTCTCCTTCTCCACGTTCAGCTGGGCTTGCAGAACTGTCACTGCCTTCTTCAACTTCTCATTTTCTTCTTCTAGAGGACTTAGCTGACTGTCCATCGAAGTAATCTTTTCTGCAAAGACGTGATCGTAAACAAAATACCTGCAGAAACAAAATAAGGATTTTCAAAGATAGGAAGTACAGCTGACCACACCTAAAGTTTTCCTGTCCTGGGTAACTAATGACATATTTAAACTGTGTGCTAACACACTTCAGAGCACTAAAAGGGGCCACTGCACTAACCAATCAGTCGATTTAGTAATCAGAACAGGGTTTGTAAGGCCTTACATGCCATCAAACCAAGCTCACAGCTTAGGCAGAATGCCAGCTTGTTAACAGTTTCAAGTTACAGACAAGCTGGCTGAATAATATAAGTTTAAAATATAATTTAAGTTTAAATACACATTGCCTCCCTCTACCATGCAGTACTTTCTGACACTAATTTTTTCTACAGCACTCCACTCTTGTAACTTTTGTCATTACTGATATACAAATAAGCTTCATAATAATTCATAAGCAATGCTGGAGGCTGGTATTTTCACAAGCCTTTAGCAGCTTGAAGGATTCAGTTATCTTTTGAATTGTCAAAAATAACTTCTTTTTGGATTTATGATTTATTCTAGAGTACCTCCATGTAGACACAAGAGCCTGTTCTGTCTGTGGAGATGCTTTCTTTACAAAATTGCCCTCTAGGCTTGCAGTTAGTCTGAGCTTTCACCAGGTGATTGTCCCGATGGCCCCATTAATGTAATTCAGCTGGGTCAAATGGCTCTACGTTTAAAAGGCAGCCCAGGGGCCCAGGCACCATTTTCCCAGTTTAGGTGTCCTTTTCTCCAGCTTCAGCTCAAAAAAGCTAAGGAAATATCCATGGACATCCAAGGAAAGAGTAAGTTACTGGAAATATTTTGAATTTAGTGAGTTTGTTTTTCAGATTATCTGTGTGTTTGCTTTTATCTGACTGAAAATACTGGGGTGCAAATTGTTGTCAGCTTTCTAGGCTACCACTTGATGTGGCTGGCTCTAGGGACAAAGTGGAGCACCAATACTGGTGTGGTGTAGAAGCAGGCCAGAAGTAATGACAGTGCCATACTGCAGAGGTACTTTGCTAGTTGTGAACATCAGGTACTTTTTTTCCAGCTTGTGTCTTAGGTTTTAAAGTTTTGCCTAAAATAGTTTAGTGTTCTTTACTCTGCAAGGTAAGAAGTCTTACTGGCGGAGGTCGTAGAGCTCCTTCAAGCATGAGAAGCTGTGCATTGATCTTGGCTGCTCAGATCTCTCCTGGCTCACCCGGCCTCGTCCAGGCTTCTTCAGTTCTTCCACTTGTCGCTGCAGGTCATCTATGTGTGTTTGCAGACTTTCAATAGTCTCTGTCAAGCTAAAAGGTGAAAAGGCCTTTAAATAAAACCAACCTTTCAATTTGCCAGTATTGTAGAACACCACTAGGCAGAGACAGACACCCAGTAACTACACAAATACGCCTGGACTGCTCTTATTGATATTAACAGCTGGGGGGAGGGTATCTCTAAAAATTTGTTACCTTATTATCTTTTGTTGTGAAGCTCTACTCTCTGCAACCAGTTTTTGATTAGTGTCTTCCAGTTCTCTGGCTGTCACATCCAGCTGTTCATAGACTTTGGCATGCTGGTCGTTCATCTGCCGCAAGAGCTCCACTTGCTTTGTGAGGTACTGCAAGACAGTTCTGCAGTTACTGTTTGCTCTTGAAACACGAGCCACAGCTCCTGTGCTGCATTTCTGCTCACATTCAGAGAGAAACTCCTGAGTTTTCCAAATGTAAATTCCTGTGTTTGCTTTGGTAAGCTGAAGAGACACTGTCAGTACCTAGGCAGCTTGCCTTTGTTATGGAGGCCACCCCAGGCTCATGGAGCAGCCCTTACCTGAGGAGCTGGGCTGGATGGTGCCAGCTGTGGATGGTGCCAGCTGTGGATGGTGCCAGCTGTCTTTACTGTGCCCAAGCCTTCTGCATGGGGCTGTGCTGCAGTCAGCACTGGTAGAGCCTTCAGGCTCCAACACAGCCCTCACCTGTCCCCTGTGTGCTAAAGGTTGCAGGCTGCTCCAACAGAAATTTCTTATCTGGGTTGACCCAACAATTTTTTCAACATTAAAAGTGAAATATTGGGTAGCACCATCCATAATTAAACATATTTTCAGCTGACCCAAGTTACTCCAGTCTGAAGCAGCATTAGGTTCAGCAAGGCAGAATTTAGGTTGTTGTGGTCACTCTTAAGACAGTATGTGTCAGGAAGTATAACTTAATGGATTCAAATTTTTAATTACTCACAGGGAACTATTGGAGTTACTGTAATACCCAAACAAAGGTCTCCTGGCTTTTCTTAAAAAATAAAACCTCACAAGAAGTAATCTCAATTTAATCCTCCTGGGTTTTACAATTAACTACACACACTGTTTAGTTTCCTGAATAACGTCAGAAAGTTTGGAATTCTTAGTCTAAGCAGTTCACAATCACCTAAAGCTCTTAAAAAAAGTGTCTTATATTCTCCCACCCAGGACATGAGCATTTACATGAGACAGGTCTTTTCTGTTTGAGTCTAACTCCCTAAATGTGAAATATTTTGTTCTTATATAGAATTTGTGTTTTACAATATATTCTGTATTGCTACAAGTTACTTTCTTAAAAAACTAAGCTTCAAGCAGGAACATCCAGCAAACTCCTAGGCAGAATTACTTCTCTTTACATAGGCCTGTTACATACTCAAAACTTCTAATATTCTTAACCTTTTACCTCATTAGAAGATTGTTGGTTTACATTTTAGGCAATTTAAGAACAGATAATAAGTTAATCTAGGACTAGTAACTGCTCCATACAGACTTCTAGAAGATCAACATGATAGCTGTTGGCTGGATCCTTTTGTAGCCTGTGCACACATGACAGAGGATTTACACAGAAATAGAATGCAGATTAGCAGTAGAATCTCAATGTGACCCATTTCAGATTAACTTTCCCTATTGGTTATAGCTGAAGGAAGGAGCTGGGGATCCTCAGACTTTCTTCTGCAATACAAGAGTGGTTAAGCACAGGAGCCAAGGCTCTGGTGCCTGAAGAGATGTTGGTACTTTTTACAATGGGCTTTTGCTTTTTCCTCCACCTTCCATCTCCAGCATCTTCAGGGCTGGTGTCCAGTTGGCCTGGTACAACCTGACCACCAAAGATGATGTACTAAATACTTTAGAAGTTCATGTTTAATCTATGTCCCCTACAATGGAGCACCTAACATGAAGCAGCACCTTGCATTCTAGCACATGGAAACTGGAGAGTGTCAGCATTTCCAAGGTCTGAGTGCTGAGAACAGATTCAGGCAGGAATAAAGTTGCTGTTTCCATGCAGCCTTTATTATATCTACAGTGATTAGTTAGTGGCACATGTGTCAGCACAAAGGTCAGGTATAATGATCCAGAGCTGTAAAATGTTTAATGTGTTAGTATTTAATATATGAGATGTAATCTTAAGCACACCACAGCCTTTGACCCTTCTCTTCCAGTAAAGGCAATCCTGTAATTCAGAATGATTTCTCAGCCAGCTCTAGACTTTGCTACCCATAAGATCCAAATTAATAGGGAGAGTCCCAAAGATTTACATGGATATACTGCACTAAAAAAGCTAGTACAGAAATTCAGTGCAGTAGCTACAGGAACAGCTGAATGATCACAGGTAGGTTACAGAGACAAGCACTTGAAAATTGGGGAAAATCAAGCATGGAGACTAAATATGCCATTTGCACATGAATCCTGTGATCCCACAAGAGCCAGAAATGCTGGTATGAAAATAACAGACTGAACTGCTTTGTACCTTGCATATTTTTATACATCACTTTATACATTGCAAATTTTATTCCCATTTGTTTCAGTGAACTCCTGTAACAATTCCTTGTGCCAGTAAGCCAATATATTCAGTTCCTCAGTTGGAGGGTCTCTGGGTATTTGAACAAGGGGTTCATTTTCCCTTTCCTGACAGAAATCCAGGTGCAAGAGAAACTTCTTTGTGCTGCTATTACACTTTAAAATGGCACTGGGGAAAGAGAAAGGACTGAGACAGGAGATAGGGCTGGGAAGACAGCATGTTACTACAGCAGATAAAGATACAGCCTTTGGCTCAACAAGCTGGGCAAAGAAAAGGTGCAGGCACTATTTATACATCAGAAGCATCACAAAAACTGTTCTCCCATTCTCCTCCTCCTCCTCTTGGAGGGAGCTAATAGGACAATCCAACACACATCTACTCTCCTTGAGGGAGAGGAGGAAAGAGATTGAAGAGGTATCAGATAAAGCCTTCAAAAAGTAGCATTGCCAAAGTCTTGGTAGAGCAAGACATTGAGAGAAAAAAATTATTGTGTCATGTCTGAGTTTGTGTGACTGCACTGTCCTTGACCCTGCAGCACACAGCTCCAGATCCCTGCTGCAAGGACAGGGGTGACACCTCTGGAGCTGCAGCTCTCATGTCCTCTGCAAACACTGGACCACCAGAACAGCTTAAGCAAGTCAACTGGCTTAAACCAATAGGATGCTGCATTCTTAACAGCACTGCACTGTTTCTGTAAATCAGTGTAGCCAAGCAATAATGTATTTCCCACATTTCTTAAAATGCAGCTGCTTTTTAAGTAGCTACACTCCATCAGCCAGGTTAGTTGCCTGTCACAAAGTCCTGGTGTGTTATTTCAAAGGCATGTTGTAACTCTGCTAAACACTTCCTTAAATATGCTTGTTCATGCAAGTACCTTGTGTACAGTACTTGTACAGCACCTTGGAAGTGTTTGTCTTCTCTACACCTTAAGAATTGATCTTTTTATAAAAGCTGTTCATGGCAATGAGGTATTTTCAGTCTCTGCAGAAGTAAATACATCTTCTAAGGCTGTGGCAGTAATATAAACATCAGCCATTCCAACCACTGTATCTCAGAATGAACAGGATAACAGATTACAGTTAGCACATAACAGAAGAAAGAGCCAACAGATGAGGTACAAAACAAAAGTAACTTCTAAAACCACACCCACAAATCAAACCTGCACTCAGAAATTCCTCCTCATGTACTAAAAATGCTGCATTTGTGTTGACTAATGTAAAGACACCTATAATTCTGTAATTAGTAAGTTTAGGATTCTTTCAGTTACCTATTGCCACTACAATAGTGAGCATTTTCAGTCTGAAATTGCAGCTGTACAAAATGCACATCTCTAATTGCAGTATTGCTAGCACAAAGGAACTCAGATTTTATAAAAATCTGGTACATACCAGTCAAAGCCTGTTCCCAGTGATTCACACCAGAACTAAATGGAAATGCTGACTACATTTTCAATATGTTGTCAGTCAGCAAAATCCTGAATATTTAATAATTTAATTATTAGAGACCATGCATTGCCCTCTAATAGCTGAAAAAATCTCATTATGCTGACAAATGCTAGGTCTGCAAGAACACAGGCAATATTAAAAAAAAGGGAAATTGCCAAAAATAGCCAGGTTTTTCCACTCTGTTACCTAAAGATGACTGGTTTTGAAAGGATGGTTATGTTTTTGGGTTTTTCCCCTGGAAAAATTAGGAGCAATATATCCTCTATATCCTATATTTAGATACTACTTAAATGGGATTTTTTTCCTTTTTTTTTTTTTTTTTTGTCATTGCAGGGTTTCTTTTACATTGAAATAGACTTTAGCTCTCTTTATCACAGATCAGTTTACTGGAAGTACATATCTTCAGATTTTACTTAAATCTCACTTCTGCACTTATTGGCATTCAAATCTCAATGCTGCAATCATTAATCCTCATGTAATATTTTTAACTATTAATGTCTTTATCATCATATAATTTAATGTTATTTTACCTGGCAAGATCAGAAAAGTTTAGCAATAAATATAACTGAAGTATCTTTGTACAAAAGATACAAAACCAAAAAAACACCAGTCATTTGTCATTAAACAAACCAAATCCAATGTTTAGTGGCACAAAGCTTCTGGTAATCACAGAAACAGTTCTAAGTATGAGCCACCTGTACTAGTTCTCAAATTCTCAAAATAGCAGAAGTGGTGAAAGATTGTTCAGTATTTTCCATTAGATCTCAAGACATTCAGAGCTGAACTTATACACTGTAGGTTGCAGCTCCAGATGCTTTCACACAAGGATCCTTTAGAGATTTTACCTCAATCTCCTGCAATTGCTCTTGATTTGTTGCATACATTTGCTGCAAGGATTCTTCTAGTTCAGTGTTACGGTCCAGGAGTGTCTTGCCAAGCTCAGCAGCAAGGTGAAGATCTAAACAAAGAAATCATGTTTGCATGTAAGAGAGAGGAACAGGGATGTAATCTGATTCTGAAGCCTGCTATCAAACACTTGAGGTATTCTCTTATTGCTGTAACAACTGCAGTGAGTTATGTGCAGTGCCCAACATGGAAGTTAGGCCTGCATTAGTGATTGATGTTCTTCTTAGGTTTAAGTTAAGCCAGCACTGACACCCAGGGACACTTTTATGTCATGAAGTTTGCTCAGTTCCTCTGTGGCCCTTCAGACACACCCAGCCATGTTCCCCTCCCAGTCTGTGCCCAGTCTGCACCAGCTCTGCCCAAGGTCCCTTGGGCTTCACCCTCTTGGCAGCACTGAGAGGAACAAGCACAGCAGACCCTAGAAATGCTCATCAATCTAGACCCAGGCCAAAGCTGATGAACTCTTTATTGACTTGACTGTTCCTCCCCATTACCCCTCTAGCAGAGTTCAGGTCACTCAGGATCATGGTGCTAAATGAAGGTTTCAGATGCTTTTCATGGTGAAACAATAATATCAAAAGACATAAAATTGATGGACACTTGCAGCTATTCTGCTTTTCAAGCTCATAAACTCAGGTGACAAGAACTGTTTCACATGCTTCAAAACATCACTTTAAATGTCATTTCTTCTCAGGCATTTAATCTCAATTTCACTTCAGTCATCTTCAATCACCTCCAGGGTGCAGTGACTGTAGCTGTTGCAAATTAAGAAATAAGTCATCTGAGCACTCAGCTCTGTTCTAGAGGGAAGTTTGATATTTGCTCAATAGCATCAGAAATGCTAGGTATTCTGTATTATTATGTTGAAAGACAAGTGTAATTTAAAAGCTAACATAATGTGACAAAGTAATAAATCTTGGTATTAATGCTAAAATTGTAGTTACTCTGTGGAGGGTACTACATGTCAAGGACCCAACAGATTTCTAGAAGTATCTTATTTTCCACCTCCTTCCCATCACATGACCCATGACCTGTATGGGTCATGCAATACCACCTCATTAGTTCTCACACAGAACTTGTATCATTAATCAGAAAGAGAAGAAAAGTCAAGAAAAACTTTGAGTCACATCAAGAAGCCTTAAATGAATAAACAGGAGACATGTATTGCATCATCAGTAGTTACAGCCAGAGAAGCAAACACATTAATTCCATTTTCATTTGATGGCAATGCCCTTTTTTACCATGTTATGCTGCCTCTTTCCTGCTCCCTCTCAGTTCTCTTATCAGCTGGGAACTGTAACACATACAGTATTGCTCCAAGATTGTTTTGTGCTAACCTTCAGTTTGGCAGCCTGTCCAAAATGATTTCTCCATCTGCACACATATGCCAAAGACCAAATCCAGACTTACAAGGACAAGTCAGTACAAACATTTGTCTCTGAAGTTGTAGAAGTCCAATTCTGGCAAAACAACAGCTGTGCTCTTCTTTACACATTCTTGATAGGCACAATGCATTGGTTCCTACCTTAAGGTGAGATTCTTTGCTTAAATGCTGTAAAATTACTTAAAAGAAATCTCACTGCATGGGAGTTCTTCAGTTTTAAGAGATGTACAATTAGAAGGCACATGGCACATTGGTCTGTACTTAGGAGTTTATCCTCACATTGCTTTTTCACTGTAGCATTACTCATTACAAAGCAGGATTTAAAGTATTTGGATAAGGAAACCTTAAGGCATCCTGCTTAAATTTTTCCCATTTGGTAAACAGATTGCACATTGTTTACCCATGGACAGAATAACTCCCAGTCAAACACCAAGCTGTTTGTTCTATCTCATTACAGAATACTGTAGTCTTCAAATTCAATGAATTCATTATCCTATAGAAAATGGAGTCCTGCTTCACAAGTTCTTGTACTGCACAGATCTTTACTAGGAGCCACCATCTTTAAAACAATACTAGCATCAGTCAAAGCAAAGACTACATAGTCTATTCTTTTATTTTAATAGAGTAGAAAAAGAGCTTTAGAGAGATTTAGGATTATGTTAAAGACATAATGCATAATGGAATTACTATCATTTCCCTTCCCAAAGTGAAAGTTTGTTTTCATGTTTAAGTACATTTAGGAGTTTATAGCTTCATTCTTAAATGCCCCCTCACCTACTGATCAAACAGCACACAGTACTTGGAATACAAGGTGAATAATGGAATTCATGTCATACTTCACACTCATTCTGTTTGTTAGACTGGCAGAGGCACAAATGGGTTACTATGGCAGAAACACTTTCATAATTAAGGTAATTTGTTTCTGAGGGGGAAAATACAAGTGGGAGTGCTCAGGAACATACAATAAAACCTTAACTCTAGAGGAAACAAGTACTGAAATAATTTCATCTCTTCTAAAATTCAGAATTTTTTGCATCCATTTTTATACATTGTCAAGTACCTGGAAGCCCTATAAAGAGCAAATTTTACAAGAGAGATGTGTCATGTATGTTTTCCAGCTACAAAATGGAAAGTATTAATTTACATTTCTCTGGAGAGAGTCATGGTAGAACACTAGAAGCAAAACTGCATTTTCTGTTGTAAATTTATGTAAAGCAAAGCTAAATTCTGACAGACGTGCCTTTCTCCTTTTCACCATAAAGATGGAAGCAGAGAGGTTTTTAATAATGCAAAATGCGTATGTGCAGATCTAAAGATCTTGGTTTTAGTAAATCTGATGAGTTGTACTGGTGTGCAACAGCTCCATCAGGAATCTCCAAAACAAGACTTCAAGGATGTTTTCTGTGATGTTGAACAGCCCTCAGTTACCAGCGCTTCACAAACTCTTCTGACTGCATTACCATCATTGAAAAAACATAAAAACAGTTCCAAAATCCTTCTCTTCTACTTTTTCATAACCCACCTAACAGAATTATTCAGAGAATTTTCAATCTAAAATTAGCCTATGCTTTTAAACAGGCACAGGCACTAATTGTGCAAGATGTAAAAGTAAGCCTAGTGTAAGTTTACTTAATTGTAAAATGATTTTTTTTTCTACTTAGTTTCCTATTCCTGTTCTGTATTCGGAATACCCTCTGTTCTGTAAAAGTGAGTAACAGCAAGATGAAAAAGATCAGTCCATATAAAAAAATTCTTCTTTAAAGGTCAGCATACTTCAGCAAAACATTGCAGAAGGATGTCTGTTCCCAACCTTACAAGAGTTCCATGAGCACTTGATGCATGAGCAGGATGCCAGAAAAGCCCATCTCCATTGTCAAGGCAAAAATCTTTAGTACATAGGAAGACTGTCAAGGTTTTCCAAAAGCCCTGCCCTAATTTTAAGTCTCAAAGACCGACTGCCAAGGACTTCAGGCTTGTTCTAATGTTTTACAAGCTCGGTTCTCATAACCATACTCATCAGTTTTTAAACATGCACTGATTGTTTGGGTTGGGAAGAGTTTCACGAGACCTTGATAAGCCCTTACTACCCTGTTTACACATATCTGTGTGTCTTAGCCTCAGCAGCAGGAGGAGGAGTATCCTTCAGAGTCCAGAAATAATGGACAGCACAACATTTAAAAAACATGCCTGTAAAGAATTCCTTCTTTACATTTCAACTTGCCTATCACTTTATTTTCCTCCTTTTCTTTTTGGCAAGGTTATTTGTTGCTTCCATTGAGGAAAAAGAGAGAATCCTCAGAAAGATTGTGTCCACATGTTGGGGGTACATTAACCAAACCCCCAAAATGCACTAAACCTCTAGAATTCAATACTGTTTCTCAAAAGATGACAGCAGAGTCAACTGGTGATTATTTCATTCATTTTAATTAAAAGATGAAAGTAGAGAAACATCAAGAAAGCAAGAAGTGAGTTGTTATACATTGTGAAGTCTCTTTGTAGGTCTTCAACTCCATAAATACTGGCATGGTAAAAACATTACTGAATCATGTCTTCAAACTTTTCACTCTCTTCCCTGTGACAGCATACTGTCGTTTCAGGATCTTATTTCAACTGATTTGTTTGTATCCTGGAGCCAGGAAAACATCAAATTTGGGTGAAGAGTACCTAAATACAGCTTTCAGTCAGCTATTTTTTATAGCATACAATTAGAGAGACCTGGCCCGTCTCAAAAAGAGTTTCTGTGGTCAGATACCTGATCTCAGTGGGAATAGTGCTAAGCTTTCTCTATGGTTTACAGTACAGCAGAACCCACCAATCCCAAGAATTAATGTTATTTCAATATAAAAGCAAAACGTGTAAGACTGGAGCATGTTTGCAGGAAGCCACAGCTTTAAACTTGCCTTTCAAAACAAACTCGGGATTAAGAACAAAAAGTAGAACTAAGTAACTTAAGAAAATACCAGTCATAAATGCCACTAAGCTCTTAAGGAAATTGCACATTCTTTCCGTATCATGCCTGTTAAAAGATTTTCATTGCAATTATACTTGTATTCCTAGGGTTCCTTTCTCATTTGTGAAATGAACAGCATTTATTTCTTGCATGAAGTATTTTAAGACCTACTGATGGAATTACATACAGAAGCTATACATCTATATATCTGAGGCGTAGCGGAGTTATTTGATATTTTAGAAAGAAAACCTAAAGAGTTTCTAATAAGGGACCTGCAACTAATCGAGCATTGCTACGACTACAACTTCACCGACTGGAAGCCCTTACAAAGAGCTCAACAGGGCGCAATAGCGCATCCGACCCGGTGCTTCCAGCACCAGCCCCGAGCAGGGCACCTCCACATTCCGTGCAAGGTGCAACTTTCCGGAGCGCCGCTTCCCTCGCTCCGGCCGGAGAGGGACCCCGGCCCCATCAGCTCGGCTGCCGCACCTCCTTCCCTCAGACAAAGACGGCCGCAGTCCTTACCGGTGACAGCGATTCGGCGGCGGCGGGAAGCGCGGCCGTGCGGGGATCTCGGGCTCCGACGCTCCGAGCCCGGCACGACCGACGCGCCCGCCGCCGCCCCGGCACCCCCGGTCCCCGAGGGCCCTTCCCGCCGCCCCGCCCGGCGCCCCGCACCGCCGCGGCCCCTTCCCTCCCACGCCGCTCTCCTCGCCCAGCCCCTGCCCTCACACACCGCGGCGGTCCCCCACAGCCCCTTGCCTCACCCGCCCCGCTCAACGCGGCCCCTGCCCTCACACACCCGGCTCGCTCCACAGCCTCCCTCACACGCCCCCCGCCGCCGCCCCGGCTCACCTTGCTGCAGGTCCTGCTGGTCGTACCAGGGCTCATCCTCGCGGATTTCGAACTCCTCCACCAGGCTGTCGGCCAGCATCGCGCCCCTTCCCTTCACTGGCGGCTGAGCCGGCGGCGCCCACCCCACGATGCCCCTTGCACCGAACGGGGCAGAGCGAGCCGGCAGCCTCTCCCCGCCTTAGCAGCCGCCTCCGGCCATTGCCGAGCGGTTCCGGACTTTGCCGAACCTCTCCCCCTTCTGGCCGGGCTGCGCCGGCGGCAACGTGGCAGCCGCTGCCGCCGCCCGCCCCCCGCCTCCCGCGATTCAAACACAGCACCCTCGCCTCGCCTCGCCGGCGGGCAGCCAATGGGGAGCCGCCCGCCGCACAGATCGAAAGGAGGTTACACCAATCATAAGGCGAATTCATATCAAGCGGCCAATGAGAGCGAAGAGAGGGCGGGCCCGGGGCAGCCGCGCCTCGCCCCGCCCCGCGGTGCGCAGCCTCCCGTCACAAGAGGTGGGTCGGTGCCGCTGGAAGGGGCGGTGGTCGCCGGCGCTCAGGGGCATTGATGGCGGGGCGCGGCTGCTGAGGGGTGTCGGTTGCGGCTTGTGGCGGAGCAGAGCTGGCACAGGCCGGGGTGGGACAGTGCGACTTGGAGTAGGGAAAGCCGGGGCTCGTTGTTGCCCCGCGTTGGGAGCGCTGAGGGAAGAGCCCGTGAGGAGGGGCCCAGCGTGGCGTCCAGGTGCGGGCCGCCTCTCCGCCGGCGTGCGGGAGGGGAGGGCGGAACGGAGAGCCTGCGCTCCGCAAAGGGCTGGCTCCATCCCCGCACCTCCCTCGAGCGGCCGCCGCTCGCTCTCGCCTCTTTACCGCACAAAGCGGAGAGAGCCGTGTTTCCTGTCCAGGGACCTGCTGAGAAAAACGAGCGTAACTTCCCTATTCTTAACAGACGAGCCCTTCCAAAGGTGCAGTCCTGCGAGCGCCCCGAGCCTGGCCGGAGCGCGGGCTCGGCGGAGCGGGCACCGGCGGTGCCGCAGCCCGGCTGCCTCTGTGGGCACCCCCGAGCGCCTCCCTCAGTGCTACCCCTCGGGACTAGCAGCGCGTTTATTCTGGTTTCCGTCTTGATGTGGTGCAGTCACGTCAGAAGGATGAGGAAGATCGTGTGTCCGACCAGTCTGTCCGGGCTGTGAGCATTACCCAGCGGTTTGGGACCCAGAACGGCAGGGCAGGATGTCAGGGCGCCCCAGGCAACGTTTGCTATTATTTCTCGGAATCCACTTTTCTTCTTTAGGCTTTTGCTCTAATTTCTTTTAGCAGTTGTCATCCTGCTGTGGGAGAAACGCAGGTAATGTCACAGTGCATCTCACCGGCCCGAACAGCCTGTTCTTTCGGCCTCTGAGTATTAACACAGTTGTAACCACTAGAAATTTCTGAAACCGATTTGCCTTCTGTGAGTCACAAAATGTTCAGCAGTGCTTTAACCTGCTCAATATAAAGGCTGACTATTAAGAAGAGGGAGGGGATGCTCATGCATGATTTCATTGTAGTGCTATTAAAGGGAACATCTGGGGAAGGAAGTGTGGTACCTCAAGTTCTAATTGAACCTATTTCATAAACAAGGTGCATGACTAGATGTACCAATTAGGGTAGAGTTGTGTCAGATCCTGCATATTACAATTAGTCATGGTACTAGAGACCAGTTTGTGCATTGTTAGGAGATTTTTGTTGAAGAAGTTTCAAATATCTTTCAGATTTTCCATGGGGACTATTTTTTATTTGTGTCAGAAGGAATCAAGTCAAACAATTTAGAAATGACTGCTGGTAATGTTCGTGTGAAGCACTTTTATTCCTCATGCTTGTGGAATTGGAAGGAAAGTAAAGTTTCCCAATTCTCTATTTTGAAGACCTGTGCAGGATGCTCAGGTAGATATAGAAGTGAAATGCCTACCTTTCCAAAAGCCCTAATATCCACTATATAAGTAATTTCATTAAGTATATTTGTGAAGGCTTGAAAGATCAAATGTGACATTTGCCAATAACATACTCATTGTAATGACTTTCATATTAGTATCAAACTTATTTTTAAAAAGAAACATTTCAATTGCACATCTTTTCAGTAACCTTTTCCTTAATTTTAGGTTTCTCAGTAAAAGATTGTGAAACCAAACTTGCTACAAAAATGCAAAATTTTGTCCCCTGAAAATGGTATTGTCTTAACAAGTGTAGAAAAATAAGTTTGAAGATCTACATCATGGTCATTCTCAAATATTTTAAAAAATCAATCACATTCTCAGAAGTAAATTGGCTTTAATAAAACAAATCATAGGTTTCCAGTTGTTTGTCAGCTTGACTTTTTTCTTAGCTATAAAATGAAGTCACCTACTCTTTGCATCATGTTTCATATCACAGCATCTTATATATGCAAAAGTGCATCCTCACTTTATTTGCTGTTCAAGAGTTCATTTCCCATGGTGTGGGGGTGGAAAAGCTGCCTGTTCCATCTCCCCCAGTCCCTACCTGATGTGTGGCTTTTGTGTGGTGGTTCGGAAGTTCCTCCCTTCCTGCACAGCAGCCTCTCTTCAGCCGCCTTGTCAACCACAGGAAGGCTGGAAGGAGCCTTGGCTTTCATTTCCTGTTTCTTCCATGGTTATTTTTATGAGGAGCTGCTTGTAGAGCTGCTGATCAAGCAGATATTCAAAGCAGGTGTTTTGATGGATATGTGAAAATTGCATTTACGGTAAAATAGTTGATATGCAGAGGAGCAAAGTGTGAACTATTGGCATAAAGCAGGTTGTAAAGCTCTGCATAGTGAGGCTGAAATTTCAACTTGAGGTATCAAAATTAATAGCAGACAGCTTCCTTCAGCAGATGTAAAAATGAATAAGTTAAAAACCAGATACCTGTGAGTAATCATGTATTGGGCTTATAGAATCAAGTATAATGATGTATGGCCAAGGGCTACTTTTAGGTAGCTGTTAAACAGCTTTGAAAGGTAGAGGTTTTCTGGAACTGGCTCCTTTCATGGCATAGTTTACACCAAACATGCTAAGATAATTGATGGAAAAGATCAGCATCTTAAACAATTGTTGGCTGAATATCTGAATGGTAGATTAAAGAAATCTGTATTCTTGGGCTGAATCTCTGCTATTTGGGCTCACATAAAATGGTGTGTGTGCTACTTGCTACGTTTTATTTACATGAACTCTTCCATATCATGAACATTTTAATTTAAAGGTGCTTTGTTTTAATTGTTTTATGGTTTATTAGGTGAAAATATTGTTTCCATGATTTCTTAACAATTAGTATTTTAAAACAGAAGGTCAAAACTTGGTATTTGTTTTGAAAGAAATATTCACCTACGTGCATGCTGCATTTGACATTCATAGCATTGGAATACATAAGGAGTTGAGTCACTTTGTTCCAACATAGTCCATAATTTTAAGAATATATAGCTACCAAGAAAGATCTAAAATGTATGCAATTACTTTGAACTCTACACCAAGATGAGTGTTTGCAAGAGCAGGTTTTTAAGTGGTTTTATACATCAGTTAGGAAGGGTTTCTTTCAAATTTTTCTCTGCTTGTTCCATTGACTTTTAAATACTGATTATACTTAGAAATGTCATCTAATAACTTATTATTTTGGGCTCAGTTTCTTATCACTCAGGAAATGTGTTTCTGATTTAACAAAAAAGGAAGAATGGGAACATTTTCCTCCAATAGTACATTTCTGCAGCTCTGAAACAAGCAAATCCCCCATGTTATTTTAATTCGGAAAATTATTCTACTAATTGTTGTAATTCTCTTTTTAACTTGAGGAAGAAGAGAGCTGTACTCTTGGAAGATGAAGATTCTTTGGGGAATTCATGCTAATGCAGTGGCCTATTCTATGACTACCTTAGGTGCTGGAATGATGAACAGCATTTTTAATTTCTACTACGTTAAGCTTTTCCTAAACCGATACAAAATTTCAGAAACAGGATTTCATGTGGCACAGGTACTGTACAATGGAATATTTTGATTGCCATGTTGTGCTATGCATCAGTGTTGTTGCAACAAAGTGATCCTTTTAATGACAGATTAATTCTGGAATCATTGCAATTAATTAACAGTAAATTATCTTTGACTTTAGTTAATCCATAAACAAGGGAACTTACACATAAAGCACATCATTTACAGTCTGTAGAGTAAAAATCTCCAGACTTAATTGCTGAAAAGATTTTTGTTTGATAGCTTGAAGTAATTTTCTAAACTGATTTTGCCCCTCAGCTCCATAGATAAGTTTGACATTAGTGCTTTCCTATGAACTGTTTAAGTACTTAAATTCTGCATTTATCCTGCAAGTCATTATCCATGTGAGTAGCTCACGTTGTAAATGGTCTCCTGAAAGTAATGGGCCAGCTCATGTTTTGAATTAACTTACTGTGAGAGTAATATCTGAGCTGTGAGGATGAAAGCCCAGATCTATAAGATTTGAAAGAGTGGAGTCCTAGAGACACTTTATTTCACATGTAGTTGGTCACCTGCCTACTTACTCAATCTTATTTTCTCAAAATTTCTCTAAACCTATGAATACCCATAAGAATTTGTTTTAGAGTCTGTTTTGACTCTAAGTAGCTGTTACCAAGACCTAAGTAGCTGTACTAAGACTCTAAGACCTGTTCTACTCTGAGTAGCTTTTCTATGTATTTATTTATTGTCTGAATAGAAGTTTCTTTTAAATAAATACGCTGTGTTTGCAGAATCTCTGTAGAAGAATGACAGTAGTGACAAATTCCCTTGTTTGTGGCAGGTTGTGTTTATGATCTGGAACGCCATCAACGATCCCCTTTTTGGGTATGTGAAAAATGCCAATCGCTTGTTTTTAAAATGTTAAAAGTTTAATAGTAATAAAATTGTTACAAAAATAGTAATACAATTAGAGTAATGATAATTTGGACAATTTGAGTTAGGACAATATGAAACAATAAAAGCAAAGAGGTACAGACACCCGGGTACCTTTTCTGGGCAGCATAAGCCCAGAAAAAGGACCCACATTAACAGAGGATTAACCCTTAAAAACAATAACCTGTTCCATGTTCATACACCTCATACATGATGCATAAATTCCATTCAAACACAGGATTCTGTCTGGTCAACATCAACTTCTTCCTCATAATCCTAACAGCGTCATCCTGCCCGAGAGGGGTGGGAAGAAGTTCATTTCTCCTCATAATAGGGCAATAAATTCTCTTTCTTGTCATGGACGTATTTTATGAAAAATCCTTTCGCTAGGATCTTTTTTCCTGAGAAGCTGAGAAGCTTAATCTTCTCCATGTTTTGCTGCTTTGGAATGTGATTTGGAGAATTGTTTACCCAGCATGTGAAATTGTTTTTACTTGATGACCAATGACAGCCACCTGTGTCGAGGCTGTGAGCAGTCACAAGATTTTATTATCATTCCTTTCTATTCCTTTCAAGCCTTCTGATGAAATCCTCTCTTCTATTCTTTAGTGTATATAATTTATAATATACCATTAATAATTACTATATAATTTTCTATAATAATAACTAATATTCTAAATAACTAAAATAATAACTAATATATAATTTTCTTTTAATATAATATATATCATAAAATAATAAATCAGCCTTCTGAAACATGGAGTCAAGATTCTCATCTCTTCCCTCGTCCTGGGACCCCTGCAAACACCACTACACCTCCTCTGAAAGATGTAGGTGTCCTGTGACTGTTATCCCAGTGTGAGTCCTTTCTTTTAGAAAAAAAGTATCCTACATAGCACAGTTTCTATTTTAACATTTTGTTATAACCTAAAACTATATTTAACACACTATTTAAGAGAATATGTCACCATAGGACATGAAACAACACGAGCGCACGCGCCGCTGCTCTCAAGGTGAAGAAAAAGGGAAGTTTATTTTCTGACTCCAACATTTATAGTTTTCCAAAAGTGACAGTGGATTGGAGGGTGACAGTGCCACCTCTCCAATGACACTGGACAAACTAACAGTCCATCAGATTTCTCCTCCTCCATAAAAGAATGCAAAAAGAAAGTGTGTGAGAAAGTTTGCTACAAGAATGTAAACATCAGAAGGCTTAGAAAATCTTAAAAAAACCAAGGCCACAAGAATTAACACAGCATAACTTTCTAACCCAACACATCCAATATTCATTCTAATACTTGCACAAAGCCAACGATAAAATCCGCATTTTTCCCAGGTACATTCAGGACAACTCCCGGCTGAAGTGAGGCCACAAGAATTAACAGAGCATAACTTTCTAACCCAACACATCCAATATTCATTCTAATTCTTGCACAAAGCCAACGATAAAATCCGCATTTTTCCCAGGTACATTCAGGACAACTCCCGGCTGAAGTGCTGCGCGCGGCGCCAGTTCTCCATCCTGTACGGAGCCCCCCTGTACGGCCTGGCCTTCCTGCTGCCCTGGTTCCCCTGGAGGCTCTATGGGGAGGGCGACTGGCTCTGCAGCCTGCACCTGATCGTGGCCCTGTGTGCCTTCGATGGGCTGCTGACCTTCGTGCTGCTGGCGCAGTGCGCGCTCTTCACCGAGAGCTGCCCCCGGCACGACGGCCGGCTCCGCCTCATCGGGTACAGCCAGGTGGCCGCGCTGCTGGGCTCCACCAGCGTCCTCTTCTGTGGGCTCATCTCTGATAATATGGAAAACTTTGGGTGTTTTCAGGTCTTCGTTGTTTTGGTCGCAGCGCTAGCGACAGCTTGTATGTGTTGCACAGGTAAATACAGCACGAGTCAGTACGAGCAGAGGGAAGTTCACACGGAGGATGCTAAGCTGGAAAACGGTAATGGAGCTTTCTCCTTGGCCTCAGTAATTGCATTGACCAAACAGATTATGACAGAGAAGAACTTTCTATGTTTTGTAACAATGAACTTCTTCCAAGTCTTCCACCTAGCCTTCTACAACAATTTTATGATGATCTTCATGGATAATCTTATTCCTAAGGATGTCCTTTCTTCCTCAGTAAGAAGTATCATGTATGGAGCAGGTTTTATTTGTCCTCAGGTAGGTAGACATACTTTATTTCTGAATATGAAAACCTGTTGTTTTAGTAGTTCACGGTATCCATTTAACCTTGAAAAAAGTGCTGTATTTGGCATAAGGCATTTGCCAGAATGAGTTCTAAATCTCACTCCCCAGTGCTCTAGAAGAAAATACCTCAGTGCAGGCTGATCAAGTTTAAGAGGTGGAGAGAGCAGACAGACAGGCTGGTGGAACATGTGTTTAAAACAATGTGAGACTTGAGTAGGCAAGGAATGAATGTTTTGTATCCTCCAGCACTTATAATACCTAAGCATAAAGGAATGAAAAACATGGCCAAGATCAAACATTTCTAAAGCAAAATCTACAGAATTCTGAATTATTTTTTGTTTTGTTTTCCAATGCTGTGTATTAAAAATGAAAGACTAAGCTCTTCTTCAGGAAGTTTCTGAAATAAAATGCTCAAAATACCAGAAAAAAATTATAAAGTATTGAAAGCATTGTTAAAATATGTGGTATCTCAGTCATGGAAACCAAACAAAACTCTAAATAGCTGCTTTTGGAGAATAGTACATTCCCATTTATTTTGTTGATTGGTCTCTTGGTCAGCAGTATTTATGGGGAAGAGAGACATCCTTTTAAGAGCCCAGTCAGGGATGAGGGGAGGAATAATGAACTGAAAAGAGAAAGAGAACCCAAAAGAGTAATGTGTGAAAACAAGCAGCAAAAGTATATCCCACAGAATTTGACCATACTTGTTTGCAGTAAATAAAAAAATCCTCTGTTCATTGCCTTCTAACTTCTTTCTCTAGATCTTTAAAAACTTTCTCTGTGTTTACCTGTTGGATGCTGAAAGTTAGGATACTCAAAGTATGAGTATCCTGACATTCATCATAGGTGCTGATGGTGTTGAGAATTTTTTAAAATCGGGCTGTTATATTCATTAAATTGGAATGGGTTTTGATAAGTAATATGAATAAGAAGATAAATGAAAATGCAACTGGAATTCACAGCTCAATTTCAGTTCCCATTTGGGCTTTTGCATATAAAACGTAGAGATCCTGAATATATCTTCTGTTCCATAACTCCTAACTATCTATAATTTCAACTTTTGTCCTTATCACAGCTTTAATCGTTTTGGGGCTTTCCCCTATACCTCAGGCAGTTAGGTAATGAACTTTGGAAACAAATCAGAAGCTACAGAAGTTAGGAAAGATTAAATAATTTTACACTTACTATATAGCAATCACTTTTATTGATAAAATCAGTGTGACAGTGTGAAAAGAACAATCTTTCAGAAGCTGCGTCCCTCTCTGCTCCCCAGAGACTCTTTGTCTAGAAGGTCACTGAACCGTGGAGGGTTTGCTGTGACCTTATTTTTCTCAGGTTTTGTCCCTTTGAGCTCAAGATACAATAAGAGAATTCTCTGATGGCAATGTCCTGAACTTCACTTACTGGAAAAACACCCAACCCTTGTAAAATAAAGCTCCTTCTTATGAACTCTGCTTCAGTGGCCTCTGCTAGAATTCAGCTTCTGACTTAGGTTCCTTCTAGTAGTGGATGAGGAACACAACCTGCCCACAAGGAAAATGTTGCTGTAACATAGACAAACAACTCTGAATTTGCATCACTGTTAGTATTTTCCTTACAAACACACAGTCTTAAAGACGTGCAAGTAGTGAGGAATTTTCTAAGTCATAAGTACTTCCTGAGACAGAGTTATTTTGCAATTACAGGGAGACAGGAACATGGTGTTTATAATAGCAGGCATTACATGATCCCTTAGTATTTTTGGTGGAGGCACTTTTCAGCAAAATCCCTGAAAACAGCCAGGGGGAGGAGTATGTTTTAAATTTCTTATAACAAGATACTTTTCTTATACCACCTTTCCACATTTGTTTTACCTCCCTGATCAAGTAGAAATCTTGAGCTTTTTATACAATAGCATTTGCCATGGTAATCTTTGTCTGACCGTAGCATCCTGGTTTTATTTGTTATGTTAAAGCAGTTCAGTGTGGGAACAATTGTACAAGGAAAATTCTTTCCTGTTCTTCATCTGAATATTACACAGTTCATCTCTGTAACACAGAAGAAAGGAGAAAATGTGGGTCTTTATACAGATCCACAGATCTTTTTTGTATATTTGTGACAGACATGAGGACCATGTACATGCAGATGGTGACAAAGGCCCACTTAATGAAAAGAACATAATTCATTGGAGAATGTCCTATTGAAACTGAAAAGTGAAGAGCAATGTAGAACTTCAATTTTGTTCATACTCTAATCAGCACTTAATATAATTTTCATGAGTTAGCCAGTCACTAGATTCTCAGAATCTGCTCCTTGCCAAGACTGGCAAAATTAAAACTCAGCCGTGCACAAGCACTGGCCTCTGCCTTTCTGTGCTTGCTAGTGAAGCCTCTGACTTGCTTGGTTAAAGCTGTCCTGGTGAGCTTGCTTTGCCAACTTAAAAATCATGTGTGATTTCTATAAATGTCAATGAAAATCGTAATATTGATGAAAAAGCAATCACTGAAAATACATCTTTTCAGCAGTTATGTGGCTAGATGATTGATTTACAGTTACCATACTGCAGAGCTAACACTTTAAGGGATATCTAAAGTAAAGATCATGAGCATTAAATAATAGTTAGGCATTGTGGGGCACTGTTTCCCTCAGGATACAGCAGTTCTCAGTGGCTAGTTTTTCAGTGAAAGGAGACTGTACCTAGTAGAAGTGGCATAGAATGAGCCAGTAGAGAGTTGTCTTTGTTCAATTTCTATTTTTTTATTTTGTTGAACTTCTTAGAAAGGGTCATTGTTTTCTTTTTCTTTTCTTTAAAGGGTATTAATTATGTCAGGTCTGTGTTTTATAGCTGTCCTAATGCTGAGACACTGTACTGTACCTTTTCATCTTATATGTGTATATATTATCTTTTCAGTGCCTTGTTCTTCTTAGTCATGCTTGGTTGAAGAAGTTTGGTTATTACAGAATCATCTTATTTTCCTTTTACTATGAAGGAGTAGCTGCTGCTGTCATGTGTCTTCTAGGGCAAGAACACTATTATCTGCTGGCATTTTATGTCACAACAAACATGTAAGTAAATCCACTCCCTGTTCATAGACACAGCTGAAATACTTCTAACAGAGCAGACACTTGCTTTTATTTACCATGAAGATTCTGCCTCTGCTTTCATGGTTTTCATTCTGTTTCACTTACCAGAAAAGTTGAAACTCCAGTTTCAGCTTTTTTTTTTGTTCATTTTATTTTTTTTCAGCTTTTATTTTCTGCTTGAAATAAAAAGAGCTTTAAATGCAAGCAGCAATTACGGTTTGCAGGCACGTGCCTCCAGTCACTTTACCCTGAGATGCAAGGGAAGGAGAATCTCATGAAGAGCTCAGCAGAGGATCAGTCTCTCTCCCCAGGGACTGTTTGCTAGGAAAGCTCAGCCCTCACCTGTGCTGCTGGAGCCCTTGTGTGCTGCACTGCAGCAGCTCTGGGTGACTGAGGCTGGTACCCAGCACTGAGCCCACTCCCATTAATTACACTGTGCTCAGTGTGGGATGCCAAGCTGGAGCAATTTCACATAAGTACATAATGATACATGCAAAACTTTATTTGGTTGTAGCAGAGTACTGTTACAGCAGTTTGGTTTTATTTCTTCATGTTCTCTTTCATTGTTGTCTTTCTCCATGTTCTTTCCTGCCCTCTTTTTCTTCATCTTTCCCTCCCCACCCCGTTTTCTTTCTTATTTTCAGTATTGCAGTCGTGGGCTACTCTAACACTGAATTGTGTGAACAATAAATTGAATTTCGTTATCTGCATGTTTTAAATGATGAAGATGTGTTTTGATTTCTCCAAGAAAAAATCCTGAGGTACCTAAAGACTGTATGTTTAAAGTGCTAGTTGTTCAAAGTACCTTGTTAGTAAAAGCTCATCACACCCAAAGTTTAATGACACAGAAATTGTAATATTTTAATTTATTGTTTCATTTGGCTATTTGTTAACAATCAGCTTTGTATGTGTGTGTTTCTATGTGTGTGTTGCATATCTATATACATCTATGTACACTGTAAATACAGATCTAGGAATGCATGTAAACTATTCTTTCTATTCTAATTCTTCCACCTTGAAGTTTATCTTCCACATGGTCATGTCTTTTCCAGATTTCAAGAGCAAATTTTCAGTTTCCCCTTTTTCTGAGGTGTTTCTTTTCTCCTGATCATTTTAAATGACATTTACTGATAATGTAAATTTATTGTCAAAGTGTTCACGACCTTTTACACCAATGTCCAGCAAAAAAAAAAGAAGAAAACCCCCCACTTTTAGTTTTGCATATTGATTTCTAATTCTCAACTAAGAACAGATCTGATAATGCTTTCAGATAGATCACCATGTTTTAAGGAACATCTCAGCTTTGTGTGCTTGCAGAATATCAGTGTTGGTGTGTTTGTGTTGGAATGTCAGTTACACTTTCATTATAAAGTAAATAAAGAACTACGAACTTCTAAAATATTTTGTTTTTCTCTAGGGTAATTGTGCAAGCTTCATTTAGCTTGTTCAATTTGCCTTTGGCAGATATTGTTGATGCAGATTTAATAAAGCACAAGAGGAGGTAAGTCAGTCATTACTGGTTTTTTAAGCTTGCTGTTTGCCTTGTTACTCTTTGGTAATAAATTATGTCAAAGTAAAGGCAGTAACTGATCTGGGATCCTTGATACAGAAATACTTTTTGTGAGAGCAGCTTAGCATAAGTGAAGATCAGAACTTGAGTAAAGTTTCCTGCAGTTCCTTCAGTAGAGTAATTTAAACAGATTATTAGGTCATTTCTCTTTTTTCTTATACTATAATATAAGCCAAGTCCTTCCACTTTTTGTAGCTTTCTTTTTGTTAGCTTCAATTGAATTACTTTAATCATGTATGGAATTTTCTGAACGAGGCCTTGCCAAGATGGAAAAGGTGTTAAGAAAGCTTTGCCTATGCTAGGTAAAATGCAGATTTCAAAGTCTAACTGGTTCTTTATCTCCCTGAAATAAAAGTGATAAAACCTGCTGCAGAATAGCATATTGCAACTCAGTGATCTTTTGGATTTTTATCAAAGTGCACAGAACTTCCTGTGGGTTCAATCACTTGTTATGTAAGTGTAGATTCCTCCTGGTAAAGAACTTGCCCCTCAAATCTGTTGCTTTCATGAGGAAAAAATTACCTCATTTTCTGGCCTATGCCTGCAAAATGTTCAGTTGTAATTAATTCTCCATGCACTCTTCAGTCTAATTTAACTTCAATAATTAATCAAAGTGCACAAAGTTGAATTTAAGTGCAAGTCAGTTCAGAATTAGGGCCTAGCTCTGTCTATGGATATATGTGTGTATATATATTTTTATATATATACTTGTACACACACCCTGTAGAGGTTTGTAACTTTTAATTTCCAAATAAATTTAAATTTCATTATGAGAGTAGATCTGCTAGAATGTGTGAACTGGATGAATCTAAGGATCATGATATTTAGCATTTGCACATTCAAGCTTTTTAAAATCACAATTGTAATTAATACACTAATAAGTTTGTGTTGTGCAATAATTTGGTTTTTCCCAAATATTTTAGATTACCACTTTCCTCTATGGTTTTTGGAACCAATGCTTTATTTACCAAGCCTGCCCAGTCTTTGGCTCCAATGATTGTGGTTACAATACTGAATCATTATGGATATTATAACCTGAATAATGTACCTGGTCGTCCTGATATAAGGTGAGTTCAAAAGAGATACTTTAAATCTTAGAAAATAACATTAATCACTCCTCTAATCTAAAAATAAAATTGATCAGCAATTACTTTGCATCAACTGCACTTCAAAAACATTAACATTTTAAAAATACTTATTAGTTGTTTTTGTCTGTGTAGAAGCACAAACGTTTTTTAAAGAGTAAATAATTTATTAAACAATATACATGAGGACATCTACCTGTTTTGAAAAGCAAAGGATACCTTTCATCCCCTGGCTTTTTGCAATAAAAGAAGAAAATGTTTGAGATCACTTAATAGCTCCTATTAAGATACATATTGTCCTGGCATCTGCATTTTGTTTACCTCATAAACCTACTTCCTTAAATATATAATATAAAATGTTAATCAGATTTTTTTGTTGTTGTTGTTTTTGGGTTTTTTTTGAGAGAAATCAGTATAATCACTGGAGGGAGAGACTTTGCCTGGAGTAGGAATGGATCCTTGTGGCTCCAATAGTCCTTACCATTCTAATGCTAATGATTTCATTGCAGTCCCTGGAGACCTTAATACAGCATAAAGCTGTGGTTGCTGGTTAGTTGGACATGTGTGGGCTTTTATAAAAATAAATTAACAGGGAATAACCACACTGAAAGGGTCACAAGCTGTATTTATGACCATCAGGAGGAAGTGGCAACATAAGGAATAACTGAAGTCAGGGCTAAATGGAAAATTCAGTCCTGATTAGGATTTACTTGAAGGAACAGCATGAATATCCTGAGAGCTACACAGCTCTCCTGAACCTTTAGGAAAAACCTAAAGGAACAGATAAAACACAATTTTATATGGACTTTTGTGGAGATGGCTCCTGAGGGAGAGAAGTCTGGTTATGAGTCACCTAAGGTTAGGAGAACATTCCATATTGGAAGAATTTTCAACAAAAAATGTATGAGGACAAGCATGACATAAAAGAACAACAGGTGGTCTTCAGAAATGCATCCAGACAGAAGCAGAGGCAGCTTAAGTTTGAGGCTGTGTGTGAGAACAGCTTATTTTAATGCTCTCTGTAGATAGCCAGTGAGATGATGTGAAGAGGACATGAACCTCATTATAATGTCAAATAAGATGAGTGATTTTTGCAGAAGACTGGTAGGTTGAACTGGAAGTGGATATGAGAGGGCTGAATATATTCATCTTGATGATTCAGAGAAATTCAGATTTGAAACATAAAATCTGCAGTTCTGATCCCTTTCAATCAGAGAAATGATCCCTTTGTGGATGGATTTTAAATCACAGTAGTCATAAATCTTTTTTGCCTGGTAAATAGCCCCTGGACTATAGCAACAATAAATTTATTATATAGAGGTTGAAATACTTGGAATGCTTAGTCTATAAATCCTGTGTTTTCACTTGAGTCATGCTGAAATTTTATTTATTTCACTCAGGCCAGGAACAGCCTAAAACATACCAAGCTGAGATTAGTGAATCAGAGCAGCTGAAATACATATTTCTCTTGCCCATCCTTTCAAAAATAATTTCTTAAATATGAAGCAGTTTGCCTGTGTTTCCTGTATATTTGGTGTGTGAATGGGTTTTCCTTTGCTTGCAAATGGAGTACAGGGTTGATACACAATCCATGAGGACCAGAAAGCTCAAAGTTGTTTCTAGGGAGTCAGTTTGCCCTTGGCACTGTTTTCAGACCATTGACTGAGCTAAAACTACTTTATATATATATATATGTATATTAAAACCTTTTGGCTGGTCTCATATTTCTGCCATAGGCAGGCAGTTAAAATACACTTGCCCCAGGACCAAGTTGTTTCAGGACAAACAGAAATTAGGTACAAGAGATTGTTTAAAATACACCCAAACTGTTTTGGGGAAAAAAAGATTTTCACACACACAAATTATATAAAATTAAGTATTATGACCCATGCCAATACAATCTCAGCTCTGTCCTTCCTCCTTCTCCAAAGCTGGCAATATCTACAATATCTATTAAGTGCTTTGGAAAGCATTTGCTTTATTAGGTGTAGTGGCAGTGAATTGTGAAGATAGTACAGAGGACCCTTATTCTGCATTAACAAAATGTTTGGGCCCTGAATAAATATGTCTGAAGAGTTTCCAGCAATGTTGTTTACTGGTACAAGGCAGAATATGCAGTCTGTACACTATTTGCTGCATTCTGAATTATTTTTAACAATTGATTTTACTAACAATTATTACTTTTTCTTAAACTGAGAGTGTGGGGATGACACAGAGCTGGGGCTGTGGCACAGGCACAGGGGGTCACGCTGCCACTGGGGGGATCTTGGCAGGCTGGACTGGAGAATGGGCTGGGATGAAACCAAGTCCTGCAGCAGGGCAGAGGTGATCCTTCCCCTCTGCTCACACACTGTGCCTCAGCCTCTGGAAGTGTGGGCACTGCACAGAAGTTAAGCACTTTGTCATGGATTTAAAGATATTTATTTTAATATCTTTAAAAATTGAGCAGTGCTTTGCAGAATGGAGTGTCCTGATTTTTCCTGTCTTCCATGATCATAGCAAAGCAGTCTGTATCGCTTGAGATGTTATTTGTTCTTGTTTGGATTTTGGTTTTTTGGTTTTTGTTTTTTTAGTTTGGCTTGATTTTTTTTACTTTGCTATGGAAAAGATGCCTAGTTTAAAACCTCCCTCTTCTGGAGAGCCACTGCAACTACCACCAGCTTCTCTTGAGAGTGCTTTTGAAATTTGTTCTTCAGAATGAAGTTATTTGGCAGCAATTCTTCATTATTTATTGAAGGCACTTAAAACTGTCAGTGATTTCATATTGAATTACTGAACTACCTGTCATTCTGTTCAGAGTGATTTTAGGGCTGTTTAGGGAAACATTGTATGTTTTATTAAGGTAGATGTGGAAATTTCTGAAGTTACTTGTTCAACTGTAATTGTGATAAAATCAAGATCTGCTCTTGATTTATCCCAGTCCCTTAATGAAATATTTTCCCATTTTCCCATTCCTTGTTTTGTGTATTATATTGTTTCATAATTCCTGCAATAACTTAAGGTTTTAGAGTACAACAGGTAATATTACCTTCTTAAATCAGCATAATTCCAGTGAAACCAAATCAGGCTTGAACGTGTGAGTGATTTTGCAGATGTTCTTTGTGTAAAGGTGGAATAATGTTAGCATTGAAAACTGCAGTCCTCTTCAGTGTGCAGAGCAAGCCAAATGCAAGCCCCAGCCTCCTGTTAACTGTGTCTGAGTGCTGTTCTCTTCACGAGGTGGTTAAACAATGGCTGTGGGCTCTCTGCTGGTGCTGCTGCTCCTGCAGTCCCTGGGGGCAGCTGTGCCAGGGCTGTGCATGATGTGGGCTCCTGCAGTCCTTGGGGCTGGGGGCAGCTGTGCCAGGGCTGTGCATGACATGGGCTCCTGCACTCCCTGGGGGCAGCTGTGCCAGGGCTGTGCATGACATGGGCTCCTGCAGTCCCTGGGGGCAGCTGTGCCAGGGCTGTGCATGACATGGGCTCCTGCAGGCCCTGGGGGCAGCTGTGCCAGGGCTGTGCATGATGTGGGCTCCTGCAGGGGCTGGGGGCAGCTGTGCCAGGGCTGTGTGTGGTGTGGGCTCCTGCAGTCCCTGGGGGCAGCTGTGCCAGGGCTGTGCATGACGTGGGCTCCTGCAGTCCTTGGGGCTGGGGGCAGCTGTGCCAGGGCTGTGCATGACATGGGCTCCTGCAGGCCCTGGGGGCAGCTGTGCCAGGGCTGTGCATGACATGGGCTCCTGCAGTCCTTGGGGGCAGCTGTGCCAGGGCTGTGCATGATGTGGGCTCCTGCAGGCCCTGGGGGCAGCTGTGCCAGGGCTGTGCATGACATGGGCTCCTGCAGGCCCTGGGGCAGCTGTGCCAGGGCTGTGCATGATGTGGGCTCCTGCAGGCCCTGGGGCAGCTGTGCCAGGGCTGTGCATGACGTGGGCTCCTGCAGTCTCTGGGGGCAGCTGTGCCAGGGCTGTGCATGATGTGGGCTCCTGCAATCCCTGGGGCTGGGGGCAGCTGTGCCAGGGCTGTGCATGATGTGGGCTCCTGCAGTCCTTGGGGGCAGCTGTGCCAGGGCTGTGCATGACATGGGCTCCTGCAGTCCCTGGGGCTGGGGGCAGCTGTGCCAGGGCTGTGCATGACATGGGCTCCTGCAGGCCCTGGGGCAGCTGTGCCAGGGCTGTGCATGACATGGGCTCCTGCAGTCCCTGGGGGCAGCTGTGCCAGGGCTGTGCATGATGTGGGCTCCTGCAGTCCCTGGGGGCAGCTGTGCCAGGGCTGTGCATGATGTGGGCTCCTGCAGTCCCTGGGGCTGGGGGCAGCTGTGCCAGGGCTGTGCATGATGTGGGCTCCTGCAGGCCCTGGGGGCAGCTGTGCCAGGGCTGTGCATGATGTGGGCTCCTGCAGGCCCTGGGGCAGCTGTGCCAGGGCTGTGCATGATGTGGGCTCCTGCAGTCCCTGGGGCTGGGGGCAGCTGTGCCAGGGCTGTGCATGATGTGGGCTCCTGCAGGCCCTGGGGGCAGCTGTGCCAGGGCTGTGCATGACGTGGGCTCCTCTCCTGGAGGTGCACTGGAAATGCCCTTGGACACAGGCCAGTAAACAACTCCAAATGGGAAATGATCGTCCCTGCCAATAAACACTGGCTATGGCCCAGTGGCTGCTCGTGACCATTTCCAGCCCCAAATGCAATTGCCCGAGTGATTGAGTGATTCACTTGTGAGCCTGTGGGCTTTTGTTTTCTCCTGTAGAATTAACATGTACATGGTTTGAGATAAACTGTGCTCATTTCTGAGCCTGGCTCTGTACTAAGGACAGAATCTGGGCTTTGTTGGAGGTTGCAAACATTTTTTCTGTTAAACTGAGCGAGACATGAGTTGATTCTTTCATGATTCAGAGGAGCTCTTATGTTTTATTCCAAAACCTGCTCAAGGTTTGGGGGATTTTTCAGAGATTTTAGGTTTTTTGGACCATTTCCATAGCTGTTGTGTGAGTCTCTTATCTCATCCCTGAATGCTAAGGAAAAAAATTAGAAAGGAACATAAACTGCCTCATGGAGAGAAAGTTCACTTAGGGGCTGTTTCTCAGCTTGAGTTGACTTTCCTGATATTTAAGTAATTAGAATCCCATAATTAACAGAATGCAAGTAGATAATGGTTCCTACTAGATGAATGCCAAAATGCATGCTTTGAGCTGTCAGAAACCATGCTGCTCATAAAAGGGAGCTCATTTAATTCTTGCATTTTCTTGCTTCATTCATATTTGCTGATGCTTTTATTTATTTTTCATTAGAGAAGATTTAAATGAGGAAAGGCCATGCATTCATTACAAAAAAAAGAAAACTCGTGTTAATTTCACATTTATTCTTTCTATGCCTTACATTATCTTGTAATCACTTATTTTAAAACCAAATGGAATAAGGCTTGATATTTCAAATGGCCCTTGAAACCACACCTGAATTTTATGCAATTATCATTATTTCTGTCTAGCATTCAGCATCTAAAACATCACACTATGTGGATAGTTAGAGCCCAGATTTCAACTCAAATAAATTAATTTCATGTTCAAATGGTTGCTTCCATTTTCTACTTTTCTTTCTCTTCCAAATTTTTCAGTCTTATTAAAGCTTTTTGGATGCTCTGTTCTATAATTGGATGAAATTTGCTTAAATGGATTTCTATATTACATAATCAGGAAAGTAGTGAACAGGATTTCTTAGGTTGTATTAAAATGAACTCTTTCTATGCTAATTGTCTGAATTCCTCCCACCTAGAGAAAACAATATATAATACATATCTGCATGTAGAATTAGAAAATACACAAGATATTTCTATTTCTTTTACTTAGAGTTGACAGTACAGTAGCATGTCTTTGTTTATAATGGGAATGATTTAAAAATAACTTGTTTAGTGATCATGGAAGTTAATCTTCATATTGAAAGCTGGGTTCTCATTGGTTCCAGCAGGTCGTTTTTAGATCTCCACGATGCCATGTTCTACCTGGTCTGTCTGGTTCCCCTCTGCATTGCAGTCCTGCAGATCCTGACCTGGACTCCCTTTTCCATCCAGAACAGCCACCTGGCAGCTCCACAGTAAATGTGGAACAGTGGGCACTGCATCTCCTGCTGAACCACAGCAGAGTTCAGTAAGTTTTTCATGTGAGAGAGCAAAATTGCAAGATGAAACACAGTTTGTGTGTTTCATTCAGTCCCTATAGACTGTGACTCACATGCAGCCTTAATGCTGAGCCTACACAAGTTTTTCCTAGTTCAGTTGCTTTCTGTTAATGGGTTTTATCCTTAATTACTTTATTTAAAGTAATTTCTGGTATATAATGATTCCTGTTAACTCATTGGAAGAAAGGATGTGGCAGATCAAGGAAAGGAATCCCAACCCAGCACCTGGAATTCCAGGGAATGATGTTTTCTGAAGCCTACTGGTGGATTAATTTTGCCATATTGATAAAATGGCAGATCTCTGAAGCTAATCTGGAAAATCCCAGTGGACATCCCTCATGGATGGCAGGGAGATGAAAATTTAGATGGTGTCCAGCTGGCCAGTATGAAGACAAATCTGACAGCTACCATGGGAAGAGCCAAGAGTAATTAACTGCCCTGTGAAAGTCTGTGTAAGGCTACAGGAGAAAAGGATTCAGATGCTCTTCAGTGTTGCTCAATATGGAAAAAGCTCAGTAAGTCCTCACTGGCTTGCAGAATCCCTGGTTGGTGGAAGGTCAGTGCAGTTTTCTGGCTTTAAATAATTTTGAAGGTATCCTATAAATAGTGCCTGATACAAAATGTCATTGTGGCAAGGACAGCATTAGTCTGTGGGTGTAGGGTTCAGCTCTTGGACAAATGGAGGTGTGCACACACAGTTACTAAACCAAGCTCTCCCTGTTCAGTGGTGTTATGTTGGCTAATTCATGTGGTGTGTAAATATTTAAGTTAATTTCTGAATCATCAAGTTGAAGTTAGTTAATTTCTGATTCATTCTTATCAGTTAAGATTTTAAATGAATCCTGTGATTTTTATAAAATAAAGGGGTTTTGACCAAAATTTAGAAACATTGAGTCCTCTCTTCATTTCACACATTGCAATGATAATACACATTAGCATGTTTACAGTACTCCCATTGAATCAATGTTATTCTTCCTCCAATATACCCACAGTGTAAATGTGCAGTGATAAACCTTTAGCACAATACAATCACTGCATTTTTGTATTTTGTTTTGCCTGGGCAAATACAGTTTTAGTAGCACTTTCTTAGGGAGTGCCACTTGAAAACACAAGAGCATTGTGTGGATCCCAGTTTTAAAAGGCTGAGCAAGCTGATTTTCAAGGCTCTCCACTTACTGTGACAGGTAACTTGGAGAAGAAAGGAGTGTAAGAAATGGCTTTGCATTTTGGTGGACACCAGCATAATTTAATGAAGAAGTTTGAGATTTGAAATACCAGAGTTGAAAAAAACCATTCATTTGTGCCTTGGCTTTTACATTTGCAGAGCAGAAAGAATCATTTCCTTGCCTTTTTTGAAGTGTGAAGGGCTTTCAAGGCGATGAATGAAAAAGAGGGAGATCATCATTAAATATTTAGAAATCCAAATGAATCCTTTGATAGAAATATGAAGATTTATGTTAAAATGTAAGAAGCCAGAACTGTGGTGAAGTTTGAAGTTGCCTTATCTGGTTTTTATCTGTCTTGTCAGAGACACTGTTGTCCATTAGCATTGTGCATGCTGACAGCATTATGTGCACATCACCTGTGTGCTCTGTGGGTGGGTAAATACCAATACCAGAGCAGATACAGCCTGGGTGTTTGGGGCTTGAATTTGAAAAGATTTCCTGCATTGGATGTATTTATTTCATGTCTGAAAGGCAGGAGTAGAAGTCAAAGGAATTTAAGTTAATATAGTCACTATAATCTTTGATTCATTATATGAAAGTCTTCTCCCTGACAGTTCCTTTAAAATGGTAATAACATTAGTCTCTTTTTTCTTTATTGTTTCTGCATTTCCTAAATTTCCCATGTTTATCCTGTCTTCATAGAATATATATTTTAACATATACAATAAAATAACATTATTGTACCACAAATAGGGTTTGTTAGGTGACTGTGTTAGTTATTTCTAATATTAAATTACTAGAATATAGTGTACAACTGGAAGAGTACCATGCTATACAACAGGAAATCTAATAAGTGGTTTTAAGAGTCAAAATTACATCAAGAATTCATTGAAATAATCAGAATTATTTTTTTCTGGAAAATTTCTGGTAAAGTTACCATTAATTTGCTGAAATAAGAAAGGAGTAAGGAGTGATATGACTCAATACACTGTTTGAATAGGCTCTACAATCTGCTGCATCTCTAGAATTCTTACAGGAAAAGTACATAATCAAAGATTTCTAAGCAAGACAGCCTGAAGATAGGAGACATTAACTGTAGAATAAACCAGTTTAGGAAAAAAATCTGAGAAATACAATTCAAATTATTTAATATATAAAATATTAATAATTTGCCAAATTTATAATGCACTATTCTCCCATTTGTCTGTCCTATTTCCCTTGCTGTAAGGGCTGGAGAAATGTCCTTTAGAGCATCAGCAGTCAATCCCAAAGAGGACTGGAAGGGTGCTCTAAATTTGGGTGGTGGTTTCCTCTGGGAATAGAAGGTTGGCACTGTGCTGTGACTGACATTGCTTATTCTCCATTTCTCTGTCACCCACTAAACTTTGTTATCTTCTGCTAAACCTACATGATTGGTTTTGGCTGTGAATCAAGTAAAGGATGATCAAAGGCAAAAGTTCAGTGTCTTACAACAGCTGGTTTCCCTGCTTTCTCTCCTTATTAGCCAGCAGTATCTGAGCTTGAACTCCCACTGCTGGAAAAATGCCTCAATTTAATCTGGATAATTTAAGAGTGTCTAAAATAGTCTCACAACTGATAAAGAGGCTGTAAGTGTGTGTATAATATAAAATATGAAATGCTGTGGTAAGCTCAGAGGAGGAGAAATGTGATGCTTGAATCCCATTCTTAGAGTTTCTCTATAAATTCTGAGAATATGGAACTTAAAACACTGAATGAATTTTATTTATTGAAAATCAATAAGCAGAAATGTCTGCTAGACTGAAAGGATGTTGTCCAATAGACACTAAAGAATGTTAGTCTAATACAGTAGTAATATAATATATGGTCAGTGATAGAGTGAAAATATTGAATAAATGACAAGAAAGCATATTTAATTTTAAGTGAGGAAAAATGATGTTTTGTGGAGCTTACATGCCCACTTGTGTTCTGGTCTTGTACAAAAAGACCTTCCCAGTCTCCTGCTGCCCTGATTTTGAAACTGCTCAGTAATTCATGGATGTTCAGTGTTGCCATGGCTGGCAGGAATGTTTACATTGGATCCAGCTCTGCAGCCTAATGGGTGCTGTCAGGAAGACAAGCAGGAAGGGCAAGGAACACTTGAGATAAGGCACATCTCCACAACTACTTCCAGGCACTTCCTGGCACAACTAAGCCAGCTTGGGGGGGGAAAGGCTCAGTAGTACAAGCAGGCAAAAGAATTCAGCTGGTTTGGTAAAGGAACACACAGCTGAGACTGGGGGGACCCCACAGCTGGGTTACCTGTGGGGGAGAGGATTTCAGATACCTGGGTTTACCTTAAAGACCTGTTCCTGGTAATCCCTTTCTTGCTAATGTTTCAATAATAGAAGGGAAAGTTCTTTTATCACTGCATTTGATGCCTTGAGAAGGCTGACCTAGAACAGAGAATAGATGGAGTTAAAGAATAAAGTAGGGATTTATTAGGAGGCCTCAGTAAATCCACCTTGGGCAGCACAAGAGCTCAGGCAGGCAGAGCCCTGGTTCACCCCAGGTGAACCCAGAATGGTCACAAAATGTATGACTGGTCACGGGGTCTCTCAGTTTTATAAGTTCTGGTTCATTTGCATATTGGAGTTAATTGTCCAATTACAGCTTTAGCTTATGAAGTCCCATCCTTCTTGTTTTTCTCTCTTGAGTCCACATTGTTTCTGCTCCTGGGCCTGAGATTTGGATCATTTGTCCTTGGTCCTCAGCTAGAGAAGGAAATGTTTTGTCTACCTGCTCTGTGAAGAGAGTTTACCATCCCCTGATATGAACCCCAGATCCTCACACTAAAGCAGTATAAAATCTGAAAAATATAAAAGCTAAAACCTGAGGCATCACATTTTATTGGGAAAATTGAGGATTCACACTGTAGACTACACGAGGCTGTGCAGCCAGGCCTGCCCCTGAGGGGGCAGCACACAGCAACAACGGCTGGGTTCAACCCTTGGGGTGGGTTTGGGACCTTTTCTGCTCCAGGGATTCAACTGATTCTAGAAATTTTCCACCAAGACAAAGAAAAAATGTTCTCCAAATGGTGGAGCAGAAAGTAGAAAAAGTGATTCCATTATTTATATTTTCCCAGCACACTAATTGAATGACAAAGCTTGCTTACCCCACAAAGGGTTTGCTGAGGTTGTCCAGGAGTTGGTTACAACTCCACCAGTTTATATGCAAATGACTATAGATCAAAATTATTACCTAAATATGCATGAATAGTGAGTTCTTTATGGCTTGTCAAGAGAAAAAAATGCTGAGTACACAACTACTGCATCAGAATATTAATGACAAATGTAACACTGGGTAGGAATTTTGAAAAATCCCATTAAAACACACCCAGGTTGTGTGCTAACGGTGCAAAGACAAAAGCTAGCAAATTTCTTGATTTATTTGGTATGCAATCAATTATCTGTATTTTTTAATGTGATAAAACCAAGATAGGATTCCCTGTGAACAACACATAACTAACCTGAAGTAATTTTATTTACTGGTTTATAATATTGTGAGCAGATGTCTGTTTAAAAAGCGGCAAATTTATCTTTTGTCATTTTGGATTTTGATTACAAAGTTGTCTTCTTCCTGGAGGGAAAAAATAAACTAGTCTGTCTATACAAATAAGAAGAGGCATGGAAAGGAGAGTCTTAATCCCAAGCCAAATAAAAATAGATGAAAAAGGCATTCTAGCCCATCTAGCTATTGGAGAGAGAAAAAAACCCTAAAAAAAGCAAACAGTCTTCAGTGGAAAACTGTCTAAAGCTCTCAAGTCAAAAACCTTCCTCAAGGGGGTTAAACATCAGTGAAAATGAACTGCACACAAAAATCCTCTGGCAACATGCTGTCATTGCTCTGGTTTTGCTGATTTCCCAGGATAGGCAAGGTTGGATGTGATCAGTGCTTGATCAGAGGAGGTTCCAGGTAAAAGCCAGGATCTCAGAGGTGCCTGGCTACCAGTGCCACCCTCCCCAGGCCACGAAGGGGCTGGACCCACCATCAAACCCGCTCTGAGGGCTGGACCCCGCTCTCTGAGGGCGCCTCACCAGCAATGTTTGGGCCCAGCCATCAAACCCGCTCTGAGGGCCGGGCCCCGCTCTCTGAGGACCCCTCACCAGCGAGGCTCGGGCCCAGCCATCAAACCCTCTCTGAGGGCCCCTCACCAACGAGGCTTGGCCCGCACCGCTCTGCGCACGCGCGGCTGACAGGGCGGTGCCGAGCACGTGCGCCAGCGCCGCCGAGGCGGCCTCTGCCCGCCCGCCGGCCCGGGGCGGGGACGAAGGAGGAGCCCGGCTGAGGGGCCCGGCCGAGCCGCCGCCAGCCCACCCTGCCCGGCCCCGCTCCGGTTCGAACGCAGCGCGGCCCCACCCGGCCATTGGCGAGGGAGAGGGAGGGAGCGGGTGTGCGCGCCAGGCCCCGGCGTGTCGCAGCGAAGGCGTCCGGGCGGGCCCCGCTGCCGCGGCGGCGCGTTCCGCCCGGAGCGTGTGCGCGGGCCCCGAGCGGAGCCGCCGCTGCCATGGAGCGGGGGGGCGGCGGCGGCGCGCGGGGCTGATCGCGCCCCTTCCCCATGAGACTGTGGCTGTGCTGGCTGGGCTGCTACACCCTGCTCCTGTGGGTGCTGAGGAGGACGATGTGGGCTGGCCCGGCCCGGTACCTGCGGAGCCCTTTATCCAGGTCCCTCTACGTGAATATGATGGGCAGCCACCGCCAGCCAGCCCCGGGCGCCAGGGAGAACCACCAGGTACAGCCGCGCTGCCCGCCCCTCCCTTCCCTTCCCTCATCGTGCTGGGCTGGGCGGCGGGGGTGGCTCAGGGACCCCCCGGCCCCGCGGAGCTCCGCCGGGCAGGGGCGGGGGGTCCGCCGGGGGGATCGGCGGGAGGTGCGGGGAGCTCGGTGCGGGCTGAGGGGGCAGCGGGCCGGGCAGGGCAGCGCAGACAAAGAGAGGGAACTGCTCTGTCCTGCGGTGAGAAAGTTGCCGTGCGCCCTCCCTGCGGAACGCGCCGCCGAGCGCTCCCGGGGCTGCGGGCTCGGGGGGCGCCGCGGGGGAGTCGCGGAGAGCCCGGCGGGGGGAGCAGCGCCTGTCCCGGCACCCGGAGCGGGGCGGGTCGGGGCCGGTGCTGCTCCCGGAGAGGGGCACCCTGGGCTCTGGATGGGCACCCCGAGCTGTGGATGAGCACCCCGCTTTTTTCAATGCACACCCCCGTTTGTCCGGTGAGCCCTGTGAGAGCGCTCCAGGGAAGTTTGCAGGTGCTGGTGACGGGGGTGGCTTTGTAATCACAGAGGTGTTTGGAATTAGTACCGGTGCATCTAGAGGAAAACAAAAAAAAGTGGGAAATGAGACTCCCACAGAGGCCTCGGAGCAGTAGGAGGTGGCAGACTGGGAATGAGTTGTTGTAATGTGATCCGACTGCGATAAAAGGTTAGTGCTGTGTTTGGGCAGTGTGGCCACATGGGTCGGTACCTTGTGGAGAAGTTAGGGGCCGTGCCCTTGCAGTGCAATGGTTATGTGATAGATTTCATTTGGAATGCCTTCAGATCCGCACTATGTTTTGGCAAAATGCTGCTGAAAATCTGACAGGAGTTAGAAGGGCTAATAAAAAGTCTTAGTGCAGAAGGAAGCTGGCAGTTTAATCTAGGTTAAATATGCAGAACCGAGCCAATGAAGATGTAGTATAAGCACTTGAGGACTGCTGTACAAAGGAAGACCATAATTCTTCCTGCTGATCCATTTCTGCAGCCTTCTTAGTGCTCTGGCACTGACATCCAGAACCTTGTTGGGTGGATGTATCCCTGGAATTTAATGCTTGTGGTCTGCTGTTGGGATTATTCAGGACATAAGTACAAAGAGAAGCAGAATTCAGGTTTACAGGAAGAACTTCCTTCTGGTGAACAAAGAAAATCTGAAAGTCTTTTGTGTTGTTAAAAGCTGTAGTAGAAAGACAAGTCAGGGAAATGTGTTGTGGAGGTGCCCGTGTCATTCACAGGTAGATGGTCTGCAGTGGATAATCTCCATCTCTATTTTATTTGATCTAGATTTTAAATGTAGGTATTGATTATTTAATACATTTAGTAAGATTTATGGTTACTGAGTTTGTGGGGTAAGCAAGGGTAACATGTTCAGACTGCTGCTACTTTGACTCTCTGTGGTTTTACTGACTTAACTAGTTTTATGTAAATTATCTAAAAGTAGTTTTTCATCCTTTTACTAATATTAGGCAAGAATTGCAATGTTTGTAATTTTTGTTATAACAAAGGTCTTAGTACAACAATCTGAAAATATATAAGAGATTGACACACATTTGTCACATAACTAGTGGCCTTTCATAAGTTGTATGTGGAGGAAAACAAAAGCAGTTTCTGTTCTGATGAAGTAGTTCTGGAATTAAGCTGGTTTTCACCTTTTTTTTCTTTTCATTTGAAATTTACATTGGGGTTTTGGGGGGTTGTGGGTTTTTTTGCTCTTATAATGTGTTAGAATTTCTGTTATTCACCAGTGTTATACAGGTATTTGTCAATAACCTTATTGGCAAGTTTAACCATGAGAGATCATGGAATCATTAAATCATTAAGGTTGAAAAAGAGTTCCAAGATCATCAAGTCCAACCTTTGACCAAATACCACCATACCCACTAAACCATATTGAGAAGAAGAAATTGGAGATCTGTGAGCAGCACCTAATTTTTGGAAACAAACTTCTTTTAAGTTGTCACCATCATCCTTCTGCCAGTGGTTATGTCAATATTTAGAAGTCTTAAGACAGGAATTGTAGGACTGTTGTTTTTCAGTGGAAGTGCAGGTGAGAGTTCAGTGCAGAGCCCTGAGGTGCATGAGCTCAGGTGTAGTCATGCTGCTTATGGAACCAAGCCTCTGTTTCCCAAGGCTTTGTGAAGGTTTTCTTCTGGGTTGAGCCTGGCAACACATTGCAAAAGGCAAATCATCTGAGCCACTGCAGACCTGTTCAGTGGAGTGAGGCAGCAGCCTTGTGAGTGGAGCTGACACATCCCAGCCTGCTCCTCAGCTCCTTGGGATCATTTGCTTCTGCCACACTCTTGGAATTGGCTTCTGAATGAATGGACAAAGTACACAAGCTGCTGCTTTAGTGGTGTTTCAGAAGGCACTAAGGATTCCTTTTGGGAATCACTGGCCTATGCTGATTATTTAACAAGTGCTGAGCTGCAGCTTGAGAAGAGACCTAAAGTGGTGAATCAGCAGTTTTGGGGATCCCTGTGCCAGGCTCAGAGTCTGTGTTTCAGAGGAAAGGATCACTCCCTTGTTCTACCCAGCAGTGTGTTTGGAAGTACAGTGCAGAGCCTGATTCTGCCAGAAATGCATCATTGTGCAGGAGGTTTTCAAACCTCACCAGGCACCTTTGCTGCTCACCTGAGGGGTCTTGGGGTCTCCCCTCTCTGCTTTGGGCCAGTGTTTGATGGAGCCCCTGCTTATGAATGTGGCCTAGGGGCCCTGGGGCACTGTGTGCTCCCCTCTGCTGCTGGGGGGCTGCACACCCTGCAGTAAGAGTCCTGTCCCATTCCAGTGATGATTCCAAGTTCCACTGTGCTGAATGCTGTGTAAGCCTCCCTTAGGAATGTTCCTTGGGAATGCTGTGTAAGCCTCCCTTCAGTGAATGTTCCATTCCCAGCAAGGCAAACAAACGTGATGGGATCAGGGTCTGAGCAGATGTGTGTTAAATCTTTGGGGAGTTACCCCAGCTGACAGTTTCTGTCCTTCCATGTGCGTTTTTTACAAGGTTCTGCTCAAACTCTACATCTCACTTTAGGGTACTTAAAGCTCCCTATCTGCACAATGAGCACATGCAGTCAGATTAAGGAACATTATTGCAAGATTTAAGGGGGAGATGAGAGGGTGTTGGCTGTAGAGAATAACTCTTAATGGTAGAAAATAGACACAATGATATTTTATGAGAAGGACTGGCACTAACTCCATGGAAGTGTAGGAGAGTGAAAAATAATAGTGATATTCTTAATTAGAAAGAAATGTGATTTTTTTTTTAATACAACTTTTGCATAGAGGACCTATGTTGGCTTTCTAGGGAATTTACCTTGTAGATCTCTTCCAACTACAGGGTAATAATTAAGACAAAAATTAAACCTACTATTTCTTAGCAAGTAATCAGTCCTCACTTTGTTCCAATTCTAAGTTAATTTAACCCTGAAGTTTGTTGGAAAGACTGTAGGAAAAGCTAAATTTTTGTATTTATGCAAGTTGGTAATAATTTTGTATGTATTAATTTTGACTACTTCTGGGATTACATTGCTGAACTTTTAAAATGATCCTTTATCTCTTTCTCTAGTGGTATGTCTGCAACACTGAACAGTTGTCTGAATCCCTCCAGCCTATTTTTGTCCAGAGTTACCTTGACCAAGGAACACAGATCTTCTTAAACAACAGCATTGAGAAGTCAGGCTGGCTGTTTATCCAGCTCTATCACTCTTTTGTGTCCTCTATTTTTAGCCTTTTTATGTCTAGAACATCTATCAATGGGTAAGTGAAAAGTTGATCTTGGGTAAGCTAAATACAGTTTGGATTTAGAGTTTTCAGGTGTTCAGCCCTACCCCTTGATCTGCCAGCTTTTCAAAATGTGTAATTTCCCTTTGCTGCTCTGTCAGATGTGAAATGCCCTCCTGTGTTCATCATTCCCAGCCCTCCTAATGATGAGCACCATTTCCAGTATGGGGGGACATAGGAGGTAATTGCAATTAATACAAGGCAGTCAGAGGATTCTAATTGCATTTTATAACAATTACTTGTGTTAATTTTCTTCTAAGAGAGTGTTCTTTGTCTCTCCTCAGCTTTCTTCCCCCCTCCCACCTTGCCCTTTCCCTGCTGCCTCATTTTTATCAGTTACTGTTGTGATTGTCCTGGTGGCTGTATCCAGACTGTTCTGTACTGTACCTAAAACTCTTCCTGCTGGAGAGTGTCTGCCTGTCCATGGCAAATCATGGCACATTTCTAAACACTGCACAGCTGGCCAAGTGCTGTGCCTGGTAACACAAATGTGGACTAATCCTTTCTCTTATTCCCTGAAACAATTCCACCTCAGTTTGTGTGTAAGCTGCCTTGGAACAGATGACTTCTGAGGGAGCATATTTGGCTTATGAACCATCAGCAAAGCAGGAGAACACAAGTTGATAAAACAGCATTCTTCTATTCTTACTGCATCAGTTGCAGGGGAGTTTGGCTGCTCATGGGTGCTGTAGTATTTGTTTCAAACAAGGCAGGGCTCTTTTTTGCTCACCTTACCCCATTCAGACACGTTTAACAGCTTATCAGCTTTGACCTTATGAAAAATGTATTTAGTTACATTTAGCCAATTTCTCCAGTATCCCCACCTCTGCACCTGCTACATACTTCTGCACAGTCTGATACAATATAGGAGCTGTCTACTGGGGCTAGAAAAATAGTCTTTTTCCTTATTTTCTACTCAGATGACTTTATGGGCTTCCCTGTGGTGTTCTTAGTTATGTGTAGCTTTATATAAAGGTTCCTTTGGTCTCTTCTTCCTTTCTCTTCCATTTTTTTTCAAAGGCTCTTCAGGGCTTTGAATAACACCTCATAATGCTGTTAGGAATAATAGCTATGAGCCAATTATACAGTGTGGACTGACACATGTGTGCTGCAAGCAGGCTCTACTTAAATTGGATGTAGTGTGTTTATTTTTATATATTTGATGTCCTGCTTAGTTTCTTCTCTGTGACTTTGTGTACTCTGTCCTTTTTGTTTCTTTGGGTTTTAGTAGTCAGTCTTTCCTAGCCCAGCTCCTTTTCACTTTTTTTATTCTTTGAGTCTTTTTGTCTCTGTTTACCTTTTTTCCTGTTTGCTTTTTTTTTTTCCTGTTCATTGTCTTTAAGTTTAACCTGCTATCCAACAGGAGTTTAAAGAATAGTATTTATCTACCTGCAGTCTATTAGTGACCAGTTCTTCTTCCTCTGCCTGTTCTTCTAACTGTTTCATCATTGAATTCTGCAATGACAGCTGAAACGTGTCACTGTGTAGTCTTCAAACAGTTATGGGCGGGTATGGCATTGACTTGATCCAGAAGGAATCCAACTGTCACCTCTACCCAATTCCTTAATGAGTTGTCTATTTTCTGTTCCCCAGCTTTTCATGTTGAATGCAGGATCTGCAGACAGCAGCAAAAGCCATTGTAACATAGAATTTTAAAAAATCTCTTTTGCCCCTCCAGCAGCGTTACCCCCGTGCTTTCTTTAAATGTTTTCTGTCTTCCCTCCTCGTTCCACACCCTATTCCTCATTCATTGTGCATACTTCTGTGTCTGCAGCCATTTTATTTCCTCTGTTATTTTATCCTGTTGGGTTTTTTTAAGGTAGGTAGCAGAGATTCAAATCTGCAGATGTGACAAGTAAGATTCAGTCTTTATCTTTCCTACTCTTTCTCTTCCCCCTTTTTTTTTTTTTTTTTTTAATGCAATCATTTTCTTGAGCTGCACCCCATGAGCTCTTCCTTACCTAATCAAATTCCTTCTGGAGTCTTAACCACTGTAACTGCATGTGGCTCTGTGTTTGATCTCTTACAAGTGCAAGGCAAGTTGAACTGGATTTAAAATTTATCTGAGCAGTGACCTTGTCTACTATTATGTATGACTGGTTCCTGCCAAAGCACATTCTAAATTTCTTCACTGCCTGTCCTATTAAAGTTTGTACAAAATTGATCATTTCTTGGTTTTACATTTTAGGCTGCTGGGAAGAGGCTCAATGTTTGTGTTTTCCCCAGAACAATTTCAAAGACTGCTTAAAATAAATCCTGAATGGAAATCCCACAGACTTCTTGATTTAGGGGCTGGAGATGGAGAAGTCACTAAAGTTATGAGTCCTCACTTTGAAGAAATCTATGCCACTGAATTGTCTGAAACGATGATATGGCAGCTTCAGAAGAAGAAATACAGGTATTGACTGAATAATTCCTGCATCCTTTATATCAGAAATTACAGCAAGCAATCCATTTCTAATTTAATGAATGTTCAGTATTTTCAGTCAATTCCTTTATTGTTTCATTGTTATGGAAAAGGTTAGCCTGTACAACAGCACATGTGATGATCCCTCTTGCCAGTGTTGGTTTTTGTCTCCTTTATTACCTGATGTTTATCAGACAGGATAAAGGTTCATGGGGCTGGACATGCAGCCATGGTGATCATTGATTTAGTTTCCTTTTCCAAAAGACCAGAAGGGATCAGGTCTGTCTCTTCTCTAAGTTGTTGACCTTACCTGCACTATCAACACGTCCACGGGGAATTTTTCTCTTCAGTAGTTCTGTCTGAAATCAGCTTGTTTTTATTTAACAGATTGTATCTCTTTCCTTTCACAGGGTGCTTGGTGTAAATGAGTGGCAGAACACAGGATTTCAGTATGATGTTATCAGCTGTTTGAATTTGCTGGATCGCTGTGATCAACCACTGACTGTGTTAAAAGACATTAGAAGTGTACTGGAGCCAACCAGAGGCAGAGTCATCCTAGCACTGGTTCTGCCTTTTCACCCCTATGTGGAAAATGGTAAGTGCACAGATTAACAGTAAAGAAAACATTTGTAGGATCTAGTACTCCCAGATGAAATGTTTCATAAAAGACATGTTTGTATTTGATTTTTTACTAATAACTAGTAGAAGGCATGTTGAGAAGTATGAAATCATAGGCAAACAGGCCACATGATGTAAGCTGTTTTGTTAACTCCACAGAATACATTGCTGACACCAACAAAAAGCTCAAATATTGAAGTCACAGATCCTGTTTTGCAAATGACCACATTTCAGCTGTGTTGAGCAACTTGGGAAATCTGGTCCCTGATTAGGGCCTTTTACCCCAGCTGTCTCTAGTGACCAGTTGAGCAAAACCACCAGAACTGTCTAATGCTGAATACAGCCATTCAAGTCAAGCTGTTTCAAGTGTTCCAGATGAATCCCACCTAAAAATCCATAAAAAGACAACTTTCACTTTCCAGCATGAGGTCTCAAAGTAAAATATGGACCCCTACAAATATGATGTAGCAACCACTATTAATATTGTATGAATTTACAGTGTACTAGTAACAGGAATAAAAAGGTAAAATTGAGTGCCAAAACTCAATTATTTACCCTACTTGGAATTGTAAGAAATATATGAGAGATTTTCAGATGAATCTGTCCTTATGAGTAAACTTCTAAAGAGACTAGGAACCTTTTTACATGCCTGTGATTGTGGATTCAGGTTGAAGCACCCTGAAGGTGGTTTGAATTCCAAGAGGCTGATGTTCATCAGTCATTGTTCTGGTTCTCCTTCAGTGTTAAGACTTGTCTGTGGAAAGGCATGGATGCCCAGAAAATAGAGAACTAATCATGTTCTGGCAATCACAAATGCATCAAACTGAATCTGGTTTTCTCTTTTTGCATGCTAGTGGTATTTTGCTGGGAAAAGGGAGAAAAATAAGAATAAGAAGTAATGCCATCAGGTGAAGAATTATTTATAATACAGTATTTGAGCTTGTAATTTTGTAACTATTTTGAAAAGTAGTGTGACTTAAATTAGATTTGATGTTTTACTTAAGTATTTCAAGCATATTTGGTTACAACTTATTGTTCCTATAATGTGGAACAATGTGGCTTCTCCTTGTAGAAATCCTTTACCACTGTTTGCCACAATTATGGATATGGACCCATTTAAACTGTTAACAGTGCAGCTTAGCACACACAAAAGTTACAGCTTTCCCACTAAAAATCAATTTAACTGTGGGCTAAAGAAACAGACTATTAGCTGCCAGACTGTCTTCATGATGCAAAAACCATTTTAGAATTTCAGTATTTTCATTCAGCTGTTCTACATGATGCATTTTAAAAATAGATATGTACATATGTTTTATATATAACAAAATTATACTTGGAACATTCAAAGAGGAGAACATTCCAGAGCTCAAGTAACTTCTTGTAGCAGCTCATTAAAACCAGCTTGGACCCATGTAGTGAAACTTTTTAATTTTGTAGAGGGAGAACAAATGGAAAAGTGTTGGGGCAGGTAAGGTGTTTGGTCCAGTGATAGATCCATAGATTGAAATGGAGAAATTATTTTAATCAAAATGAGATATATGGGTTATTACATGCAGTATAGTGGGATGGTAATGGTGGAAGCTGTCTATGTGAATAACATAAAACCTGCTCTAAGAGAACAAAGCAAGGTGGAGAAGAAATTAAAATACAGATCTGTGCTCACTGTTTGTGGGATGACAGTGACACCTAGAGTCCAGAGGAGCTCAGTCTTAAATTCTCTCTGGGGTTTTCCAGTTTTATTTCAACATGCAGGACAACCAGGACTGCAGTTACTGCAGGTCTCTAAATTTGGCAGAGAGCCTGGTGAATCATCAGGTATTAGACCAGTCACTAAGAACAAGAACTACCACAACTTCATTTTTAATAGGTGCCTCACAGAGTCATATAAGAATCCTTTGTATTTCCTAATATAGACAGAAAAAGTCATTATTGGGTAATACATGACTGGACTGGTGTAAGTTTCCCTAAAATAAAAATGTCATACCATACTTCAGAAGGAGTGAACACAGGGAACCTGGGAGTGTGAAATTTCCTTGTTGAACATGTTAATATCCTTGTAATGAATTGACAGGGATGAGAAGGCAGAGCTGTGTATTCTGTCCTCCTGAAATACCATTAATTGAGCTGGAAACACAGCAGTGTGTGAGATGGACCCTTGCTTTGTCTCAGTTGTCAGTTCTCATCTTGCAGAAGTGAGAAATGCCACTTCATTTGTTAAACAAAGCCTTGCTTTATTTAAATTATGATCAAAGATGCAGCTGTTCTTTAGAAGGGAAAATTCCTGATTCCAGGAGGTACCTTGTAAAAGTGCTGATTTTGCAGATTGGCTAGGTAGTAACTGCTGAGAAAGACACTTAAAAAGTGTACTGGATAGTGTAGTTCTTTTTTGTGCTTGTGTCCACGTTGAGCAGGTTTGAAAAGGCAAAACGTGGTGCCCCAGGTATTCCTGACTTGGGATGGTGGGACTGGGAGCTGGGGGTTGTCAGCCTAGCAGGTGAATTTTAGTGTTGGAGGAGCAATGTTTTCACAGTGGCAGTTACCTCCCTAAAGAGGTTTGGAGGATGCTCCCATCCCAATGAGCTTTTCCAGGATAGTGTGTGTGTTTATATTGTCAGTGTTTTCTGCTTGCCTGTCTAATACACAGGTTTTGCTCTGTTTAAACTGTTCTAAGGCTCATTTACAGTTGATCTGGAAATGTTACATCAATAACTACCCCATTAACAGAAGCAAATCCAGAATTTTACCCATGAAACGAGTTTATTTTCTGTTGCTGTCAATTGTCAAACATCTTTCACATCCTGTTTCATGTAACAGGAATACATAAAAGTTCATGTAAAGAGAAGAAAAAAGACAGAATTAAATCTAAACTAAAAATAAAGCATCAGCAGTTATCTTACAAAGATGAAGTCTTTTCCCAGGGTTCTTGGAAATGGAAAATGGAATTTGTAACACAGATGTAAGGTGCAATGCACTTGCTTCTGGTGATCTGTATAGAAAATACTCCCAAAGAGCACTGCCCTGCAAGGTTTTCTCCTCTTCCTTTAAAGCAAAGAGGTCTGTGAAGAAGCTTAACTTCCTCACCTGCTCCTTTGCATGCAGGAGAACTGTTGAACAAATCTGAAGTGCTGCACATGCTCATCTGTTCTGATAAACAGTGTCATCTTCCAAATCCTCCTAGGGACAGAAGTGTTTTGTTATTGAGGTGACTTTTTTTTAAATAAAGGCAGAATTTCTTTTTTGAGGCAAACTCCATCCCTTTAGTGTTTCAGTAAAATCCTTTCTCCCCTCTTATCCAGTTGTTTTTGTCCATGTGGTATCTACAGGCTTCAGAATGTTTCTTATCCTGTTGGCTTTTCCTGGTCTCCAGGGAGCTCAGGGGCAGTAAAACATAGCCCATATTTTCATATCTGATGGTCAAAGCAAGGACCAGGTCATGTCAGCAAGGACTGGCAGGCTTTCAAGGGGTAATTACAGAGGGAATTGATTGGAGCTGTATGGAAATAAATGAAGTGAAATGTATGTAGGAGAAGTGCTTGACTTTGGCCTGTGTGTCATTTGGGTCCTCCTTGCATCTCTGAATGATCTCTGTGCTTAGAATAGGAAAGAATTAACATTGTTTCTCAAGAGAAGCAATATTTTGAAGCAATTTTCTTTGCTTGCAAATGTGTGTGATTTCTAAAGTTGTGTGGTTTGGTTTTGTTTTTTTGGGTTTTTTAAAATAATTTACATGGCATGTGTAAAATTATTGTCATATAAGACTTAATGGCATACATTTAGAATGATGAAATAAGTTGTGTGGCTTTACCCAGTGATGTTGAATACTTAATGTAGACTCTGTGTGTTGGAGGAAGGGAAATACCTTTAAATATATCACAGAGCTTTTATAATAGTTTTGTTCTGTTTCTGCCCCTTGCTCTGGGTTAATGGAGCAAGAGGAGCTGAAAAAGCAATACTTTTCAACCATAGCCTCCTAACAGCTCCAGGCATTTTACCAAACAGAACCAGACCTCTTTTAGCAAAATAGAGATTATGGCAGTTCTAAATTTAAATGTACAAGCATACATTTAAAAATGGGTGTGTGTGTGTGTGTGTGTCTATATCCACACATGTATAAATGTCTTGTGTGCACATTCAGAATGCTTTAGAATCTCCTTGACTGTCCTTCAGAATACTTGTTTTACATCTCTATCAACTTTAAAGGAAATACAGTAAACTCCTAAAACCTTCTGGTTTCCCTTTTTCCCCATAAATTTAGGTATTGGTGGGTGGATACTCACAGGCTGTTGTTGGTGTTGAACATATCTCTGCTTTTGAAGTTCTTGAGCAATTGCTTGAAAAATTTTTCGGCCGCTATTTATTTTCTGCAAATAATTTAAAATATTTTGGTTCAGTGCAACATTTTGAATTGGAGAAAACATCTTTTTCTACATTTTCTAATTTAGGTTTTTTACCTGGATATGTCTTTGGGATTGTTACTAAGTAGCATTTTAAAAACATGCAGTTTGGCAAGCAGAAGGTTGTTAAATTACATTATTATTGCATTACTTAACATATACATCTTCTTTAATGGCTCTTTAGATGCATGGATTCTGCTTTTTATACAAGGATATGTAGTGGTGGAGGTTGTTGTTGATTGATAGCAAAACCTGTTATTGTCAGAAGTTTGAACAAAATTTACTTAAAACCTGAAGGAAACAGTGTGTTAGAGATGGCCTTTACAGAGATTAACTTTACCATGCATCCAGTGTGTTAAAAATAAATTCCTGATTTGTTAAAATTAGTTAAATATAAAGTGATAACTAATTTTGTACAAATCTAAAGTGAAGCCTTAGCAGCTCAGAGTGTCTCTTTAATGGAATCATCAATTAATCACAAATTTGATGCCAAATATACTCCAAAAAGACAAGAAGAAGCTCAGAATCACAGACAAAGCAAATAACATGGTAACATACACAGTTCTCTGTTGTTTGGTCTTTCCCACTTTTCTTTCGGAGCTTTGATTTTAACTGGAGGGAGGGAAAATAAATGAAAAAGCAATTAAAATATAAGATGAGAAGTTAGCAGAGTAGTAAAAAATGTTGCACTTTTGCAGTGTCAGTTTGTAGGTAAGTGTTTACTAGATCAGCAAATGCCATTGGAAAAATGAGAGCTTTTCACATGTGTGAAGCCTTTTTCAGCTTCTGGTAGTAGATACTGCACGTGGTTTTGCTTTGAGCACAGTGGGATCTGCTTGAAACACTACTTAATTCTCAAAAAGAAACCAATGGCATCACAGATCCACTTTTTCCCCTGAAGAAGGCTTGTTTAATTTTTCCCACTGTACTTTTCACTCTGTACCTTCACTTCTAAAGAAAAACAAAAATGGAAAAACCAGTCCCATCTTTATGCTTAGACAGTAGTCACTACAGGAAAGTCATTTTACCATCTCATACCAGTAAGGACTGGGAAGTCCTGATTCTCCTGTCAAAGTCTCATTATCATGTAAAAATTCCTGTTGTAGCTCTGTTTTTATCTAAACACAAATTTTGTTCTAGATTAAAAAAAAACCCAACAATTACATAACTTTTAACCATGTGCATTTTAATGGGTTTGTTTCTGAAAGCATAAAAATTTTTCCAAGTCTCTGATATTTTTAAATTTTACTAAGGTCTCTCTTCTGTACATGTATGAAGAGAATCAGTAGACAAGTGAGTAACTTTACTGCAGCTCATAAATACTTTTATATGAATTTAAATTATTATACTTTTCCTGGAAATTTATACTCTCAGGATAATTATAACTTCAGAATACCTTTTATTTTAGACACTTTACTGAAAAAAGAAAATGTGGTTGCTGTTGAGAGTCCAGCTATGTGCCACACAGGAGTTCACAGATGTGTGTGTGCAGCACTTGGACTTCAACCAATCTCCTCTTTAAAACTTAACCATGATAGTTATGAAAGCTAGAAATGTGTTTTTTTATTCCCCTTATGGAGATGGTAAAACTGCATCGATTTACAAAATGAGGAAAACCAGAAGATCACTCTGAGCCTACCTTGTAGACCACAAAGGAAATGAGCACAGCAGAGCTGTACAGGAACAGTAAGGACGAGACAATGGTCATGGAGATGAGTTTTCCATGGCTGAGCTGCTTCCCTGATCCTTTATTAAAAATGAGTGTTAGAATAAAGGGCAGTTCTGATTCACTTCATTTTTTTAAGACTCTGCATTCCAACCCCCTTTCTCTGAGGAATTAAAAAACCATATACCATTTTTCTGGGTAATTTTCAATCTAAATTCCTAAATGAGATCATTTTCCTTTTGTGCACTCATATGTTTGCAAGGGCAATGGAGACCTGTTAGTTTTGATTACAAACCTTTCCTATAGGGGTAGAAAGAGAATGGCATCCAGTGTTCTGCCCCTGTAAAGGTATATCTGAATAAAGCTCATAGACTTCTGTTCAGAAATGGAATTAGAGGAAGGAAGGAATATAAAGAAAGTAATAATCCAGCTGAGTGTTTCTGGTTTTTTGTTTTTTTTTTTTTTCTTTTTCTGTTTTAGGCATGTAAAACTGAAATGTAGTTACTAAAGTTTCATCACTTTCTTAACTAGAGGCAAATGATACAAAGGTTTGGAGCATTCTTCTCAGGCTGGCAGTGTGAATCCCCAGGTCCGAGGCCCTGCACTCTCTTGGCAACTTCTACTAAATGTTGGTTTCTCTACTTCCCATTTTCTAGAAGATATTTCTTTCTGACAGCCACAAAAGTCTTTCTGTAAGAGGATGTAGAGTGTGGTTAGACAGCAATAAGTGCAAAACTTCTTTCTTTTGTAGAATTCTAGAGTCATCTTCATCATATGACAGAACAGCCTAATTAGCAAACGAGGTTGAAATGCTTATTTGTGCAATCCCTCTGGTTTTACTAATAACATCTTAATATAGCCATACTACTCCTAATGGGTTTGTTGGTATTTCCATCTTAAATGTCATTCTTGAAAGTATAAATAGAGTATTTAGAAGAGATAATTTATTTCTTCTAAGCTGCTTCATTAAGAAGGAATAATCAACTGACCTGTTACTGTTAGTACTGTTCCATCTCCTGTTTGTTTAGAAAAGGGTGACTCTGAGTCTGAAAATGCTATTCCACAGATATAAACAGCGCTGTCATCCTCAGTCAGATCTTTTATCTGAAGTAAGGTGTTGGTTCCTGATGAATGTACTTTATACTTCTGATGATCTGTGCAGCCATTAGGAGTACACAAACCCTGATGTGTGCTAGTTAAAAAGCGAAACCACAGAACGTCAGGCTGGGATGAGGAGCATCCAGAGGCAGAGAAGGAGCAGGTGAGGGACACGTTCATGGAGGGGTCAGCCTGCTGGAACCTGGGCTGTGCCACAGTGACTCGGCAGTGACCTGCAGCACCTGCTGGGAAGGAACAGTTGGTGCTGTGAGGGACAGCTGAAAAGCCAGGTACAGTCTAAAAAGAAAAAACAACTACTTTTGGTTCATTCAAGGAAAGGTGGGCAAAAAGGAAGAAATTAACTGTGTTTCAAACTTGAAATGATTACGGTTGTTTTCAGCAAACTTTGTTTTTAGATAGTTTTTACAGCTTGCACATGTGCTCATTTAACACTTTTATCTGCAGGGTGATATGCTTGCCTTTCTATTTTTTGACAAAATAGGGAAGATTGATAGATCCAAAGCAATGTGGATGTTTCCTTTGGCACTGGAGAAGACCAGAAGAATACTTTGTGCAGTTTCTAGCCTGAGATTTAGTGCTGCATGTTTTAGGGGTACTGGCCAGTGGGGGTGGGTGTTGTGGGACATAAGTGCAGTTGCTCAGGGGAGCAGTTCTGCAGGGCTTTCTCTCTCCTCCACTGTTCCTGGTCTGAGTCAAACCAGACGAGCTGAGGGCAGGCAGTGGAAATGTCATAAATCAAGACATTTATAATTTAGCAACTTCATAACATTGATTAGAATTCACAATAGTTCCTAGACATTCTTCCACTTCATCACATATATTGACTCTGGGTTTCTAAGAATAATAGTGCTTGTTAGTCCTGACATTTAAAAATGTGTGCAGAGAAAACAAGAAGGTTAATCAGAGAAGAGCATTCTAATTAAGGAACTAAAATATGTGGTTTAGTATGACTAGTCTGGAAGATTTTTTTTAAGTCTTTATTGAAATCCATGTGAATTCTGTGTTAATATATTTAATTTTATTCAAATAAATAGTGTAGTTATTTAAACTATGGCATTGAGCTTATTGCAGTGAGAATAAAGGGATATCTAAATAGCATCCTTTTCTGCTTGCCAGAAAATAAGAAACTAGAGGATAAAAAACAGACATCTCTTAGTGTACTGCTGAGACACAATTTGTAAACCTGTCCTTGTCCCTTCACCATTTTTCTCACTAAATCCAATCAGATTCAGTGGCTGTGACTTCTACAGGAATAAAGTGAATCTGATTCTGTGTCAGGTCCATAGCAGAGCCATTCCACAGCAGCTACAGCAATCTGAAGATTGTAAGTTGTGGGTGTACTTGCACCCTGTTTGATGAAAGGCAGCAGCAGCTCGTGCTTCTGCAGCTGATCCCTTCTCATTTCCACTGTATCCAGGGGCTCTGGTGTCCTTGCAGAGCAGAACTCCATGGCCTCAGGTCATGGTGGTGCTGCTGCTGAACTTCCCAAACCCTCCACCCAAACAAACACAGTTGCTCTGAGACCAGGCTGCTGCTGGAGTGTTCCAAGCAGGGAAGTGCAGCAGGATTTGACCCAGAAATTACAGATTACAGCAGCGTTTCAGACTTTTGGAAGAAAAAAGCATTTGCGAGCAGTTATGTACTTTGGAAGTTATATGACAACAGCAGAAATTAACCTGATTTTCAGCAAAACTTTTAACTGCTTTTCTTTTGTAGCTCTGCTGCAAACCATAACCACAAAATTCTCAGTCTTGTTTAACTGCTGTTAAGTGAGAAAATGTAAGAAATTTTTTGAAATTCTTACCAGCACCATACAGGATCCAGTCAAATGCCAGCATTAGCACATTTTTAAATTTGTTGAAAGATGCCATTTCTTGTATCTCTGTGGAAATGAATCTTCTTGAAGGAAGAGGAACTTAGGAAATGTTTGGATTTGCAGAACTGTCTTAATCACAAGATGTAGAACTTCCTGTTTAGAAGGGTGTTTACTACTGCATTTAGCAAACTGCTTAAAGGTACAGAGCAAACCAGAAAGCTTTTGTTTGTTGTGGATGACATTACTTGGAAAATGAGTGAAGAACTTTAAATTCTGAATTCCTGAGAGTTGTACCTATAATCCTTCAGATTATAGGTATATTATTATATTCATTGGATATAGGTATAATCCTTCAGATTATAGGTATATTATTATATTCATTGGATATAACAAATAACAAGACATTTTCCAGCATGCTACTTAATCAGCTTCTTAATTGTGTGTGACCCTAAGCAGCCTTGAGCAGATCAGCATTTGTGGCACTGAAGGCACAAAGTAGCCATCCACTATAATGTGGGTGATCTGCTGGTGAAAGCTTCACAGCAAATCATAGCTTTCAACTTGCTGACTCTAATTACTGGGATTACCTCTGTGCCTGTCTGCTGGCCACCAAACTCACTAATGGCAGTTACCTTTTAGCCACTCCTGGCCCTTCTAGTTAAAATTGTAACAAAAGATAACCTTAAAGAAGCTGCTTTTGAACAGCAGGGATAAACTGGAACTGATCTTGCAACAGGTCTATGAGTGGTGTGGCAACCTCGTGTGGGGAGTGGAATGAAACATAATTAGTGTAATTATGCATTCTGTACGAAAATACAGCACACAATAAAGTTTCCTTTATAATGAAACAAAGCTGTTCTGTTTTCTCAGTAGGTGGCAAGTGGGAAAAGCCCTCAGAAGTTTTGGAAATCAAAGGGCACACTTGGGAAGAGCAGGTGAACAGCCTGCCAGAAGTTTTCAGTAAAGCTGGTTTTGCCATCGAGGCTTTCACCAGACTGCCCTACCTCTGTGAAGGTGACATGTACAATGACTACTACGTGCTGGATGATGCTGTCTTTGTCCTCAAGCCAGTGTAAGCCTGGGTGAAGTAAAGCTCCACAATCTAACCCAAGAAACAGCCTCTGAAAGAGGATTTTGATTTATGGTTACTTAAAGGGAGGGAATTTTGGGATTGCCGTGCTAAATAAATACCATGTAAGAAATTTAAAGGCCAAAATAATAATGTATTTCTTTGTAGTGTGATTAGGGGGGGGAAGAAAAGGTTGTTTTTTAAATGGACTCCTCAGCTGAGTATTTCTTTTTTACCAGCTCTTAAACCAACATTGCATTCTGCAATCCAGCAGCAATGGGGGATATTTTTTTATAATTACCTGCAACAGGGATCATATACAAACAAAAGCAATAGTCTTTATAATGGTGAAACTGATACAGTGTGAACTGTTGTGAAAGAAATAAAGCAAAATCTGGCAATAAAGTTATCCATTCACTTCAAGCCTTGTTAAATAAAACTGTTGAAATGGATAATCTTCCATGCTAAGCTAAGTTTCTCTCTTACTGTCATTCTTCATGTTTTTAATCATGCTAATAAACTTTTTTGAGATGACTTTTGCATTAATTTTTGTGTTCATTTTTGTAACCATAGCCATGCTTGTCTGCAGCAGCTGCTCTTTGTGTTGAGAATCAAGCTTTCAGTAGCAACACAACCTTGCATTTATTTAAACAGCATTTAATTATTTTTTAATGGGATAAAAGTGCACAAAAATGTATCACTTTTGGTTGGGTTTCCTTCATGTTCTTCCCTATCAAAGCCTCATAAATCCTCATTGCTTTTGCATTTCCCATTTTCCAGCTAAAGGGGTTATGGTAGAACTTGTCAAAACTGCACTTTAAGCTGATGGCTTTAAAAACAAACCCTCTAAGCAAGTTGTTGCCAAATGTTTTCAGCTTTAAAAAGTTGCAGGTGGTTTCTTGCAAATTTTATGAGTCAAACTGCCTGTGAGGATCAGGCTGTAGGGGCTTGATCATTTTCATTTTAGCAAGCTTGCGACATTTTCCTTTCTTCAGGAGCACTAAATTAATGCTATTTATTTTAACATGTCTTGTTTTAAAAACTGTCTAAGTGGATAATTTCTGGCAGTTGGGATATAACTTCTCTTTAAAACAAGAGACATCATAAGTAGACCTGGCAGATGTTATGCAGTGCTTGGATTGCAAGTGTGAGAGAGCAGAGAAGCCTCAGGTAAGTAAAGTAAGAACTGACTTCTGTTGCTTTTGAAGTCTAAAAAGGTTGTCTGTTGTGGGTTTTTTGGTGGTTTTTATAATTAATGGTGATTTTATGCCAAGTAGGATGCTTAACGATGTCATTTTAGGTTTACCTCAAGCTGATGGTTAATGATTTCTCCTGCCAATTTATTAGCTTTTTGTTGTCAGTCATTTTTGTGGAATAGTATTCTGTAGTATAGGGCAAGGGATGCTGTAATTTCAAATTACTTCTCAACAGTAATTTAGACTCAGTGTTATTCTCATTTCAGGATGTGCTATTGCATTTTGGCACATAGTGCAATCAGATTTGTCTGTTGGGAAAATGAGCTATATATGCTCTGGACTGAATCCATTAATTTATCTTCTGCTACCTTCATTTTATACTCATCTAGTAGTGGGAAGATGTTTTTTAATGTGTCATTAATTTAGGTTAAGGTAGCAAATATGTAGTAAGACAAACTTCTTCAAAGGTACTTAAGTGTTTTAATCCCACATGTTAAAAGTCACACAAGAGACTGCATTTCATGTCTCATCTTTTAGTCCTGTCACTGAGGATTTCAGTTTGTAATGGCTTTGAGAGGTTTGGGAACAGAAGGTGCAATATAAACAATAGGGTTTTTTTTTTCCTTTCTTACAATTTTCTACTTTGCTCACTCTATTTAACCAAGTATTCTTACACTTGAGACGAGGAATTAAAAGATGACCAATGATGAAGAAAATCTTTCTACAAAGCCTAAATTCAGCAGGGTGAAGCACCTGCTTAGACATGTTGAATAAACAGAACCCCCAGGACTGTACCTACACCTGTAGGTACTGTATTTCTGTACCTACACCTGTATTTCTAAAGCCAGACTGTACCTACACCTGTATTTCTAAAGCCAGAGTTCCTTGGGAAGGAAGGGACTTCTTCCTCCCTGCAGGTGCTGAGAGAGCATTTGTATGCAGTCAATGCTGCTCACAGCCCACTGAAAGAAACTTGTGAGTCCAATAGTTGATTAAATTGCCCCAAAGTTGCCATCTAAGGGAAGAAGTGTTGCAATTCCAATGTCCAAATTCATTGCTCCTGGGTTTGGGAATCCTGCCGTGTCCTGCTGTGGGTGTCAGTGTCCATCCAAGCTGCACTGCAGTGCTCTCACCAACGTGCAGAGTCTTGCCCTGGGGAGTGACTGAACTGTTCTGTTCTGTTCTGTTCTCTCAGGGTGGGCTGGATGTGTTGCACTGCTGGAAAACAATGCTGTGCAAGCACACGATTTAGCCAGAAGCTTTCAAAGTTGGAACAACTTCATCCCTCAAAACCACAGCCCCCTTTTGCCGGGTGATCCCAGGTACAATCAGTTCATGCTCTGAGGGACCCAGGGCCACCTTCCCCTGCTTGGGCTGAGGAGAGGGGACAGCAGGGCAGCACCAGCCCTGTGTTTCCCCATCACAGCTTGGTGAGCTCTCTTCACCTCGGGACAGAAGCGTCCCCTCCTGCCGGCCCCAGGAGTGCCGAGCCCCGGGCGGAGGAGCCGCTCCCGCCCGCCCTGAGGGCCGGGGCGCTGGGCCGGCGCCTGAGGCCGCAGGGCGGTGCTGGGCCCGGCCCCGCTCTCAGGGTCCCGGCTGGAGCCGCCCAGCTCCTGCAGAGCCGGGGAGGAGGCGCACACGGCGGAGGCAGGTAAGGCTCTCTGGGGGCCTGGCCCTCCTTCTCTTCTCCTGCCCGCTCTCCCTTCCCAGCCCGCAAGCCCTTGCGGCTTCCCCCGTGCATGTGGTGCTTCTCCTCAGAGCCCGGGTGCCAGGGGAAGTGGACACTGGCAGTGTCAGGGCTTATCAGCACGAGTTGTGATTGTAAGGTCAGTTTCTGGTTATCGAGCTTCAGATAAGGCAGCGACTGCATGGAGTGAGTGATAAAATGTCTAATATTTCTGTCCATGGAAGGGTGGCTGTTCTGGGAGTGAGAGGAGAAGGTGATCTGGGAGTTTCTCATTAGCGGGGAGTCCTGCAAGGCTCAGAAATCTCATGACAGCAAATGCAAGGAATGATCTCTGGGGAAATGCGGGATGGGATCTGCAGGAGATCCCCACAACGGGATTTGGGACTGTCTGGAAGTTGCTGTGAGCTGCAAACTGACCTGTTTCACTCAAAAAATGAACTAGTTCGTCCCGGAGATTGTCTTGGCAGGCAGGGCTTTCACAGCCCTTTTTGTGTCCTGCCGATTGTCCCCTTGAGTTAGTCAGGATGAAAAAGCACTTTCCTTAGCATTTAATCTCCTTATACATTAAGTTAGCATGCTTTAATTAAAATTCACTCCCTGATCAAAGTGAATGAATTGGAATAAATAAATCGGGAGTGACATTGGAAGCATGATTTAACCTATGCAGAGTAATCAAACTTTACTGCAAAATTATTAGGGCACAGGCAGAAACAAACACAAGTAAGTTCATTGTCTAGGAAACCAGATACATCTGAATGAGAGACATTTACTGTGGTGCTCCCAAAAGAGTAGCTGAAAGGGGTTTCAGGTGTGTAAGGACAGGACAGAGGTGATAGGTTCTTGAAGTCTAAAGTTTAAATTTTTCATTGTCTGTCAGTTTGAGTCACTCCTGCTACAAGACTGGAGTTAAGTTTTTGTAATAGACTGAGGTATTGCTGGAGGCTCGTTGAAAGATATTTTTATAAAAGAGGACCTTGGTACATGAGATTAAACAATCCAAAAAAGGTGTCATTTATCAAATATTCAGATCTGTAACTCGAGCTGTGGCAGAGAACTTTGTGGGGGGAAAAAAAAGAGAGCACAGAATTCAGTAACAAAAAGAAATGCAGAAATTCAGTGTCTTGCAAATAAACCTTTGAAATGAGGGAAAGGGAGACAAAACCTAACAAAGTCTCTTTATGGTCAGAGCCAAGTCGGCCAATAGCAGCCTGTGTGTCATTTGTTAAATCAGGGACTAATCCCAGTGTAAGAAGTTGCCATCTGTGGGCCAAGGCATCATCTAATATCTCAGGTTAATTTGTTGCTTTACCTGTGGGGGTGGTGGTCTCAAGCTGAGCAGAGGGCCAGGCAGAGAATCCTCTCTGCAGTGTGGATGGAAGCAGCTGAGGAGGGGATGAGGCTGCAGAAACTCCTGTGGGAGTGAAACCTGCCCAGTCTTTGCTTCCTTTCCACCCCACTGTATTAGCTCTGTGTGCATCCTTGTCCTTCAAGATACAGACCAAAAGCAACACGTTCATTTTGTTTTGGACAACTGGGAAACTCAGGTTTTTTTCTGGTGACAACCCAGTGAAAAGCTCTGGGTACCCTATTACTGCCCTTCCAGAGAATTTATCTTTCAGTGATTTTTATGCTGCATAGCACAGGGCAGCAGGGATAGCAAGAGCTACCAAAACATCTCTTTCCACACAAAACTGTGGCTGTGGTGGTGGTGAAACTTTGGTGGGACACTTCTTGTGAGTACAGAGACCACGGCTTTGATCCATCCAGGTCAAGTGACATGATCAGTTTTCCACATGTGTGACTTTCCCTCTGCTTCAGAAGAGCATAAGGACGTTTTCTCCCTTTTTGCCAAATGTGGCAGCAGGGAAGAGGAGTTTCCCATGCCCTCCCTGCCTGGAGCACCCTGCAGGGACAGGGGACCAGGGCCAGGCTGTCCCACCCCTGAGTTCAGAGATCTGCAAATGGAGGGTCCCACACCACGTCTGCAGTGATGCTGCAGCTTAACCAGCTAGAAAAGCTTGGGGTTTGTTTGAAGCTTCTTTATCATTTCCTTTTTCATTCCATTTCTCTTCTGTTTTATCTGATTTTAAATGGGTTTGTTTGCCTGTTTTAACAAAACTGCATTGAAGTCATATTTAGGTGCAGTGTAACTTGGTAAATAAATGGTGCTACAAGGAAGAGAATTAAATGAGCCACTTGCTATAGGGAGATAAATCTGTCTGCACATGCACTCTTCATGGACTTGTGTTTGCATGAAGTGTAGCTCTATCCTAGAAAAAGATCTAAATGAAAAACTTGGGAGCAAGCAGCTTTGGATTGTTCTGATCTCTATCTGTGCTCCATAGTGTAGGCTGTCTCTAATTTATAACTATGAAATTTGGGGTGAATATTGCATTTTGACTCTGTTCTTCCTATTTTGTCTTCAATCCAAGTATCTTTTTATTCTAAAAACACCAGAAGAAATGTCCAGACTTTTGAAGATGTGTTTCTTGTTGATATCAATGAATCATGCCAGGATTACTCACAGTCAGAACTCTGAAGGTAAGAGCAGAACTCCTGTCTGAGGGGTGTAATTGTGGCACAGAAAAAGCTGTGTGCAATAAATTAGGTGCTGTTTAGTGACTGGGCCCATGGTCTCTGCTCTCTTGGCT